TTGATGACTTGAAAGATAATAAAGATAAGTCCATGAAATCTCCGCTTTTATTATTTCAGAAATTTAAAGTGCGATTAGTTGACTTCTGTTGTTTACTACGTTTATAATCCTCTCTTTTTTGATATTTTATATCATTCTAATTAATTGCGCATTGTTTAGTATACCATAAAATATTACCATGAAAACAAGCGATTTTCGAGTATTTTTTTTACCAGTTTAAACGAAGATACATTTCTCCGTTTTACCCAGTGATGAAAACAACACATCCACATCATACAGTTATATTGACGTAATGCAGCAAAAATTTGTCACAAAAAAACAACAAGTATTGGTCAATCGGAAAGGAACTATACACGATCACACGCCAGTCTTCATGTTACACGACAGACAGTGAAGAAACTAAACGAGACGTTACGAAGTCCTTCCATACCCACCTTATTCACCAGACTTATCTACATTTCCATCAGTTGGACAACTTCCTTAAAAGTAAAAGTTTTGAAAATCATTTTTGGGACGAAAACGCATTTTCTGGCTTAATTTCTTCATAAAATCCTCCATTTTTCAGGATGGAATTAAAAAACTTATAACATGTTAGGGCAAATGTATAGGGAATGAGAGTAAATATTTTTAATGTAAATGGTTTGATTTCATAAAGTTGTTTTACTGAATAACCTTTCCTGCGAAAACTGACATTTCATATGAAACTAGCCAATCTTTAAAATTACAATATATATATATATATATATATATATATATATATATATATTGTAAGGAATTTAGAAACCTTTCAAATTAGTATGGGTATATTCAACCATAAATTGTATACTTTTTGAGTGAATGAACTCAATGAATCAAACAATGAATGAATGAAACAATGAACTCATCTATTGTTTGTTTATAACTATTATTTTTATACACAATTAAGTTCTTACCTATCGTTACGTTAAGAAATGATAATGATGTATTTATATATTATTCAGCATTTAAGTACTCCAGCCCTTTATATCATATTCAGCTTTTTTTTTCTCAGCAGAAGCACAGAATTTATTTTAAAGAACAATTTAATGTTATTTTTATGATTTTCTTAAAAGTGTATATTAATACTGTTTTATCAGTTTAAATAGTTTTAAGTGTCTTGTCTTAGTTTTAAGTGTTTTGTATGTAGCATGTTCACCTGATATTTTCTTTACTTTTTTCTTTTTCTCTATTGTTTTTATTTAGAACAGATGTGATCTTTTAATTTTGTTCTATTTTGTTATTCTCAAGGGACTTTGTCCCAGAATAAAGATATTTTCTATCTATATAATTATCCTTTTCTTTGTTTTCCTGATTTGTTAGCTGTAAGCTTTTAGCTTTAGCTCGGTTAAAATTGTAATTCAAAAAATTTTATAGTAGCCCAACATGGCCAGAAAATTATTTCTAGTCAAAGTTGAGCGGTAAGTGAAAGTTTTGAGTTGCGTGCACCAGATTTTTTATTCTAGTATAGCGTATTCTAGTGACTTTTACATTATTATTTTCTTCAAAACCATTTTTCACAACATAATCATTATCAAAACTTGTCAACCGTAATACAAAACTCAATACATATTAATACAAAATGGAGTCTTTAGGCAGGATTCTGGAAATCGCAACAAACCTAGGTAGACAAACACTGAAAAACATAAAAACCACAACATCCCAACTTATCGTAACTTGGGAATATACAAATTCTACATTGTTAATCCACCAAAGCATTACCCTACCGCATAAATTTGACATAAAAAACAATAAAAGTAACAGATAATATTTTTAAAAAATGAGAATTCTGGAAGCGATTTGCTTAATCCAAAGGTTTCGTTATCCAGTGCCCGCGTGACGTCATATGTGCTGCCGCCATAGTTGTGCTCCCCTTTTCTAACCTTTAACAGATATTACCATGACAACCATTACAAAGTGTTGTTGCCCAATGGATTTTAATGAAATATCTAGTACCTAATTAATTGGAAATATAACCGTGTTTCTGAGAAAACAATCATTATTCATATGATAGTTTTAACATTATTTCCAGACAATCTTTATCATTACTTTTCTCCAATTTTTTACTCTCTTACCGCTACTAGGCTAGAAAAGTATTACTATCGGTTTCAACGTATCATTACGTTTCAAAGCCCTCTGATTCCGAAAAACAAATTTTTAACAAAACAAAAACAATTTAAGAAATCGTCTGAATCGAATCGGTTATAGCAAATTTACAGTGTATTTAATTTTAAACAATGATTTTAATGATGTTATCTTGCCATATTGTATTCTGTCTCAATTTTATTGGCTTTACTGAGGTCTCCATGTTGCAATATATTCCTTAAAAGGAGTATCATAGACACATCTTATACCTAGCTTATACCTTTTGCTAACCAGTGCATGGTAAATCTTGTTCTTCTACCTCTCTCCTGATCCATGTGAACTTATGGAATATGGCTGCTCACAACCAAATTCGTTTCAGCTGCGAAATTTATGAATATCCCCACGTTATATCATCTGAGCCAAAGCTGAAAGATGATTGTACCAGGGAGGATTCATGAGAGGTCGAGGAACTATGGATCAGATCTTCTCAATAAGAGCAATGCTAGAAAAAGCCAGGTAATACAATATTACCACGCAGCACCTCTTTATTAAGAAAGCTTACGACAGTATTATAAGGGAAAAGATATATAACTGGGAGCTCTCTCAAAGTTGGTACGTTTGATAAAGATGACCATGAAGAAGGTGGAGTGTGCTGTCCATCCAATTAAGTGGAGGATTTTGAAACGTACTAGGGCCTTAGGAAGGGTGACAGCCTTGCCTGTTTATTGATTATTATGACAGTGGAATGTGCTGTCAGAAGCTCAGGTGTACAGATTGGAGACATCCTATTTAACAAAGCGGCTGAAATCCTTGGCTTCGCGGATGACTTAGACATAATGCTAAGAAGCTATGAAGGAGACGCTTCTCGCTGCACAAATAGTGGGTCTAACAATAAATGAGTCACAACCAAATATATAAGAGCAGGTCCACAAGCATTAAATCGGCAGGATGACCATGTGAAAATCGGTGACTTTAATTCAACTCCAATAACAATATGCAGCAAGAAATTAATAAACGGTTAATTGCTGCAAAGAGATGCTATTTCGAGCATCACCAGATAGTAGATAGATAATAGATATCTCTCGAGGATCACCAAGCTGCAGCTTTATAAGACCCTTATGAGGCCTGTTCTGACCCATGCTACAGAATGTTTGACAATCTCTCGAGCTTAAGAACTAATGCTCCTAAGATTCGAGAGGCGGATCCTTAGAACAATCCTTGGGCCAGTGTTCAGTGATAACGTTTGGTGACAAAGAACTAATTCTAAAATAGAAAGAATGTATAATAAGACAAATGTCGGATTCATAAGGATTCGAAGGCTTCGTTGGGCAGGTCATGTTGCTCGAATGAAGAATGATGAGGTCTCAAAAAAACTTTTGGAAGAAAGGATATACGGCAAGAGGAGAGTTGGAAGGCCAAGATTGCGGTGGGCCGATGGAGTGGCGGAGGATGTCACTATCTATCTTAGGAGTAAGAAACAGAAGGGCAGTGCTAACGAACCGAGAATAATGGCGGTTGATGTTGCGAGAGGCCTTGACTCACCACAGAGTTGTAGTGCCAGAAGAAGAAGATGCGTACACATCGATAATCGAGATATTGCACCATCGACCTATTATCCTTAGTACACTGATTCGACTCTTTACAGGTGTTAAGTCCTGGATTAACTTCCTGGCTTTTGGAATCATAATGAAGCTTGTCTTGAACGACCATGACTGGAAAGAATCCCCACACATCCAGGTGGATAGAGACACCTGGAAAAGAGCGGACGGGGTGGCCGAATGGGCTAACGTGTGTGCACAGCACCACAAGTTACCCGGCAACTAGATAACCGAAGTTATGAGGTGGCCTGAAAGGCAAGGTTGGGCAGAACAAGAAAAATAAATAAATAAAATCAGCCACATGGAAAAGGTTTTTCGAGAAGGGTAGAACCCACCCAAGTTTGCAATGACATCCTTATTGTTACAAGAATTATACTTTTTGTTGTAAGTGGAAATTCGAAAGCTGAGGATTACGTTTCAAACTACTGAAATTGTTGGTAAACTGTAAGTTTATATTTTGCCACCTTCAAAAAAATTATTGTAGGGAAGGCCCAGAGCCTAATCGCTCCCATTTTATACATGTTACAGATTAGCTAAAAAAAGGACGATGTTACTTATCATGTGTTAAGAAAATTCAGTTTGGTGATTAATGAGCAGTGGATGGTGGTCTTTCGACACCATCCACTGCAGACAGGCTTGTTCGAAGCCTGAAACGAAAGGTTTTGCCTCTTCTCCTTACATCTACGAAGAATTATTACTATTTTAAATATAGAACTTTCACACTACTTAAATATTAAATAAATTAGACTAAATCCACCGCTGACAGAAATCATAAATCTAAAACTGAAATCTCTGCTGATTGAAGGAAAGTTGTTGAGAACAATTTTGTCGTAATCCTAATGACGTCACAATTGATAATGATGATAATTAAGGAAATCGTCGTGTATGAAATCCATTGTCTTAACCTACTAATCATTGGAAAATGTGTACCCCAAGAAAGCGTTTTTTAAAATGCTTGTCATGTTGAAGTTGAAGCTTGCAATATGTTTCTGTTCCTTCAAAATCCAACAAGAAAATATGAATGAATTAAAAGATATTTTCTTATTACTAATTTATATAACAATAACAGGGATAATAATCAAGTTTGATTGTTATATTCGTTGTATATATATTTATACAAATGTAATTTTATCTATTATATTTGAAATTTTACGTATTTATTTCGAAAAGGTAAAATATTGGATTAAACAGAAACAATTACAACAGAACTGTGAATAGGAAATATTTATCTTAGAATTGTTGTCCCTTTTTTTTTTTTTCTTATTTTAAAAATATGGTTATTGAGCTTCAATAACATATATTCTACAGCCTTGTTTCAAACTGGCCGGATTTTTAAAAATATAATTCATTTTTCCTCATAAAATAAATTAAGGTTTATTGTACACATAAATTTAGACGCCATCTGACGTCTGAAATCATGTGTCTTAAATATTTCCATTTGTTTTACTGATCATGATTATCTGTAAATTTTCATAAATTTCTAGGTACATTGTTTATATAAAAAATCAACGTTGCATATACGATTTCTTGTAAAATTTTACAAAATTTTATTTCCATGAAAGAATGGTAAGTTTAGATAATATTTATCATAACTTAGATAACATGAAATTTTCAATAGTACGAAAAACCTTAGAACAGAAGCACTTATGAAGGTTATAACCATCGGTATTGGCGATTCCCAGCTCTATCCCATACACTTTATCCCACAGCTTATCATTGTAAGACAGTAACTGTTCGTTTAAAAAAAAAAAAAAAAAGAAGAGGTAGGTTATAATAAATTCTTTCATAGTGTTATATTCAATGAACTTTAAAACTTTTGTTAATGTTTTGATTTTACCATTGGCGAGTATAGTTTCCGAAACCGCTTTTGCCAAATGGAAGCCTCTGGCATTGTAAGATATGGGGGTCCTAATTAGATGGTTTATTTATTGAGCTGAGATAGTCAACTTAAGTAGAGCATCGATATTTATTCTCCACCACTTTTCAGCATAAACCGATCCTTAGAAATATGTATTCTAAAAGTACAACATAAAATATCTAGTGAAAATAGTTTATAACTTTTTGAATTAATTATATCTAATTAGTTAAATGGTGAATTAGTTCCTAACATATTTTCGTTTGTATCGTTGAGCAGAAATTCCGAAGAAACCATTTTATAAAAATAAATAATCTTAACTCATAAAGCACTTTTTAAAGGAATATAATCAAAATAGGTAGTATTAATTATCATCAAGAAAAACTTGTCTTTAGTCTTGAAATTTCATGTTTTTTAACTATATTTTCTATTTAATTTGATCATGTTGTTGATTTTCTTCAATGATTTTAAATGTTTACTTAATGAGTGAACATTTTTTAATTTTGTACTAAAATGTATTTTAATATTTTATTAATGAATGCATTGATATGTATTTACTTTTCTTTGATTAACTTTAATAACATGTTTAAAAAGCTATTCCTAAAGAAAATTATCTGATATATCTTACTGAAGAATCTACTACTTTCAGGCTGAAGCCGTATCCCCAAAATATTTTTAAAAAATATATATTTTATTGTTCATTCGTCCATATTTCTTTTTGTAAATTATATATGCTAAACACTTAAACAACCAGAATATATTCTATTTTTAAATAACATTGCACACACAGCTATTAAATGTAAGCAGGTATCAAAATAAAAGGAATTTATCTCTAAAAGCGTTATTATTCCTGTAATTACCGTTTTTTTTTTTTTTTCATTCAAGGATGATTTAAACATCAGTTTATTTAGGCAGTTTTTTTTTTATTCAGAATAATTACCATCAATAAAAATAAAATAAAATAACCCAAAGTTAAATCCAGGATCCGCTACTGGTTTATTGCAACAATTCACTTAGAAACCTTAGGTGTTAAAAAATAAATTAAATTAGTTAAAAAATATATTTTTTAAATGAAAAATTATATGCTTAAATGAATTAATATCATACTTAAAACATATTCTTAATAAACCTACGATGTATGATTGTACAGTTATTTTTTTTCACTGTAAGTTCAGTTTAGTCTGGATATGGATCTAGTAAAAACGGAAATCTATATCTAAGTCTTTTTAGTGTTGTTGAAATTTGCTACGAATAGGAGTATATATATAGTTCTTTATATTGAAATAAAATCTTTTATGTTTCAGAGGGAGGTGATCTCTTTACATTTAGGTCAAGCTGGGGTTCAGGTAGGTACCACATGTTGGGAGTTGTACAGCCTAGAACACGGTCTAGATACCGCAGGGGATCTCTTGAATTGCTTACCAAACAAGGTCGAAGAGAACGAGTCCCTCAATACTAGGAGAAAGAATTACCACGAATATGGGGATGGAGTCAAAAAGTTCACAGATGGTTTCGCTAGTTTTTTCCAAGAGATGTCTTCAGGCAATTATTCTCCAATGGCGATGCTTGTTGACTTGGAGCCTACTGTAATCGGTGAGGATTTTTTATAACACGTCAGTATCATGAACTATCTAATTCATAATTAAAAAGTAATTCCAACTCCAGTTTAATATTTTTCTGTACTAAGAAAAATAAATTAAATATTCTATATAGTGTGAGTGTGCTCTCTGAACACTATTATATAGTTTCTTTCCTCCTTCCTTTCATTCCTTTTCTCTGTTTTAACTCTTTATTATATCATACATTGTCTGTATATATTGATAGACTTTACAACATCTCAATTTTCTATCTTAATATTCTATTCACAATATCTTAATTTTATTATTTATTTCCATTTCTTATATAGCTTCATATTTTTCAGTTTTACATTTTATTCTAATCTTTACAATACTTATGTCACCTTTTTGACTATGTTTACTTCATCATTCCACGCTTTGTACCTGTTATTATTATTTGTCTCTTGTTCTTACTATTGTCATTATTCTAACAACTGCCTTTTACTGTAATTTTTATGTTTCTCATTCATACCTTGTTATCTGGTTCTTTTCTTAGCCCTGATGATGGCCTGAACTTAGGTCGAAACGTCGGCAAATGACAAAATAAATTTTTGCCTTCTTATCACCTTCTGATCACCCCAACTATTCTTCTTCTCATTATTCACGACAGTCAACTATTTAACCACTATTATTATAAATGTCCTTGATTGTGACAGAATGTAATATTTCTGAATAAACAAATAAAAAATAAAAATATTCTATAATACACATATACTATTCTCGTGGTTAGAGAAAAACAGTAGACGATATGGTCATAAACAAAGTATTTTCATGAATTTTTTACTCTTTACTATCAAGGATATAATTAATTATATTAACCAGTGTACCAGATATCTAATGTACTTAAAGATTGTTGTGTAGGTGTAAATTGAGACTAAATGGTTTCAGATGAGGTGAGGACTGGTAAGTTCAGAAAGCTCTACAACCCTAGTAACCTAGTGACGGGAACCGAAGATGCTGCCAACAATTTCGGCCGAGGAGCTTACACCGTCGGGCGAAGGATGCTGGATCACGTCTTGGACCCTTTGAGGAAGATGGCGGAATCGTGCGAGAAACTGCAAGGGTTCATGTTGTACCATTCCTTCGGCGGCGGAACCGGTTCAGGTTTCAATGCACTCCTCAATGAAAATCTCTCCTGCGAGTATCCCAAAAAGAGCAAACTGGGAATCGCAATCTTCCCTTCTCCGACGGTATGTTTATTGCCATTTTATTCTGATAGTTTCTATCTTAATGTTATGCTTAACTGTACATGAATATTTAATAATATTGAATATCATTTAATATATACATAGCTACTCTGCCAAAGTTTGTTAGTACTATTTTATCAGAACGAGCTGTTTTGAGCGTTTCTGGTCAATCTTGGGCTCAGGCACGTTCACAAATGCTAACCAGATACAATATATTTATTTTTAATTATGAGGTTAACGAAGAAAACTTCCCCTTTGTGACAAGTAATTGTTAGATTTGCATATTACTACATGTTGACGTTTCGGGACCGTTTTTCCATCATCAGAACTTCTTTTCACATTTTATTACAATTCAGTTTTAAGAAATGTAAGTATTTTTTTAAAATTTTGTTTATATGATATTTATAACTGTATAAAAAAAAATGAGACTTGGATATAATAACATGAAACACATATTGAGAAACTACCCATTGGTAGCACTCTAATAATATGTCTATATTAGGAGATCACGTGGCCATCTTCTTTTCAGACTTCTCGGAGGGTTATCAGGAATTGAATAGGAAGCAAGGTTAGAAACAAGAGGGTTGGGATGGTTATGAAGTTTATTATGGAAGGATAGATATCTGGATTGTGCCAAATCTGATACATAAAGGACATTAAGCTCATTGTGGATGATTTTATTTGTAACAAAGTAAGGAGAATTGAGGATTTTACGAAGGATTTTGGATTGTAAGGATTGGATACGAGAGGAATTTGAAGGTTGGTGGAGCCCTATAGCTCAACTCCGTAGGTCCAAATAGGCCTGGCCGTATTATAGTCATATAAATGAGTTTTTTGTAATTAATTGGAAGGTTAGAGCGTTTGTCTAGTAATTGTTGAAGTAGTCTGAAACGTCGAGCTGTTTCTTGCCGTTTCAGTCTGGTATGAGGATTCCAAGTCAGACGTTTGTCCAGGTGGAGTCCTAGGTAGAATGTAACTATAATAATAAATATATGTTGTTGCATTGTTCACTATTATATTTATCATTCGGTATGTACCTGATGGCTCCTTTTTTATGTTATGTTTTTCATTTTTTATCATAAATATAATTTAGGGTAACATATTTCTTGCCCAACAATTTGTTTGCTTTATGAAATACTTGTATTTACCTTAGAATTATGTACTTATTATCTATTCTTATTCTTTATATGGGTTGTTTGTTTGTTGGTTTCCTTACTCAGTAGATTTATTAATTTTATTATAAGACCTATTTGGACTTACGGAGTTGAGATTTGGGGCTCCACAAAGCTAGCGAATTCCTCGTATGCAATCCTTATAATCTAAAATCCTTAGTAAAATCTTCAATGCTTCTTACTCTGTCACTATTAAAATCATCCATAACGACCTTAATATTTCTTATGTTTCCGACTTGCCCAATCCATCCCAACCCATCCTTCCCTAATAAACTTCAAAACCATCCGAACCCTTTCGTTTCTAATCTTGCTTCCTCTTCGAGCCCTGATAACCCTCTGAAAATAAGAAGAAAAGAATCCTTGAGATCTCCTCTTGTAAATAAATATTTAGAGTGCTATCAGTGGGTAGTTTCTCAACAAGTGTTTTCATGTTATTATTTCCTGTTATCACATATATTGAATGTATTTTTATTCCTAACACAGTTTTAAATACCATAAATAAATATTAATAAAATTAATTTTATTGTGATTTAATTCTGTTTAGTAAATCTGAGTAAACTACCAACAAATATACATAGGAGAAGCATCCAAAAACTTCAAAACAAGAATAGCCCATTATAATAACTAATAATAACCAAAATAATAATAACCCTGTAAAAACATAAAAAACATTAGCACAACATAGTAACTTCAATAAATCACAAAAAATAGTTGCAGAACAAACAAATAGCAATAGGAAACTACTCGAGACCAACCATATCACAAAAACAGTATCATGACGGTAAATTCAAAACAACTTGGAACACATTAGTCATATACAACAAGCATAATCAAAACTCAATAAACTTAATAAATCTAATGAAACCAACAATCCATACAAAAAAAGAGAATAGATAATATGTACGAAGTGCAAAGGTAAATTCAGGTAATATATATATATATATATATATATATATATATATATATATATATATATATATATATATATATATATATTATAAAGCAAGCCAATTGTGGGGCAAGAAATGTGTTGCCCTAGATTATAGTCCTCTGCCGTAAATGCGGCAGAAAGTCTGAAACATCAGCCCATGTGCTGGGAAATGCCCCAACAACTCCCTCCTCATAACACGTCGTCACCATAGGGTCAAGTTCAAATTGATGAGGCTCCTTAGGGAAAGGAAATTCACCTGACTTGACGAGGTGTATTGCATCGATAGTGAAGGCTCTACGACATACGCGGATATTGTCGCATTTCCCAAGACAGGAGGGACAGCGCTGATCTTGGATCCAACTGTCCGCTATGAGAGCAATGACCTCGATCAGACGGGTGAAGAGGAAAGGGAAAAGAAGAACAGGTACGATAAATGTATCCCTTTCCTAAAAGAGAAATTCCGTGAGATCTTCCGAGAGAGAGGGAGAGAGAGTTCACCGTGAGAGGCCTCTGGTTTGGGTCTCGCGGAACAATTCCAAAAAGAAAAAGGAGCTTCCTCGAGGAACTAAGTGTCGATATTAAGGACGTAGCGAAGTTGGCTGAAAATATAGTCCTCGACGCCCTGGGCTATATACTATGTTGAGAGTATTAATTTATGTATTTATTTATTTATTTAATGAAAAATGTCTATTATATTTGTTTTATGTTAAATTTTATTTAATTCTAAATGTATGCACTTTTGTTTTTTTTTTATTGTTGTATTATAATTTTAAGCACCTTAATATTGTGTACAGCAGAGGTGTATAAAGAGAGAGAAGGGGAAATTAAATGTTAAAAAAAGGGGGAAAAAAGGATGAATAATGAACTCATTTAAACTAACCTAACCACTTCTGTATATTTATATATAAGTTTATTTATTGTCCTACGGATTAACGAGTATGCTGTGTGTATAGCAACCCAATACAACTGAGCAGCAAGCTTTTATATTTTATATTTTATAATTTATATGAAAATAAAGTGTTTCTCTCTCTATGTTAAAAAATGAAAAAAATTGACGAAGAAGCGCACATACCGAATAGGTAAATATAATAGTTTACCATAATAATATTAACTATAACCAGTGCCAGCCTTATACATCTGGCATCCCCTAGTAATGACATCATATCTCCTCCAAAAACTAATTAATTAATTTCCTTTATTTGTTTTTATATTAAGTAATATTTGAATTTTATTTTATTCATGGCGTTACTGATTCAGATACTGTATTAATAGGCTAAAATAAATTATTCTCAAGCACTTGTTTTTATCCCTAACAAGTGGCGGACACTCCCTTCCAGGTCCGCATCCCATGGCAATTGTCCGGTTGGCCAGACACTACGGCCGGCAATGCATGTGAAGTATAATTATAAATATATGGTGTACATTCATAATTATACTTGTATTCCTAGAAACTGACTTGTAATAAAATACGAAAAAAAAATCTGATAGTGAGGAAACGGTCTCGAAACAAAAACGTTTAATAAATAATATCATAAATAATGTCAACCTCATAATTAATAACCTAGAACTTCTCAAGTACAGACAAAAATAAGTTATATCTTTGTCTTCTGTATGCAGAAAAAAATTAATGGAAAATCTTGTTCATAAATAAGAAATATTTGCAGTTTATTTCGTCTTATGATTATTATTAGTTAGTCTTATGAATAATTTTATTTTTTGCACTTACAGGTGTTTGCATGTGGCACAGTCCAATAATAATTACTAAACCCTAAGTCTTGTCAAAATGAAAAAATAAAAAACTGTTTATTTACGGCATATTACAACATTTTCTTTCATATAATTTACTTCATTTTATAACATCAAGAGTTTTTCCGAGTCTTCAACTAGGTGAAGAAACATAACAAAAATAACGCACTCTAAAAGAAAGCAATCTGAAGCTTAGTAATTAAATAAAAAGTTGATGTTTCCATCTGCTAGAATGGATAAAAACAAATAAACAGATAAGATTGTATAACACACATTGGAACATTAAAAAGTAAATAGAACATTACGTTCATATCTATACTATTAAATACAAGTATAAAAATCAACAATGCCAACAAACTCAAAAATCAGACATAACTTATAAAAATTAATAAAAAACACGGGTCTTTTTCAGATTAGCCCCGCCAGTTATTTTTCAAACAGGAAAAGTATCTGTTACAGGGAAGTATCATTTATAAGTGAATGCATTTTTTTTTCTAGTATACGCATGTATCTTTTCGGCCGAATGGCTTGCATTAAAATTAAATATCCTCAAAAACATAAACAAACAAAATTTGAAAAGAATTCTGCAATATCCGAGTAGGTTGGAATCTATGTCCAAGGCACTTATACGCTCGCACCAATGTGCGCCGGTTTGAATCTGGCCTGGAAAGATTTGACTTTTATTTCGTGGCGGACCCGGACTCGAACTTCCCACTCTGGTTAGAATATGTTTGTTTGTACCTCTAGCACAACCCATATGAATGAAATGGTGGGTAGGGGTTAAACAAAGAAAAATTGAATGTATAGTTTCCGATAAGGTGTATTAAAATTTAGTATTTATGTTATACTTTTATATAATTCGTAATATTTATAGAACAAATAAGTATATGTTCTATAGTAACATCCATTTTACATTAGCTTGATTATAATATTTATAATTCAATTACGATTCCTTATTAAAGTGTATTTTAATACATTGAATCCTCAGCATTAGCCTCTTAATCTTTCTAAAATAAAAATATTTTTTTTAGATGTCAACAGCAGTGGTAGAACCTTATAACGCAGTTTTGAATACACACGCAACCCTTGAACACACTGACTGCGTCTTTCTTGCAGACAATGAAGCTATGTACAACATCTGCCAAACACGATTGGACATCGATAGCCCAACTTATTGCAACTTGAATCGTCTTCTAGCACAAACAGTGAGCTCTATAACAGCTAGCCTGAGGTTCAAAGGAACATTGAATGCCGACTTTACTGATTTTCAAACAAATCTCGTTCCTTATCCGAGGATACATTTCCCTCTGATGAGCTATGCTCCAATCGTCAGTTCGAAAAGAGTGAACCATGAAACACTTTGTATCACAGACCTGACTAATCAATGCTTCGATTCTCAAAACAGATTGGTGCGTTGCGAAAATGAATCGGGGCGATACATGGCCTGTTGCCTTCTGTATAGAGGCGATGTAACACCAAAAGACGTGAACGCCGCTATTGCCCAAATCAAGAACAAAAGAAATGTCAAGTTCGTTTCTTGGTCTCCAACAGGATTTAAAGTTGGTATCAACAATAAAGTTCCAGCCAACGTACCAGAAGCAGATATGGCGTCTGTACAAAAGGCTGTGTGTATGCTGTGTAACACAACCGCAATCAAAGAGGCCTGGATGGCCCTGAACGTTAAATACAACCTAATGTTGGAAAAGAAAGCATTCATTCATTGGTACACAGGTGAAGGGATGAGTGAGCAAGAATTCTTAGACGCAATGGACGACCTTCTCACTCTGGAACAAGACTATGAAATGCTAAGCACAGAAGAATGAGTGTTCTGTCAATCATCCAGCCTTCTATTCAAAGAGGAAAAAATTAAGAAAAAAAGTGTATGTTTATTTAGTTGATTAAAAGTCCTTGTATTAAAAGCAGTTTATTTCGGGCTAATTTATTATTCATAAACAAGAAATAAATGAGAATAGAGCTAATGATTTTCCAGCTAATTTTAAACCTCGTATGATCTTGGATAAAAATTTAGGCAATTCTCATCGATTCGAAACCCTATATAAAACTATATTTAAAAAAAAAAACTCAGAACTGCCTCCGATCAATATATTAATTGGATTAAACCTATTTCCCAAATTGGCCAAAAATATATCTCAATCATTAAAACAGCTCCGTGATTTTCATTTCCTCGAAAAATCCTTCATTTTATAGTATCCTTGCTCTTTCATCTCCACTATGATCAGGGATGAATTGTAATTGAGGAATATATATCTGTTGAATAGAAGATGACGTGGAAGAGTAATGATATGCTTCTTAACAATCAATTTTGGTGTTCTCAGACACTCTCAGGGTCACTACAATTCCGGTCAAAGTTTTCCATGTCTCTTCATTCAATTCATTAAACTGGTTACACTTCGTTTTCTCTCCACTATGAGCTGTATTTATTCCAAACTAAGCAACAATGCGTTTGTAATCACTCTCCTATTCAAATTCGAACCTGGGATAAGTAAATCCTGATGTGTTGATATGTCCAGCTTGGACGAATTGACAGAACTTGCCACTACACAGCCTTCATCCAGATTTCATTTTTTTTTTCTCAAAAAACCAAGTAAGAATAGAATATAAGAAAAATAGAATCCAAACTAACAATTAGATTTAGTTGGAAAGATTTTATTTGGCAACATGATATCCTCAAAACTACGGTGTTTTATGGTCCCCTCCCCTATCCCTATTACAACTCTCGGAGATTTTAGCTAAATATGAACTTTTCTTTATTATTTAGTACATTCGATCTTAGTTTTTTCACTTGCACAATTTTGTGGCACAAATTTTCGCATTTTTATTTTCTATGTAAGTACCTAATTATATTTCTTGAGCGAGTTCTAATAATTCTTACTTCAAGACATAAATCTTGTCATTTTCCGAAATTATAATGTACTAATAAAATCATTCTCTAAAATGAAATAATTCGTTACTATCATGCCAGGTTTCATTTTTTAATTTAAGATAAAAAGTTTATTCTCGACATAGTCCATCCCCTTATTGTCTGTGCAATCAGTCGGCTTCAACCTTCCTAACTTATCTTAACAAAATATTAGGGTGACCGAAAAATAATGTCGTTTTCTTATATTAAATTCAAAAACATATATTTCACACGAGTTTTTATTTTTTATCAATTATTTTAATCACCCTCATCTTTCCTTTGGCATCTAGTGGCAAATTGTCAATGCAGAATCGATAAAAATCAATTGGTTTTTTTTAGCAAAATATATAGATATGTTATTTTGGATATCATCCAAATTTGCAAATGTTGTGCCACTTTGAAAGTTTAAACGATCGGAACAAATGAAAATCCGATGGTGCAACATCGGGCGAGTATGGTGGGAGAGGCAGTATCTCCCACGCCAATTCATTAATATTTTCAAGGGTTCGACTTGCGGATTGCGATCTTGCATTTTAGTTTTGCAGAATAAAGCCTTTTTTTCTGTTGGCAATCGCCGGCCACTTATCAATTAAAGATTGATTTACACGATCCACTTGTTCACAGTAAAAGTCTGCATTCACATTTTGTCTAGTTTTCAGCACTTCAAAATTAACAACGCCGCAAATACACCATCAAACACACAAGCCTATTTGGCGCGTAAACCTGGCTCAGTAATATTTCGTGGCGATTCATTTGGAGAGGGCTCAACTGCCTTTTGTGTTTTAGATTATCATAAAGGACCCATTTTTCATCTCCGATGGTCAAGCTATCAAAAAACGATTCTGTATTCTGCCTTAGAAGCAATAAGTTGCATATGGTGGATATCCAATCTGCTACAACTGTTCTTAGATGATCGAATGGTTGGCTAAGACTATTTGACAATTCTTCGATTGTCTGACACGGATTCGCTTTTACCTCAGCCCTTTAAACAACATTCTCTAACGTTGTTGGTCTTCCTGATCGATATGAGTCGGAAAGATCAAAATTTTCGGATTTGAACTTGAAAAACCACCGTTAGCATTTACGAACGTCTAATGCATTTGGATAAACATCGCAAATATTTTTGGTAGCAACTAATGCATTACTATCCTTGCGTAATTCAAAAAGCCTGCGATGTCGGACATGAACCTCTTCTGGTATTTGGCTGGTCATTTCATCAAAAATAGCAACAACAAAATTTAATTTAATTATTTCTAACTAAACAAGTCACTAAAACCTTATATCTTTGCCACGACAATAAGCTGCCAATTGACAATCAAATTGTCACAGATTCAGAAATGACATTACTTGCCGGAACCCCTAATATTACTTGCATATTCCATATCGAAATTAATCCGCTATTAGCATAGCATGTCCCTACTGTTAGGGCAAAATGTCGTATGTAAAAAGTTTTTTAAAAACTCATTATTTAACATCTGTAAAATCTGATTATTTCTTTGTATTTTATTAGTATAATTTCATATTTTATTTCCCTCTAATATTTTCCTAATTACAGTATTTATAAACTGCAAAATATCACATTTAGCGAAAAGAGAATAAACATGTTAACTGGTTACAAACGATAAATTTGACTAATCTACTTAACAAATGCCTGTTTTTCAAAGTAACTATAAGCTGAAAGTAATGGCTCGAAAATATTATTTGGCAGAAATACAACCAAGAAAGTTACATAGAACCAAAATTTAGTTTTTTTTTTAGTCTCCTGTTTCTGTTCTTACCTTTGCAGTGTTCCTGTCGAAACGAAACTTTTAATTATTTAAATATTCCATTGACAAGCTAAATTCATATTCTGATTGGAGCTCCGGAGCTCATAAAAATATACACTGACAGGCAAAAAATTCCACCCACTTAATTTTTTCATGTTTTCATCTAAAAATATTTCTGCTTTGGATCGTTCTATTGTTTTTAATGAATACATAGGTAATCTTTTTGTTTGTTTTCAATTAGGAATGTTAATATTGAGGACAATAACCCTTAATCCTTAATTCAATGAAATGATTCTAGATTCCAATGTTTACTACCTATGGAATCAAAATGTTGGACTATTGTACTATGGACGAATGGAGTGCTGTACTTTTTACAGATGAGTCAAGATTTGCTCTTCGATCTACAGATATGCGTGAAAGGGTGTGGAGAAGAAAAAACGAAAGATATGCAGCCTGTAATTTTCCCCAGAGCCAACCTTTCCAAAGTAGTTCCTAAATGGTGTGGGCTAGGATTTCAATGGAGCCCACGCGGTTCCATTAACCGGTAATTATTCAGGTTGTTGTTCGTGGAGGGTCTTTGACGGCCATTCGCTATGTAGATGTGATTTTGGAACCTTATGTGTTGCCTATCCTCAACGAAATCGGCTATCGTTGTATTCTAATGCACGATAATTCACGCCCACATGTCGCCGGCATAGTTCAGACGTTCCTTCAACAGAAAAGTATTGAGGTTTTAGCCTGGCCAGCACGTTCTCCAGATTTGAAACCCATTGAGCATTTGTGGGATAACCTCGGAAGACGAATAAGAGCGCGTGCAACACTTCCTGGTACACTGCAGGACCTTGAAAGGGCTCTTCGGGAGGAATGGGCTATCCTCCAGCAAAGGGACATTTCCCGACTGGTGGAAAGTATGCCGAGGCGTCTTCAAGAAGTAGTTAAGGCAAGAGGAGGAAACACGAGCCACTAAACAATGATATAATTAATTTCTTTTGGAATAATAATGAGTCGTTTTTCAATTTTTTTTTTTCTCTGATCTTTCTTACCCAATCACATTTTGATTATTAAAGGTAAAAAATATTATAAAATTCCATAAATACTAAGTATTATCTACAAATACTGTGTATTATATACAAATACAACTTTACAGAAATATTTTTAGATGAAAACATGGAAAAATCAAGTGGATGCAATTTTTTGCCTGTCAATGTATATGGAGGATACTTATTCTCAATACACAGAGCTAAATTACTCAATAAGGGAAACTGCAGGGGTGCCCATCCCCTCAAAGGTCGAAACTACCTTCCCTCCTCCTCCCAAGACATTTTATTGCTCACCTTGTCTTAACAACAGAGAAAGCTAAGGTAGAATTAGAAAACTCGTAGATCACATACAATTACACTTACTGTGGTCTGTTCTATGTTTCCCTCTTGTCCCTCAGTCCGAAAATTCATAACCCCGTAGAAATTTGCCTCCCTCAAAAATTTTTATGGCGCCATGAAACCCCCTTCTGGGTACCCCTGGGTAACTGTAATGGTAATCTCATTAAGACTCGATATTCACTCGAACCGCAAGCAACTTTTGTTTTTTCGAATACCCCCATACCATTTATGGCATACGGGAGGAAGTTTGTAATAAGGTACACCCAAACTTATTATAACCAAAGTGGGAAGATCGAGATTCATTCCTTGAGCCCGCCACGAAGTTGATGTCAACCGCTCCAAACCGAATTTGAATCGGCGCACAGTGGGCTATTCATGTAATCTAGCGGGACAAAACTCCAAAAATGGATAGTGAATATTTTTGAGGAAAATGACATAAAACGACAAGGAAAATGTCTGTTTATATATTGGTGCAGTAAGAAAAAGGAGAATTAGTCGAAACAAAAACAAACAATGTGAATTAACATGTTAAGAAACATTGAAAGTAGAGAGTCATTTATCCAGCCGAACGATCAACTAATTTTTTCTTTAAATATTGTGCTTATTTTGTTGCCTCATTAAATTTTTAATTTTTCAAAATATGAATAATATTTCGAAAGGTGTTTATAGTCCGTGATACATACCCCTTTTTATCAAAATATTACTTCGTAAATAGGTCCATATCATCACTAGCGGATCCATGATTTAATTTAGGGGGGCGGCTTCAGCCCGGAAGGTTTTTTTTTTCATATGTATAACGATAATTACATTGGAAAGATACTAACTACCTGTATGAAATGGTGTTTAAGTGATTCTTGAAGCCCTATTTAACGTAATTAAACGAGCAATAATACTTAAAGACATATTTTTTTCACCATAAAACATGGTTACATTTTACCATTTGTGGGGGGAGGGGAGGCTTCATCCCGAAACCCTCCCCCGTAAATCCGCCTGTGCATAACATTGTAGTCATCAGCTAGTTTCGAAAATTGGACCTAGAGATCTGAAAGTCAGTGCTCACCCACTTAGCTTCCATGCTCCCATTATTCTAAAAATTCTATTCAAATTACGGTAAATGTACCGGTAACAGAAAATTTAAGAGAATTTTCCAACATTAATCAAAACTTAAATTTTAACGGTGGATCTTTGCAAATGGGTTTAATTGACAAAAAATTAAATTTTTCTATACAATCTTTTCTATATTTTTCTATTTCTTTTTCTATACCATAAGTTTATTATTCATGAAAAACTTGAGAATTCTGACTGCATATTTTGTACCAAAACACGCGGATTTTGGAATCGGTATAAGGTTTTATATAATTAAAAAACAAATTCTCCACAGTTTTAAACAATGAAATGACAAACTACAGATGAATAAATCAAAAATTCAAACCTATCTCCTAAAGAAGAGTGGTTAGGAAAACCCTCTGAAACAAACACCTAGCCTTGCTCCATTGAAAATCAACTTCAAATCAAATCAATTATTCGGTTATTGTGGCATCACCTCAGGTTCAAGCATCACCTTCCTAAGTGTTCTAGCTTCAAATCTCATCGTATTTGCACTCTCTTTGAAATGCATAAAACTTATTAAATTTTATTAAGTTGAAAACCGTCTAATACTGATACATTTACCCTAATGCCTTAAGTTGCAAACCGCGATGAGAGTGAGCGAAGGTTAGTTGAGCATGAAAACGAGATTATCAGAGATAAGCTCAAATCTACTGCTGTAGGCCACGAACCACTATCTTTGAGCTGTTTGTCTATTCGATGTTTAGAGTTAAAATCCGTGAAGCTGGTCCGTGTGATAAGCCTATATAAATTAAATAACTGCATCGTTCAATTTAAAAAGTCTATCTTAAGAAACATATTTTTATAATTTGTCTATCCATGACTTGTCATTTTCAAACAAGTATCTTTATTTTTCATTGTCATTCGTAAAAGAATTTTAACGGGACACACGATATCCCGTACCAATAATATATTGTACTGATAACTTAAGTGTTGTTAACCCATAAGCAAACCTAAAGGCCGAAACACGTGAACAATTAATTACACGATTGAATGGCCCCACGCAGATCCAAAACTTAACGTGTTTTGGGAAGCCCGGATGGATTGGTGTATTCGGTTTGATTTTTAGCTGGTCTAAAATCCTTCTTCTTTTTTCTCCATGGGTGCCTCTCAGCGAGGAAAGACCTCCGGCCACTTCGACCATACATCCCGGTCTCTCACAGACACCTTCGTCTTTTCCCTCTTTTCTGACCTATTCGCAGGATATGCTCTTCTAGGCATGATTAGGCCTCGTGATTTCCTGCCAGTTGGCTTCGCTTTCATACATTTCCTTGGTACTCTGTTTTCTCCCACTTTGCATATTTCATCATCCCATCGAAGTTGTCGGCATCCCATAGTTGCTTTCAGTGAAGGTATCAGGAGTCCCTCACTTATTCTTTCTTTCCTTACTCTGTCTTTCCCAATATTCTTCGTAGATTTTATTTCAGCTGCCGTAATCCTGCTTTAGAACCTAGTCAAGCTTAGTCGCTCAAAAGTCCTCTTTAGATGGATTTAGCAATGACAAACTCTATTTACATTTAAAGTAAATTGTATCTAGTTTACAGTGAAGCAAGCAATTGTTAATTATCTAAATAAATAAATTCATGCGTAAGGTATATTATTAATAAACCAACATTAAAAGTTGAATTACTACCATTTAAATTGATGAGGAAAAATGTGATGTTTTATAATTAACAAAAAAAGTTTAAACACTTCAAATTATTAAAACTTGTTTTTTCTCAAAATCGAGGTCAGGCCAATTAGAACCTTATCTAATCAAGGTAGCAAATTGTATATGCGTTATTAATTAAAAAGGGAGCCTAAATATTACGATTTTTTAAATATTTCCATGTATAGTATAGCCACGAAAAACACTCCAAGATTTACTCGCAAAATATTGGTACTTAGAAAAAAACTTTGACATTTGGTCAAAAGACCGACAACGGTCGGAACAAGTCCCAATGCGAATATTTACCATTTGACAACTGCATCGAATTACATTCGCCGATCGTTCGGGGCATCCATTGCATCTTGTATCAAGAGCAATACATCTTATAGCAGTGACTAATGACAAATGTTCGGTACTTGATTGCATTCATGACTCGTAGTTCGAAATACTGTCACACGATGCGTCAAAGTACATTTGCCGATAGTTTTTGGATATTCGGCGCATCATGTACATCCATCATCATGTACATTCATCATCATGACCTAAAAAGGTTATGCATTACAGGAGAAGGTTAGTGATTATAACTTTTATTGTATGAGCTTTTTATCTTAAGGAACTGCAGAATCATTTATGTCTCAGTTATTGAGAAAATTTATGGTTTTTGGACCATACCACTTAACCAAATTATTACGGTTAGATACTTACCCAACGCACAATGTAACTTTATTTAATTTCTTAGAGAGTAAGTATTTCGCAATTACTATATTGGCTAATATGCCCATGCATTAAGTTTGCATGCATGTAGTTTGAACCAGGTGAATTCCATACACTATAGTTATGTATTTATGTGTGTATATATATATAGCTGTCCTATACAGCTATAGAGGATATAGCTGTCCTCGGAAGCAATCAAGAGTATATTGAGAGACTCACTCGGACTCTGTTAAAAGAAGCAGAGCAAATCGGACTACAAGTCAATGTAGATAAAACTAAATACATGATAGCCGAAAGTCCACCCTAATAACATTATCTGCATGGACTCTAAGTCATTCCCGAAAGTATACAGATTCAAATACCTCGGCTCCACAATAACTTCAATAAATGATCAACTAACGGAGATAGACCAGCTAATAGATCTTTCTTCTCTCTTTCAAGGGTACTAAAATCCAGAAAAATCGCCAGAAATCTAAAAATATGGGTGTACAACGCCGTGATTAAGGCAGTTCTGCTGTACGGTTGTGAAATCTGTGCTCTAACTGGCACACTAGAAGCCAGAATTGAGAGATTCGAATAAAGTTCTCCGTAAGATAACAGCACCTATATGGGACCAGAACCTTGACCCATGGAGGAGAAGGAATAATAAAGAACTGCTGAAAGAAACGGGTCAGTCAATATCTCATGAAATGAAGACAAGGAGGTTAAGATGGGTGGGGCATGTAGCTCGTAGCAATCCATCAGGACGCCTACAAAGTCTGTAGAGCCAAGCTGGAAAAAAAATGTATATATATATATATATATTTTTTTTTTTTTTTTTTTCTGTCGACATTATAGACCATGCAAATCTTTTGCTGCCTTAACTAGACTGTCTTGGGCTTTTTCTTTCCATTTATCTGCACGCAGCTCTGTTGTATCTTTGTTGATTCTATCCATCTGCTTTTTGGCCTTCCACGCGGCCAATATATGTTATTTATATATTGTATATATAAGGGTCATCAATTCCATTTCTGTAGAAAATTTTAAACAACTAATACTTCATTTACGATATCGTTGCTGAATTTTCTATTCAGAAAATCCGAATGAACGGGCTTGTGACGGGTGGTCTGAACGTACATCTGAACTTCATGCGCAAATAATTTTCAAAATCAAGTAAACGAGACTTGAAATGATAGCAGTTATAATAACGAAACGAAAAAATAACATATTCACTAAGGGTTTTTTTCTGCAAAACGTCAGTGATTCCAAACAAAAATTTTTCTTATTTCAGAGCCAAAAAATTATTTATAATAAAGTACATTCTAAATACTAACCTCACTTACACAAGCAGATCTACAGAGGGGGAGGAGAGTCTTTCGGGCTAAAGCTCTTCCCCTCCCAAAAGAGTAAGATATAACCATGTTTTATAAAGTATATTACGAATTTGTATAAATGGATTATATACGTGGGCGGGGTGGCCGAATGGACTAAAGCGTGTGCACTGCACCGCCGTTGCCCGGCAACCTGACATATGAATCATAGATATAAAAATAGTCACGAGTTCGCGTCCCGGTGCCAGGGGAGTCATAAATCCTCGCCCATACTCTCTGACCCTGAAAAATCCCGTATAGCCTTAACGGCGAGGAAGGGAAGGACACAAACAAAAAAAATGGATTATATACATTATTGTTTTTATTTTTTAGTTTTAGTTTGTATAACTATTTTAATATTTAATTTTAATATGTGTATTACAATATTAGTTAAGATTCATGTGCCATCAATCACTATAGTTTATTATTTATAATTAGCGGTCGTATACTATTACATCTCTGATTGTAATTTTTAAAAAACATTTTCAGCCCTGAAGATGACCCACATGTTTGGGTTGAAAGTTGGAGAAAATAAAATTTTTAAAAAGACTGCGTCCTGAATATTTATCACCCATGATAAGGTCCATGTCGACTAACTTCCTTCAAAAACTAATTTTGTTTTTACTAGCTATGCTTTCATTATACATTATATACACATATGACCAAATTTTAATATAAAATTTCAGGTTCTAATCTCTAGTATGTTTCTTATAAGGCAAATTCCTAAACTCAGCTCTGAGCTTACCGATGTCATTATGCCAAGTTAAAAAATTGGTCCGAATCCATCGATGAACCCAGCGCTGAGTTTAAGATCATTCTCGTTCTGCTCATAGGAAGCTGATTGTAAACCATAACCTTCCTACTTACATATCAGTTTAGTTATGATTATGTTCGATCAGAGATAGTTATTCTTATATTACATTTTATTGAATGTCATGATACCAATTAGCAGAGTGACTAAAATCTTAGTTACTAAAGGAAATTGCCATGTTGCTTACAGGTTTGTAATATTTCCTTCTAATTTATTTTTTAATCTAATTGAAATTTGAACAGTTAAATAATTGAGAAAATCCTTATTATATTTACAAAACAGTATTTGTTGTACTAAAACATTTAATTATAGTTCTAGTTAACTAGCAGATGTATTTTAAAAGAGTTTTTTGAAAGCTAATATATTTTTGTTGATTATGAGTGAAAAATAAATAATTGTGATGTTTGAATAGTTTCTTGTATCTTAAGTATTGATAAGATGTTTTTTGGTTCTTTATTTTAATTTTTAATAAAACTTTTGTTCAGACCTATTCCTATGTAAGGGTTACTGTACTCTCATGTTTTAGTTTCATTAAGTTACTTTTTAATTAAAAACTTGTCTAATTGAATGTTTTGTCATTTATAAAGTAAACTTTGCATTGATAGCTATGGTTGTTTTAAGCATTTTTATAAATATATCAGTGTGGATCTATGAATTCCATCAATGTGTTCCTGACCCATCTCTCAATGAGGCGTCACACTTATAAAACAGTACAAAAAAAGGTTTATCTGTATACAAAAGTTAAATATAGACAAACAGCTTAAGGGAAAATGTTTTAAGGTGCATGTGCTTAACAATCAACTAAGGAATTATTATATGTGAAACAAACAGTGTAAAACAAATCAAAATGTTAACAAATATGTGATGGTATTGGTTAAATATTTGTTCATGATGGTCTGAATTTATTTCAGAAAATGTCCATTAAATATAGAAAAATCAAGGCTTAGCTTTGTCTGAAAAAAAGTATAGTTTTTTAACTACATTATGAATTTATGTAAATATTGTCTTTCATAATTGATTAAATATATATATATATATGTCATTATTTTGTTTGCAATATTACTTTATGGATATTATCCTCTCTTGAGGATAAATTTCATGGCCTCAGTTTGATTGAGTGCAATTTTGAACAGCAACCTTAACATACATAGCTGTCCTATACAAATGGATTCCATGATCTTATTTTTAAAATATTAGCTGATGCATAGTTGTGTTTAATTGCTTCTTCATCTAGATGTATTTTCTAAAAAAAAAAAAGAACAAATAAGTCAATAATATAAAACATATCTTTCCTTATTCACTACTCAATAGTTAATATTTATTGATAACATTAATAGTTAATGTTTATAGTATTTATTTATTTAGTCGCAATTTTTTTACAGGAATATACATAATCAGCCAATACGGAATTACATTCAGTCTGTACAGAGGTACATATTTTCATCATATTACAATTTTGTTAAAAATTATGAAACCAAGGTGGAACTTAAATTTCCTGCTGCATTCCAAATCTATCGAGTTGTGAAGATAGGTTTGCAGGTGAACATATTTTTTTTTAGTTATTTTAAATACTTATATATATTTTATATATAACATTTGTTAGTTCTAGGTCCAATTTACATTTAGATTTAAACAATAAGATGAAGCGTAGGTTTATTTCAGGATTTGTTCATTGATATGAAAGAATTTGTGCGAGTTCTAAGAAAAATAAATGCTCATGACAAAAATCTTGAATGTTTGACCCGAAAAGAACTTGAACTCTATATTCGAATGCCACATGATATGAGACGTGTTGCTCCAGTTCTTCTTATTTCTGCTCTACCTTTTGCCAACTATATTATGTTTCCTTTGGCGTAAGTTTCATTTATTAATCTTTTAAAATTATTACTTTGAATAATTTATATTTAGTACTGTTTTTTTTAATATGTACAATATAAATTTTAACATAACTTACTTTTAAAATTAACCATTTTTTCAATTTAACAAATTTCATAATACGTTATTGGGATGTTATCATATTATAGGAAGGTCATTTATTATCAAATGAGGGAAATATTCAGTATTTTATCTGTTTTATAATGAGCTATAATTCAAAATTGGATCGTGATGTTACACCGAGTTAGAGAGATGAAAAGAGGAAAATACAGCACAAAAAAATGGAATGATAATACGTTTTTGAACAGGGGATTCCCAAATTCATCCATCCTATCTCTTAGTGATATTTAGTTCCAAAGTGGTTTACACTGTTCTTTGATAACTGCTGTAAAAATTAAAATTTTCAAACCAGATTAATAATATTGTTTTTAATGGTATGGATATGATACCTACAGATTTTGGTTAACTCAGACTTGTGATACCTCCGGGTTTTCTATGGCAGTCATGAACGGAACTCCATACTGATGTTTTCTACTGAGTCCGCGTCTGGAGTGGCCGCTCCATTCACTCTATGGTCGGCCCTCTCTTTATTATTGATATTAAATGGTTTTAGTTCTGTTGGAACCTGAATTGTGGAAAGCTTGACCTAGCTCCCATATTTTCCTGGGATATGTATATTTTTACTGGAACAATATGACAACTATTCTTTCCAGGCATCCTTTTTCTATTTTACCTTTTCTTAGACAAACCTATATTTAATTTCTTTGTTCCGCATGTTATGGTGGTCACTTCTAAATATTGTTCTTTTGAAGTTCTTCCACAAATCTTCCAAATTACTGCCAAGATTGAGCCCTCTTAGCCTCTCTTCAATGCCATTCATGAATTCATTCCTCTTTTCATCTGTCTGCAAGGTTTGCACATTGATTTACTCCTTTAAAATTTGCATATCTGCCATAAGCAGCAAATGATTTAAGCCCAATTCAGCCACTCTGATAACATTAACATTTGTGAAGGTAGAATGAATTATCTATTACAAGATGATTATCCTGACAGAACTCTACCAGCCGGTTTCCATTGGAAATAAATGCCCTTTCGCCACCATGTTGGCCAATGGCACATGCCACTTTTGATGATTCCAGCCTGTTCTAGCATTGAAGTTGGAATAATAACTTACCTGTTATTATCAGGAGGTTAATGAATTAATGAAGGAGGTTTTTTCCATAATAACCTGTGAATTAGACAGAAATATATTAGAAGAGACAGTTACCAATTTTCAAGCATACCCATAATTTCTTTCCTCATGCCTACTCCTTCGATTCCACAGAAGTCTTTTGAAGTACATGAGTATATTAGGGTGCAGCCATTATCTAGCTGCATCACCCCCAATTATTTTTAGCTTTGCCCATATCCAAGATGTCAATTTTATACTTTGACAGTTTTTCACTTTTTTTTCTGCTAGCTTGAAATCAATTAAGAACCATTTATTGTGATCAGTTTAGCCATTCTGATTAATATATTTGAATTTTATTTTCTACTGAATTTCATATTTTTAACTTTTATTGTGTAAATTCCACGTTTTATGTTCTACTACTCAAAATTGCAACTTTTGCTGTAGTTAAATATTTGATCTCCAAGTAGGTTCGAAAATGTAAACATTGAAAACCAAATGATAAAGGAATGTTTCTTACTCTTGGCTATATTTTTTTTCCTTCCTCACTACCGAAGGTAGGGAAGCATTGTGTTCGTGCGAGAGATTAAAAAAAAATTTTTGCTCAGAATTGAAAATTTTCACCCGCGTTTTACGTTTCAGACATCAAGGATCAAATTTGGTTCGGTGTCTGTCTGTATGTAGTCAAATCGATGTAACGGGCATATTTTCTGTTGGCATTACAGACCATGTAGATCTTTTGCTGCCTTATAAAGGCTGCTCCATCTCTGCCTGTCTTGGTTTATTTCTTTCAATTTATCTGCACGCAGCTCTATTACATCTTTGTTGATTCTTTCTATCCATCTGCTTTTAGGCCTTCTATTGAGGCATTCATTGTTACGTAGTGAATTCCAGATGGATTGCTACGAGCTACATGCCCTGCCCATCTTAGCTTTAGCCTTCATATCATTGGATATTGATTGACTAGTTTTTGTAAACAGTTCTTTATTGATTCTTCTACAGTTCTGATGGTAGGTTGTCTATCCCTGTGCCCTTTCTTGTTTTGAGCCTTTCAATAGCTATTTCTACATCCAGTATATCTGCCTTTTCAACTTCTTCTGGGTCAAGGTCCTCAGTCTGATCCATTTCTTCTTCATTCGTGGGGTTTCCTTGATTGATAAGCTCCTGGAAATGTTCTTTCCAGATGTTCAACATACGTTCTTTAGATGCCATCTTTTCCTTACATTTTTGTATTTCTCACTTTATATCCTACCTTTTCCTTCTTAATGTATATTTAGCTAATATGTTGACAATATATTTTTTTTTTTTTTTTTTGGGTCCTTCTCTTCCTCGCCTTTAAGGCTACACGGGGTTCTCCCGGGCCAGGGAGTGTGGGCGGGGATTTAAAAGACTTCCCCGCCACTGGGATGCGAACTCCGAACTATTTTTCATCGTTGTTTCATATGTCAAGTTTCCGGGCAACGGCGGTGCTGTACACACTCGTTAGCCCATTCGGCCACCCCGCCCATGTTGGCTATATAGAACACTTGAGATAACTTTCTATAGAACACAATAAATAAGTTTGTTTATTTTCTCCTTATATTCATAGAAAGCCAGTCAAATCCCACACCTTTACTCTTTCTTATATGTTCCTTAGTTACTTTAATTTTATATTGTCCTTAGTATCATTAGGTGTATAAACTTAGCTCCTTAAAAAAAGCTATCTTACCAAATTTTAAGTTATGCTTCCATAGTAAAAGGATGAAAAATTAATTATCATGAACTTGAGGGGAAAAGAAAACTAGCTATTTATTTTATTTTATTTTTTTACTTTCACTTACCTATATATGTAATATATAGTAAAGAAAAGTATTGCGATCATGAAAATTTTCGAATCTGAATTTTCAACTGAAATACACGTTTTGAAGTCCTCTGAATCCAAATAATTAAGTCCCGCAAAATGTTCTGGAATAATCTAGCTCAAAAACGAAAAGTCATACAAAACTGATATTGCATAGTTAAGATAGGTATATACCTCAGATGTTACAGCAACCTTTTCCTTAAAATCGGCTAACCACAAATGTCACTTTATATCAACCGTTATACACCTTTTTACAATTTTCTCAAATACGGCTCTATCAATTTTGATTAAACTCGGTGTATCATTGTATAATTAAGTGGTCTTTAATATCATGTAGGTCTTATACCTATCAATGAAAATCTCGTAATTTCATTTTAGTAAATTTTACAATAGAAAATAACAGTTTAATAACTAATATGCGTACAATCCAAAGTCATTTATGGGTTGAATATACAGATATACCTAGTTCTGCCATAAATACTATTACAAAAGTTGAACTTTGTTTATATCCTTGGGTATTATGTAGATAATTCTTATCTCTATCAAGTTATTTTCCTTACAAGTCACGATAATAATCCCAATTAGTTTGTATTTTTCTTTCGCTCAGTAAACATGGAGTGGGTTAATAAAGAAAACTGAATAGCTATGATCTGCTTACACAAAGTTAGAAAATGTAGTTCAAAGATTTTCAACACTTTGAAACCTTTGGGTATCAGCCATATGTTTGTGTACAGCACTATAAATAGATATAATGAGATCCTATCTGTATTTGACAGATCTCGGCCAGGCCATCCCCACACTTTGAGAACAGCAAATGGAGTGAGAGCAGCGGCTGCTCGAGTCAGATGAAATACCATTTGAAAACAACAAATCAAGTGTCAGGAAATGGGAATCTCTGTAAGATCAATGTCTTGCATAATAAAATTTGTTTATTTTGTGTTAGTGAACATATTGTAATGTCAATGTTACATGGCACTTTTTAATAGTGGCACGAAAGTGGTAACAGCACAAATTACGGGGAGAAAGTGAGTGCGGATGGTGGGGGATGCAAGCCTCATGTAACTGAGAATGCGACAAGCCGTCAAGAGGGAATGTGACAGGCCGCCAACAGAGAAGGTGACAAGCCGCCAACAGAGAAGGTGACGAGCCGCCAAGAGAGAAGGTGCTAGCCAGCAAGCTGAGAAAGTGAAAAAGGAGTACTAGCCGGCTCGAGTGCTGATAGAGGCCACTAGTGGAGATTATTTTGTGTTGGAAGAAAGAACATACCAGAAATTAATTAAGTGGTACAGAAAACGGAACATTCGTAAGTAAGAAGAGATTATTTCACTGACAGGCGTAAACATTTGGGTGAGTGCTAACAATGCCATTTGTGTTGACAGAGGGATAGAGCCACAAAGTTTAGACTGAGACAATCAATGTTTTTGAAAACAATTATAAATTTTATATGTATAATTAGTGTATTTAGTAAGTAGTAAATTATAGTTACTTAATGTTGAATGAGTGTTCAGTTGTCAGAACCCAACCTGAGAATTTATGTTATGTATTAAAATAAATGGTATATTGAAAAAGTAACTCGTTTGATTTTGGAGGGAAAGAGGAACATTACAATATACCTAAAATAGTGTCATGCAATTACGAAACACCCTGTGTATAGCTCAGAGACTGAAGTTGTGTTGTTTAATGGTCTTGATGATTTGTTATCTGTAGCTTCGTTAAAAATGCAGTACAAAAATTTTATAATGGCTAAACATTGCCAGAAAATAATTTCTATTTAAATTAGAGTAGTAAGTGAAAGTTGTGTATTGCGCTCACCAGATTTTTTTTTTTAATGCATGGACATAGGTTTGCTTTGGTTACTCGATACCCAGAAACCATTTTATTTTAAATGCAATACCTTCTTAAGTAAGAAAAACATCTTATAACAGCAACTAAGTATTTCACAACTAAATTGTGTCTTCAATCTCGATTTATTTCCAAATCATTGGTGTATTGCAGTATTTGCATATTGCTATTAAAGATTATTCCTGTAGTCTGCATTCCTGCTTTCCTGTAGTGATTACTATTATTTTATAAAATTATATTAATTATTTAAATTGCTAATCCAATTTAATTTTTCTTTTGGTTAAGCATTGTATGTTGATTATTTTGTTTTAGGTTTATTTTTCCCAGACAACTTCTCTCAACACATTTTTGGTCACTTCAACAAAGAATACAGTTTGCTGTTATTGATCAGAAGCATAAATTAAAATATTATAAGCCAGTATTTCGTTCACTTCAGGCAAAACTCAATCTATTAAAGAAAGACCCCATTTTTCCATATTGGTCCAAATGTATAGCACTTCTAGGAAGTGGTCTTCACCCTAAGCCTGAAACAATAGCTAAATGTATACCTCTTTTTGGTTACAACGAAGTATACCATTTAAAAAATATAAATTCAAGCCACGCAGTAAGAAAAAATTGTAATATAAAATACTTTTTTAGTTTATAAATGAGTAATTTAATTTTTTTTTTTTTAAATATGTAAAACTCCAAAAACTGCACAGTACAATTGCTAATGTATTTTCAGCACTTTTTATTGAAAATGCATAATATGTATGGATTCTGGAGAAAAAAACACAGACTCTCAGAAAGAGCTAAACTTATCCAGTTAATGGATCTAGCAATTATTAAAGAAGGTGGGGTGTCTAAAATGACGCATGATGATATTCGAATGGTCAGTATTAAATTTAATATTTTCTCATTTGTTTTTAATCTATCCACCACAACAAATATTTTAGTCTTACTCTTAGCAAATTAATTCCTTCTTCACAATCTCATTGAGTTTTTCAGCATGAAAAGGGCATTATCAATCCATGTAGGACTGCCTTTTCCTTTCTTCTACTAATTTTAACAATGTGTACTAATAATTCAGGCTGGACCCTCTAGCTGGGTTCATACTAAGCAGATTATCTATTTTCAATTGTTTAATTGTTATTCAATGTCATTGCCTTCCAATCCTTATTAACTTACCAGAAATACAGCTGACAAAAATATTTTATTCTTCCTTCTAATATGACTATCTTAGTCCAATCTAAGGACTAATATACCCATAGGTGATTGAATCGTTAAAAAGGCTTACAAACATATTTTTTTTTTCAAAATTTTATTGAAAAATGATGAGAGAGGAAAGATAAGGAAGGGTTTCTGTACCAGACTGGGCTGAGCATTAAATTGCAGCCTGAAGGTATTGAGGATAGAATGGTTGATGAGAATCTTATAAATGAGATTTACACTGATGAAGAAATCATGTCATCGGTTATGAAATATGACACAAAGGACAATAAATAATAAAACTGTTGTTGAAAGGGTGGAAAAGTGACTCATAGTGAAGCCAGAAAGAAATGCAATTGAGGTAGTACTGATGTACACGGAACAGTAATCATTTTCTTCATTAAAAAAAGGAGGTATTTTATGTTTAAAAATTATTTAAATGTTGAAAACCAAAATAAATAGTAGACTTTAAAAAAATCTGCAAATTATTTCACAATGGTTTATTATTTCCAAACAACTATACATCTAAAGTAACGTTACCTCCCTAGTTACAAAGAAAAATAAATACAAGGTGATTCCAATTATTGGACTAATTTTTTTTTTTTTTAATCATTAGTAATATGCTAAAAAAAAAAATAGCATTACTTCAAAAATACATTCAAAATTTAAAAACCAAACAAACGATATTACATTTGGAGTTGAACATATAAAAAAAAACTGGAGACCATATCTTTGCTCCTAATTGTCCGATTAGGTGTATAACTTAAAAAGTGTATACTTTGTAAAAGTGTGTATGAGTTACTCGGAATCAAATTTTACTATCCCTCGTAACTTATTTTCCAGCTTCTTTTCATTGAATTATGTTATATAGATGAATTTAAAGGGCGTCAAGAAAATGACTTTAACGAAGTTTCATTGAAATCGGTACATTCATTTAGGAGCTACAGTCTATAGCAACGCTAGTTTTTCGGCCGCCATTTTGAAAGTAAAAGGTGGATAGTAATGTCGATGAAAGAGGATCATCCTCGGGCGACCTCTGATTTTCTATCCAAATTTGAAAAAAATCGGTCCAGTAGTAACTAATGAATTCTCTCAATTAGGCTTTGGATAACCAACTCTCCTTATTCCATACACTTTCTCACTAAATACTTTTCATAGCATTTCTGCTGAATTCATCCTTAAGATATAACCAGTCTACCATAAGCTGTCTAGTTTAATGACTTGGATAATCTCAACATGTTTTTACATTGTTTTGAGCTCATTAATTGTCCTTGATTGCCAATCTTGGTTTATACATATTGGCACAAATATTCTATTTCCTTTCAAATCTCACAAGTGACCATTCTTGCATTCAAAACCTTCGGGTTTTAAATGGCCATACCACATCTCTGCATTTCCTGCCCATTAGGTATTTATTATTGGCATATCCAAGAAGTTGAACGGATATTTACCTGTAATTCTGCATTCCTTGCAGCTTTTTCTGATTCCAAGGCAAATCAGGCCTTCTTCCTGCCTCTCACCAGTCTATCACGAACCTATTTGACAAGTTCCCGCCAACTCTTACATAGCAGATATTATTCTCCATTGTCATTCTAACTAAAATCACAAATTAAGAGGAATTATCATTTCTAATAGGGCTCTATATACCTCATGACAATTTATTGAGTGATAGGCTTTAGGGAAATCACTTAATATATGGTGAATTTGGATATGGTATTCTGCTGTCTTCTGTAACATCTGGAGGATAAATTAACTATTGTTTTATATGGATTGCAGCAGTAAGAGAAGGTAGTGCCGATTTCTGTAATTGACAAGCATTATACAACATACAATTTTTAGACCATGAATAAGATATAATAGAATAATTTAACGGAAATATTTTGGAAATTATTGAGTTTTGATGACTTGAGAATAAGCAAACTGCTCGAAACATCATTAAAAGTTTAATAAATAGTTAAACTATAAGGATTTATATATATTCTTGGAGATATCATTTGTAAGTACTCTTTATAAAATTAAAGAACGTTAAATTGTGCTTCAAACTAGTACCTAAACTGAATAATTTGGTTAAGTAGTATGGTCAAAAATCACAGTCCACAAATGCTGATTTTTACCAACTTTGTCAAAACCAGACAAATTACTATAAATGGCCCTTCAGCTTGGAAAAGAGTTTCTTAAGACAAAAAAGCTCATAGAATAGGAGTTTTGAAGCATCAAATTCCGCATCCACTGAGTACTAACATTTTTAATGTAAGTCAATTATATTTCTAATCAGGATTTGTTATTTCTTCATGAAATTATTTTTCTTTTGGTAAATTGTTCCTGAAAATCCTTCACTGCTGAGAGCTGGAAAAGAACTTACACTCCATGTAGTAGACTTTAGACAAGAATAAACACTCATATTTCTGAAATATTAAAAACTTCATTACCAATTCTCAGCCATCAAGAGGTTGCCAATTTTGAGCAGAGTAAGTGATCTAAATTAAACTGTTGGTACTCAGTGGAATATGATGCTCGACAACTTTTATTCTATAAGTTTTTTCTCTTAGGAGATTCATTTCAAGGCTGCCAGAGCCATTTATATTAAATTGTCTCAGTTTTTGACAAATTAGGTAAAAATTAGCGTTCATTGGCTGTGGTTTTCAACCATACCACTTGACCAAATTATTGGGTTTAGGGACTCACTCGCCTCACAATTTAGCTTTCTTTAATTTCATAAAGAGTACTTTATTCGCTTTGATGCACCGTTCAGGAGTCATAGACTAAAAAACAAAAAAAGAAATAATTGGATTTTTTGGCTGTGAAAAGTTTTCCCAGGTGGTCCGCGTGTGCACTTTTATTTTTTACATGTCTAAACCCATATATGCAAGTTTAAAAAACAAAAAATTTTCTCACATTTTTTGCAATATATTCCCTATTTCGATCCTAATATTCTTTAAATCAGCCACCATTTTTTAAAGCAGAAGTTCTAGAATGGTAGTCATGTTTTATTTTACTTAACATAACATTCACTTTTCTAATCAACATTCAAACCTTCACCTGCAATGAGGACCGTTTTTAGACCTTGGCTCCGAGACAATCTGTTAATGTTCTATTTGAAATATGTGCTCGTCGGGTTATTCAATCAAAACAGAAACAGGGGTTCTACTATATCTTATATCTTACATGATACCAATTTTTAAAGGGTTTACTTCTTTCATTGACCCTGCCTTTAAAAAAAAAAGTTTCTTTATCTTTCCAGAGCTCTTATGATCTTTCCAAATTCTTTTTTTTTTTTTTTTTTTTGGAGCGTACTTTGCTAACTGCTTTTTTATTCATTTTATTAAATCATAATTTTTTTCAGAGAGAAATATACTTTTCTTTTGCTGAATATTTATGCACGCTTGTTATTCATGTTATTAATCAGATTTATTCTTCTGAAAATTCCCATCTGAAGTTCTATGAAAACCTTATCAAGGTTTTGTTGTAATCCATAGTATACATTCTAGCTCTCACCATTGCCGTTATTTGCCAGGTTTGATTTACACTTGTACTAACTAGAAGGTTGTCTGATTTATAGTTTTGTAACCACAACATAACCAAATGATCATGTTAATATTGTTTTTTAAAGAATGATTTTGTCTACTTTCAGTTTTATGTAGTTCTGAAGTTTACATGTCACTAGCCATTTTTTCAAGTTTTCATTGTTAAGATTGTTATTGCTACTTATTTGGTGCGATACACATTATCTTTTCTCATTGATATTAAAATTTTCTTAAATTTAAACTATAATGATATTTAAAATTAGTATTTTAGGTAGAAATAAAAACAAAAAATTGTTGATTTTATATTCAATGAAATATCTAATTATTTTTCTGTTATTAATGTTTGTAATTTTACTTACAGGCATGCTTTTTTAGAGGATTAAATCCTACAAATATGAATACTGAGGAAACAATATCGTGGCTATCTCAGTGGGTTGAGCAAACATCAAACACACCAAAAGATTGCTTTTCATTTGTCCTTCATTTGCCAATTTTAATGTCTTATAATCATCCATCAAATTGGGTCTTAACTCATTAAATTTTGTAAAAATTCAAACACTGTGATCTAGTCAAGTGATACTATGTATTTATATAAATTTGTACATAAGAAAATAAATTTTTGTAAAAATTGCTTATTATTTCTGTCTTACTTTTCATGAAAATTATGCGGCTATTACACTGTATCGAAGTCCTTCAGAGGCGAATAAGGTCAAAAGATCTTGATAATTCTAAAGTAAAATTTCATTCTCAATAATTTGAGAATAGGCTGCTGGTTTTACACAAATAAGATTAGAGAGAATCGTCTTGCCTTGCCTAGAACCTTCTGTGGGGTATGTAAAGTCACCAGGCTTGCACTTGGATACAATGACCTGAAATTCGATATGAAGGGTTTTTTTTATGACTGAATAATACCATTTAAGTATGGACAAATATCTTACGCTTATTTTAAAAGTACATCCCTTCATGTAAATAAATTTAGGAGTTTGAAATTTTGTTGAAAGTCCACGGGAAGGTTTGATCATTTAACAAGAGACACTTCTCTTTCTTTTCCAATAGGTGCTCAAAGGTTGGTGCTAAAGCCTGGCATCTAAAGGATCTCATTCATCTCATTAAATTATTTGCTAACCATGTTCTCTAAATATGGTTGAGCATTGTCATAAAAATGGCACTACACAATCTTCTAGGATGTCACTTGTTGTGCAGTAAGACTCAAAAATACATGAAGATAAATCTATGCCTTTGAATGTTCCTAACCATTACCAGCCTCCATAAAGCACTATCAGATCCAGGATTTAATTTGGAGGGGCTTCCGCCTTTTCATGAGCACTGAATTCTTGTCTCGACTTCCAAATAATAGCCCTTAGGATGACCCACATTTGGGTAAAAATGTCCGTTAACCCAATAAAAATATCTACTGAAATTCCTGACAATATTATTTTATCCTTACTAGTTGGCCCATGCGAATATTTGGCAGAATACATATCTATGTCTGTGGGCCAAACCCTTCTACCGTGCACTGCTCCCACACCCCTATAAATCGCGTATCGTTGTGTTCCTTGTAATGATTCATTTTTAAAAAAGCCAATGTTCCCACAAAAAAAGTGAACGCACTGCCCCAAAATGGTTGACTGACGACTTTGTATTTAATTAATTTTTTGGGCACAGAAGCAGCATTTGGCTTAATTTCCTCACAATCGTTCATTTATTAAAGCTGGATAGTTAGAGAACAATAAAACGTGAACAAATATTCAAAAAGAATAGTCTTAGGCAATAAAAAACAACAGAAATGTCAATGTTCCAAAGTATTCGAAAAATTAATATACAAAAGATTGGTTGACATACTAACAGACTAAAACATAATTCCTGACCATCAATTTGGGTGTCATACTTTTCATTCAACTACACACAAATTACACACAGTTACTGACTACATTGCTGGAGCACTTGAGCAAAAACAATATGCAACCAGAGTGTTTCTGGGTGTTGCCCAGGCATTCCTTAAAGTCTGGTATCAAGACTTCTCTTTAAACTCAGAACTATATTATCACTTTCTTCAGTCTTTTCGACAGATTTTTCTCTCTCCGACAGGGCTTAGAAATAAATTTCATCAATTCGGCCAGTGTCGGCAGGATTACCTCAGGGATCAATATTGGCTTCTTTACTCAGCATTACCTATACCCATGACATGCGTACCACCTACGAAACATTGACTGCTACTTACTCTTACGATACAACAATTTTCACAAAAAAACAGGAGTCCAGACTAGCCTCACTGAATTTGCAAAATCACTTACTAAATTTACAAAATTGGTATTCATGTTGGAAAATTAAATTAAATCATGAAAAATCACAACATATAACATTTACACTTCGACGAGACACATGCCCACCAGTCACTAGCGGATCCAGGATTTAATTTTGGGGGGGGCTTCAGCCCGGAAGCTTTTTTTTTCATAAAAATAACGATATTTACTTTGGAAAAACAGATAGAAACTAACTACCTATATGAAATGGTGTTTAAGTGATTCCTTAAGTCCTTTTAAATGTAATTAAACCAACAATAATACTTTAAGAGGTATTTTTAAATTTTTTTTCTCATAAAACGTGGTTATGTTTTACCATTTTTGGGGGGGGGGGGGCTTCGGCCCGAAAGCCTCCCCCGTAGATCCGCCCGTGCCACCAGTTTATGTCGGCGACAACCGAATTCTCCAGACGGACACTACAGTATCGCGGGTTAATATTTGACAGAAGGATGACTTGGAGCCCACATGTCAAAATGAAACGAAAGACTTTGAACAAGCGACTGAAAATACTGTTCTCACTTTTTTCCTAATCAGACAACAACTTTATACATACACTTATGGATATACGCCTCACAAATTTACGGTTCTGTAAAAAAGACTCACTTACAAAAACTACAGACGTTTCCATCCAATTTTACGACTTATAACAAGGAGCTCCTTGGTTCGTAAACAACAAAACTTTACATAGCGACTTACTACAACCAACTACCGACCAACACATACGTGATCCCTGTTCCAGATTTCATCTTAAACTACGCGGACATCACAACGGACTTATTATCGACATGGCCACAGTTGACATGTCCATCAGCAGATGACTAAAGAGGAGCTGGATGAGAGACCTCCTTTCCTGAATTAAGGAAGTAAACCAAGACCAGGAAGAAGTGCTGCTGGGTAATATTTTTTCCCTCATGTCTAAAATGTCAATTTTTTTTTTTGAATTAGTTACAGCACATCTGCTTATTGTCAAGCTTATGACAGGTGTAGATGGAAATATGAAGACAAAAAGAAATATATATCCAATATATATATTTCATTTGTTCCTTTCACAATAATTATGTTGAATGTGTACAAATTATATGAACTACCCCCAATCAAAATGGAAAGTCTTTGTCTTCTGTTACTTTTACACTATTTTCAAAATATATGAATATAATATTTATTTCCAAAGTAATTATCGATTTAATTGTTAAATTAATCCCGTATCATGACATATTTTAAAGATAATGAGTAAATTTATTGATGAAAATAAGAATAAAATATTAATTATATATGAAAATGAGTTGACAAAAGTGTTCATTGAATAGAAACTGCATAGCTGTTTATAAGCTGCATCAGTGCGATGGCCAATGTTTCATTGAAACAGTTTTCAAAATAGTTTAAAGTACAGTAGAACTGTTTCAGAAAGTTGTGTCTCTTTCAGTGAACTGTTGCTGTTTAAATTAAACAGCTTTCTGTATCTGTTTCGGAAAACTGTTTACGTATCTGTTGCAAGAAGCTGTTTTTAATGAAACAGGCTTCTGTATCTGTTTAAATTAAACAGCTTCTGTATCTGTTTCGGAAATCTGTTTAAATTAAACAGATTCAGTATTTCCCGTCGGTATCGCTGTCTCCACCTACTAAACCATAACTGAGATGGCTTAAATAAGTTCCTTAACTCACCGCTGGGTTCTCATCGATGGCTTCACTTTGCTCAGTTTAGAGATATATTCGATGATATGCTAACATTACCTGTTAATATTAATATAATACGTTTGTACTTTATTTTATTTCTAACAAATGAAAGCGTCCCTGAAGATCACCTGGCATCCCTCTAGGTAGGCGCCCCGAGGCTATTGCCCCGGTTACCCCACCCTAAGACCGGCACTGGTCTCTTCTACCGAAGCTGAACTCACCCCAGAAAATCGAGTACTTAGTCTTAGCTTTACTCATGAACACACAGTCTATACCAAATTACTATTGGAATAGTAACATAATTTATTTTTGTGTACTTTAAAATTACTGCATACCCGTCTAATTTCTCTTATAAGAATCAACAGTCAACAATTTCTCCACCATTTTAAAATAAAATCGTATAGTGAGCATTCAAGATTTTATATTGCATGCATTTTTTTATTTTTTCCTCAGACCATACAAATTACTTTCCAGTACCAGATTTCGACTGTACATAATTACTCACATACTGTGTATGATTTTCAAAAGAGTTTGGACATTTTGAAATGTCTTTTTCTACATATAGTCAGTTTGAACCAGGGGTACCCAGAAGGGGATTTCATGGCGCAAGTTGCGCCATAACAATTTTTGAGGGAGGCACATTCTTAAGGAATTTTGAATTTTTGAGTGAGGCACATTTCGACGGAGTTATGAATTTTCGAATTGAAAAGTTTTAAATAAGGAGACTAAGAGAATACATGCAGCAAACCTCAGCAAGTATAATTGTGTATGATTTGCGGTACTTGTATTTCTAATGTTTTTAAGAATAGGAGAGCAATAAAATATTTTGAGAAGGGGAGGGAGGTTCACGCGCCATCGACCTTAGGGGGGGATGGACACCTTTGGTTTGAACTTATATTAAGATAAAACAAGATTCTTTTTGAAAAAGCAAAGGGAAAGAAGCGCAGAGGAAACACCACGGAATGTGGTAAAACGGAATGGGCGTTAGCCTGGAGGAGGATAGTAAGTTTATTATAGTAGCTTTAGTAATTTTAGCCTCATATTAAAGCAACTGAATTAGAGACATACTGAATGAAATATAATTCAAATATTACTTATTATAAAACGGATTAAGAAATAATATAAATTCTTTAGGAGGAGATTACGTCATTGTTCGGGGTTTTTCTATGAGTTTTTTCTTTTAGGGAAATCATTTTAAAGTTGGAGGGCCATTTATAGTAATTAGCCTCAATTTTTCACAAATTTGATCAAAATCAGTGTTCGTTGACCGTGGTTTTTGACGATACCTCTTTACCAAATTATTAAGTTTAGGTACTCATTCCACGCATAATTTAATGATCTTTAATTTTTTTTAAGAAAACGTTTTTCGATTAATGGACCAGTTAGGGGTTAAAGGTTAATTAATAAACAAAAATTAGCGAAACAATCTGGCTTTTATTATTAAAAAGTTGTCCCCCACATTGCCACACACGTTGTTTTGCAATTTTGTCTTGTACAAATTTGAACCCATATATATATATATATATATATATATATATATATATATATATAAGTTAAAAAAAAAATTTCCTACAATTTTTACAGTATATTCCGTTTCGATCCTAAAATTACTCGCATTACTATCGTAGTACCACTACTAATATTTTTTAAAACGACCGCCATTTTCGATAACAGCGGCTCTGGAATGACAGACGAGGTTCATTTTACTTAGAACAACATACCTTTTCGTAATTTACATTAAAACCTTCGCCTGCGATGAAGTTCATTTTTTGACATTGGCAGCAAGACTATATTACATCGAACATGGGTCTTGGAACGGTATAGTGGATTTTCGATGCTCATCATCGATTGATCTCAGCAATGCGTTTAGAAACTTGCCATATTTGTAATACTATAACCACCTATTAACCTCCTCTATATTTTCTGTTTATACTTTATCCTTGACTGATCTTTTGCGTGTAAGTAGATATTTTGTATTTACATTTGATGGTTTAAATTAACAATAGATAATATAAAAATTTCTTAAAACTTGCTGATACATGTCAAGTTGATCAAGTTAAAGTCCATAAGGAAAACTTACGTTTCTGATAAGTGCTGTCAATAGTTCCTTATCAGATTTACACAGCATAAAATTGTAAAATTAATTTTTTTTTCTTAACATCTTGCTTATTTTCAATGATGCATATAGTTTTGATTTGAAGAATGCTATTTTTAGTTCAAGTGTTTTTATTCTAGTTCTGTAAGTATATTCCTGTTAGATTTTATTTATCTAGTTATTGTATCTGATGTTGATATGGAATTTAAAGTCCTATAACAATGATGGACTAATGAATTCATGCTTTCCTACTATTCAGTCTTAATAATGCCTTATTTGGTTGACAAATGATATTAAAATAATTACAGTATTACTAGTTTTAGTGTCCTTATTCTTGTTTGATAAGAATATGGACTCTTGTTAGTTTGGATATGGAGTCTTGTTAGTTTTTATTTCTTAAATTGTTTTGTTTAGTAGTCATATTTGAAATTATGATTGGGCAGATGATTTCTTGATATTTTCAACCTTTATTAATTCCTATGCTACTTTACTTTTATATTACAAATTCGAAATGTGGAGATTTTAATTTTTAGTGAATCCCTTGCCTTAGATGTATAGTGTTTTGTATTATATTTTAATGTTAATTTTTAAATGTTCATTATCATTGCTTGCTTATCACTTGGTGTTAACAAATAGAGTCATATCAATATATTAGCTCTAGATGAAAAAATATGCATATTAAATATATTCTATTGTGCAGTAATCTTATTCATTACAATTAGTGGCATATTATCATTTGATATACTCTATCATAAAATCTATATTGCCTATTTGTTTTTAAGGTCGAATTTTTTTTATTTTGAATATTTTATTCATTTATTCTTTTTTAAGAATGCTAAGTATTCATTTTACCCTTGTCCCATGATTTCTCTATTGTTAGTAGGGTAAAAATATGGTCTTGAGTCTGCCTGTCTAGTTTAAATACTGCCTGTTCTTTCTCAAGGTTCTCCTCAACCACTTCTCTTAATCTTCTTTCAAGAATACAGGTGTAAATCTTGTGTATCAATAGCAAAACATTTTGGTTTGTAATGGTCACAAAGGGTTCAGTTTCTTTCTTATGAATGGGTTTGAAAATATTGTCCACCCATTCTTTGGGTATTAATTTTTCTGCCCAAATAATTGAAACAGTCCCTGTAACATTTTGACCATATCCCCTTTCTCATGATTAATAAGCTACTCGATGAGATGGACATGTTATCAGAATGCCTGATAATCAGATTAAAAATAAACATCCTTCTAGTAGAAATCTTTAGAAACAGAAGAAGAGGAATACCAAAGTTGCAATGGATGGATGGTGTTGCTGCAGATGCTCGGAATCCATGCTTGGGATCCGGACCTGGAAGATGACAGCAGGGAATAAGAAGGACTGGGGGTCAAAGCTGCGTGAGGCCTTGTCTCCACACAGGATGTAGTGCCATATAAGAAGAAGATGATACAATATTAATAGCAGACATCAAACATAAACGACAATTAGCATGAAATGAATGGGGTGTAGAACTGCAGTTGAGAGGAATGGCTATTAACGCTAAGAAAACCAAAGCTGTGCTGCTTAGAAGGGATGATGAAGCGGGATCGGTAACATGTGTTGTTGAAGGTTACCTCTTCAATTTGTAGATGCCCCCCTAGATGTAGGAGATATTAATCAGCAAAGGTGGAAAAGTAGATTATGAAGTACTACATAGAATGAACAAATTGGGTGGAGTGTACTCCCAAATATATTCCATTGGAAAGAAGAAATAAGCTCAAAGATAAAACTCCTGCTACTTAAAATAGTATTTCTTCCAATACTGAAATAGTTTGGCCTTGTGAGTAGAATAGGTGATGTAGAGGAAGATTAAATAATTGATGAAGGTCAGATAAGAAGGAAAGTCTCCCCAAGGCTAGCCGAGGCAGTTGTGTTCAGATTACTTGACCAGGCTTGGGAGTGCTCTTTGATAGAAATGTAGGAAATGGCTAATGATCGCTAATTTGAGAAGATAAACCAAGGCATATCCTCTATGCTTTGAGGTAACTTGGGGGTAGAGAAAGATGAAGAAATGTTTTATGCTGTTGTAAATTCTCCATTTTTCCGTTTAGAACTAACAATTTATTCAAAGTTCTTTTCTTTATTGACAGACATCCTTTTCTTTAATTCCACTCCAGAAACATTTCTTATGTGCCTAGCAATGTAGAAGTTATTTTCGCATTGTTTGTATTACCCAGGTTTTTTCAAACATATTATTTTTTAATGTTTATATAAATAAAAAAATGTATTTAGGATCTTTTATATTATTCAATTGGTACCTACTATCTTAAAAGTGTTGCTATACTTTGATGGCTTGGACAAGGTCTCATGATCGTAATATAAAGGATTTCAAGTTGGCCGATGAAATTTTAAGAATGGCCGAATGTTTCTGAAATTAAACAGATGTGATTGAACTGTTTGGTGAGGCTCTTACTTCAATGGAAGAGGACCTGTTGGGTATTTCTGGAAGTCTTAAATCTCAATCCAAGTAGAGGAGTGTTATATCGACATTATGTGTACATCAATACTAGTTCGTTCTTGGAATCCATTTATAGATCATGAGATCTTGAACCGCTGATCAAAGTAGTACCATTCATTGTTTTCCTCCACCTCTGAAGTATTTCTGTATTGAATGGCATGGATTGTAAGTTCTCATTCAACAAAATTTTAACAAAAAATGGACAAAGTTATTTCAGAAAATCATTAGACATATTGTGAGAACCATGTTTAAAAACTTTAATCTTTAAATAGCTAATGTAAAATTTTATTTTATTTTTTGGAATTAATTACTTTTATTACCAGAAGTAGTTTTGCAAAATAAAGTTTTATAAACACTGATCTTAGGCTCAAAGAAGTAAAAAGGCCAAAATGTAAATAAATTATTTGCATTGGAAAAATGAAAAGTAAAGTAAACTTAATTTATCAATTAAAAATTTATTTGTTTGCTCTTATGAAAAGTAGCTATATTCATATTTGTTACTTAAACATGCTGGTGGCGACATATTAAACAAATTTTAACAAGAGTTGTGTTTCTAAACTCAATGCTTATTCCATTGATTTAATAAATTAATCAATTAAATTTACAGTGATGTTCCTTAAGGTTAGGAACAACCTGTTTGATTCAAGCAGAAGGTTGACACTCTTAGAAGGTAAAAAACCTTGAGTTTTTTTTTTTTAAATGCTAAACAAACTTATTGGATAAAAGGCTTTGGTTTATCTTTCGGTGTTTTCTTATAATTTATATATTAAACAGTCTTAGTATTTTAAAAGTTCACAATTTTTATTTCAAGAAAATCTTAAGAAATATTAATGATTCTAAATTGAAGTATTTAATTATTTATACCTATAGCTCTTTGAAAAGAATATATCTGGAAATAAGTTAGTTATAAGGAACTAGGTTTATCAGAAACGACACCAGCTTTTACAATATAAAACAAGTCAATGTTTCTTTTAGCAATTACCTGTTATAGTTTGATCCATTTTGCATTAGTAAGACTATCCACATTTCAATACATAGCCTTCAAGAAAAGAAGTTGCCATGGTCGAAGTTGCCGAAAGACCGTATGCTATAGATTTTTTATGCTTCATCATAGTTACTCTATGGTTAAGTAACACCCAGGTTACTGGGCTAAAGACAATTGTGATTGTTTAGTTCACCAACTGGTGGTTTGGTAATTCTCACTAGGTTGAATATAACCGGGGAAACGTGGACTAGCTGTCCTGAGTAAATGATTCACCCACTGGTATATATATTCATATGATAATCTAAACTACTACCAGAACAATTAATGTAGATAATAATACTACCTCACTTTTTTAAAAATTTATTTAATGTTAATATCGAGGGAAAAGATGATTCAATGTGATGTTCAAAAAAAACTTTAAATAGTGTAAACCATTTATTGCAACCAATTTTTCAATATGGGGAGCAGTGAAGGATTGAATGAAGCCATCAGTACTCTATCTGTCACAAAGCCCTGATGAAGACCTGCAAATTGTTCTGAAAAGTAGGTTTCAATGAATAGTCAATACTGTTTGAAGTTTTTTTTTTTTTACTATCACTCTGGACAATCTCTTCTCGCAATATATACATGGTCCACATTAATTATTCAATAATATTATTATCTTATAATTCTAGGTACTTGTTTGCTGAAGGCAGTTCAATTCCTGTTCCCCGATGGAAAATAACTTCAATCGTAAATATGACTGTTTTTATTCATTTCCTACAATCTCTTTTACTTATTGCTTTATAAACATTTGTTAGATTTAAATATAATTATTTATTTTCAGAATATCCAGGTTTTGGAACTACAAAATCATCTCTGAATCGCTCAGTTAACCCTAATTTAGCCAAAAGTTTTCCTTCATCTTTAAATAACCAAGATACAGTTTCTTCGCTTTTACCAGATTTGTCATCCAATATTTCTGTCAGTCCAATGACATGTGGATCGCGAAATATTCATGTTAACAAAGCTCTTTATTATCATAACCATGATAAAGATTTGAATCCAAGCAGCTTAGAACACAAAGCTGAGCGTGTATACTACAATCCTAAGTTTTTAAAAAATAATACTAATATCTTACCAAACCAATTTTCAACTTCTCAGATGAAAATTAACAAACATATATTTAAAAAACAAGAACCAAATATATATGTAAATCCACATTTTATTAAGAAAGATAATTCTAATGCAGTTAATACCCCCAAAAAATCAAGCTTATTGATAAATCCATTATGTAGAAGTGGTATCCATTTTAATCCTAAATTTTTTAAAGAACCAGTTCTTTCGAAAAACAATGAAATTACAACACCTTTGAATAATCAAACTCCTCAAGAAAGTCATAATTCAGATGTATCGAATAAAAGTTGTTCACTGCCCCGTTACATATCAAAATATAAACTTATTAGGAAAAAGACTAATTCTACTAATATTAGTAAGTGTAATCTTAAAAAGTCAAATACTTCCCTTTTGAGAAAATTCAAATCAAGAGAAAAACTGTATCCAAGTACTTATACTTACTTAAACAAGTATGCCTTTAAAAAACACTTAAATGATAAAACACCATTAAATTCCTATAAAAAAATAAAACAATCTATTCTAAATTCTCCTAAACCTGTTGTGAAATTAAAGGAAATACATGGTTCTGAAGCTAGAATGATTATCATAAATCAAAAGAAATCTATTCTCCAACAAAAAATTGAAGCTAGAAGAAAAGGAAAGTCATTTGCTATGTATGCATTTAGGAATTATTTGTCCAACTCTAAGTACAAATACAGGAAAACTCAAGAGACATTGTTGAAGTTTAGTGAAGTATCTCCTAAAAGTCATTACAGTAAACATCATTACCATAAAGCAAACAATCAAATCATTAGTGATCATGCTGACAAATCTGTGTTTAAAACAATTAGTAAGATGAAATTAGTGAGGAAATCAATACTGCAGACCCAGATTGAATCAAGACGATATGCCAAGAAATCCTTACCATTGCAAAGAGTATCACGAAAAAGCGAAAGTCATGTGTCAAAGTATAAAATAGTGAATTCTTCAGTAGTATCGAAAAGGAATTTATCATCACAAAAAATGGTAACTGGAATAAAGAAAAATCCTATGACATTTTCATCTAAGAATTACAGGTAAATAATTATTTTATTGATTTGCTCGGGGATGGGGGTTAATATTTTATTTCTTATAGTGACATTGGTTCTTTGCATCCAAAAATAGAAAAATGTCCTGACAGCTTTCTTCCTCCATTGGTTGAATGCAGTGAGAGGCTGAGCGTGTTAAAGTATGTTTCTTTATCATTCTCGAGTCCAGAATCCGGCCTGGGCAGGAGATTTATTTCATGGTGGCACCGCACAATTTACTGTGGCTAGATAGGATTATAATATTTTTCTCTTGTGCTTTCTGATACTTTTTAATTAGTTTTGTCAACAATAGTAAGTAGTCCACCTTATCATGGTTTTAGGCATCTATAGTAGTCCAAATTCAATGAACATAAAGTTCTAAGTTTTCAATGAAATTATTGAATTGATTATTGTTTCAGTTTATTTCTAGATTAAGTATTTTTTAATAACAATTATTATTTAAAACTAATTAGATATCTGCGCTACATCCATCAGTTTCTAGATTCCATCCATGGCAGCATCAAATTTCCATAATAATGAATAATTTAAGGTAAAAAAATAGTTCATATCTAAACAAAATAAAATTTATTACTTAGTTCATTGGCTCTGTAGCCTGTCAGGCATGGCCTCCTGAATCAACCTACGATAGATTTATATATTAGATTTTAGTCTGCATATAAATCATAAATGAAATGAAAAATAATTTTATTATCCTGTTGGCCATGTGGCTTATACATTAAATTAAATGTTTAGAAAATAATAGATAATTAAATATCAAAGTACAAGACAGACAGAAAAAAACTGTATGTATGTATATATATTTAAATAAAATAGTAATGTAAAAAATACAGGCATACAGATTGGGCAAACAATATTCAGTTGGAGTACGCTACTACTCGCTTTTATGGATGATGTCGACATCAATAGGCTGTCAGGGAAGCTTTTGTAGCTCCTGCAAGGAAACTTGGGCTCAAGGTGAAGAGTCGCCCAAGAAGGAGTCTTTATGAAACGAGAAGAGGAGGAAAACCAAAACATAGATGGTTAGACAAAGTTGCATCTGATGCTCGCAACATCCGTGGAGTGCACAACTGGATGGTGACTGTACAAAACCATGACGATTTGCGTAAGTTGCTGGCGGAGGCTTGGACGGAAACGGATTGTTGCGCCGAGATCATTTTTTTAATTTAAGGATGTTTTTTTCATAAATTGAAATTTCCCTCAGCCAAACTCCTCCCTCAGTCGGTTCCTCTGCTTCTCCCTGTACATCACTTCCTCTTCTGTCAGCTCTCGACCCACTATACTCTCAGCAACATCTCTCCACTTAACATAAGGTCTTCCTCTGCTTCTCCTACCCTCGGCCTCTTACTCGAATGCCTTTTTGGGAAGTCATTCTCTAATCATCCTTTTCATATGCCCATACCACTTTAATCTTCTTTTTTCCATTATTTCTAGTATATTATTCTTAACTTCCATCCTTTCTCTAATGGTCTTGTTTTTTATTTTTTGCGTCCTTGAGGATTTAGCCGACCTCTGAAAATCCATCTTCACAGCTAGAAATCTTTTGCTAAGTCATTTCTCGAGTGGTCACGTTTCCAAAATATAGAGCATTATACTCTCTACCAGGGCTTTATATATTAATTACTTTACTTTATTATAAATATTTTCATTCCAAAGAACTGAATTGAGCATACCTATCGCTTTCCGCCCATTTGTCACTCTTTTTTCATTATCCTTCCTCGCTCTTCCATGGCTCTAAAGTATTGAGGCAATGTAGCAAAATTGGTGTACCCGACAAAGCTCTGTCAAAACTGGGTCACTCAACTCATTGTTCTCTGTCGACATATATTTTGTTTTATGATAATTAATATTCAGGCCCCATTGTTCATACTGCTCATTTAATTTTCTAAACATATACCCGATATTAAATTCATCCTGCACTATTATCAGCTAATAATAGGTGATATAAATGTCTCATTCACTGCTATGTCAATTTAGCCACATTTTTGTGTCCCCATTCCTCAATTGGCAATTACCGATATATATTTTAAATAAGGTAGGAGATATGCAGCATCCCTGAAGAAGGCCTTTACTATTCCTAAACTCTTTTGATATGAAGGAGCCAATTTTTACTTTGCATTTATTCTCTCTATATATTTCCTTCACCACTGCCAGCTCTTTCAAGAGCTTTCCAAAGTAATTTCTGTGGGACACTATCGTATGATTTTTCGAGATATATAAGATCATATCTAGTCTCTTTGATGTTTTAGCTTGCTTTTCTAAAATCTGCCTGGGAGTAAATATATGATTAATGCAGGACCTCCCTACAGTAAAGCCTCACAGTTTTTTGGTCTGCACAAAATCATTCTCTAGCATGTTTTTGATTGTTCTGCACAGCAGCTTCATTATTGGATTTGTTACACATAGTTACCCCTTACCTTTCTGTCTCCTTTCTTGAATATTGGGTGATAAATCCTTGGATTAATTATCCACGGGAAAGTACAAAGGGATTTCACTAGGTGATGTTCCGAACCACATTCAGTACCTCTAAATATCCTTGTATCTTGATAGAACTATTTTGCTTTGTTATATCATAATCTATCATTGACTTTAGCCTTCTGTTGTTATTATACCATTTGGATTTGTGAATGTCTTTATGTTTGAAAGGTGTTGTTTACATTTAAATCCTGTTGTTCACAAATCTCTATTAATCTTTCTCCATTGTCAGTTCTTACGAATGCACCAAATTTTCCAATCACTTTACTGTTAAAATCTTTACCAACCCGTACATTCATATCACCTAGCAGGAATATTTCCTTCCGTCAGAGAATTTTTTCTAAGATTTCCCTTGAATCGCCCCAGAATTTGCCTTTGATATAAGCATTTTCATCATTACTTGGTATGTAAATGGCTATGACAGCAACTCTCTTCCCCCCTAGTTGTTTTTTTTTTTTTTTTTGTTCTTCCCTACCTCGCCTTTTAGGCTATATGGGATTTTCCTGGGCTAGAGGGTGAGGCAGATATATAGGCAGAGGTGCTGTGCACACGAGTTAGCCCATTCAGCCACCCTGTCCCCATCTGTATAGAGTTATATCCATTTTTATCAACCGCTCATTTATCATCTCCCAGCCTCTTATGTTATTTTTGGGGCTTTTCTTGGCTAATATTGAAATCCCTGATTTCACTCTCTCTAGTGCTTTTCAACTCCTGACGACATACGAATGATGTTGTCCATTTTGAACATCCTAATGTCTCTGAGGAGAGTGTGTATCTTAGTTGACAGACCTTGTACATTCCAACATCCTATACTGATCCTTGCATTATGTCTTTTCCGGTGTAAACCATCCTACATCTGAGGCTTGTTTGTTGGCCTTTTGGCAGTCTATGTTTTTTACAACGAGTGAGGAGCTAGAGCTCACTGCATTAACCACCAACCTGGAGGGCCAAGAAGCTCTATTTCAGAGTCTTCCACCCCTAAAAGAGTCGCCTTCACTACGGCTTGGAGGCTCCTCTACCCCAGAGATGCAATTTCCTGCGATTCCTTTATGGTTATACCGCCATTATTCGGCACCATCTCTGTTAGCACAACCATTATGTCCAGGGAGCATCATGAGGAGGTAGAGATCGGATTTTGCCCCCTCAAGGTAATAATAATCCATTAAAAAGGAATAGTAAAGTTATATCTTAAAAATTAAAGGATTTATGGTATTGTAAATGTCATTATTATTTTTCAGGCACCTCATAAATCTGGATCATTTATTCATCATTTTCCTCGCCAACAAGCATTTGTGAATGTGGATTTATTTTACATATATTATGAAGTGGACAGGTGTAAAGTTAGGGTTGCAGTTTTAATTTTTTTTTTAAATTGATTCATTAATAACAATAATTTATTAATAACAATTATTATTCAGATAGTTTTTCATTCAGACAGAGACCGAGCAGTGAAGATGTGTATAACAGACAGTGAGAACTGATCCTAAAATTAGTGTCGTATCAGATTTCGAAACAATTTAAAATATCTCAAATGTACATCACACTGCACATCCACATCATATTCTAATAAATCAGTCACTTTTGACTGAAGATGAGAAACTCATTCTTAACATTTTATCATTGGTCATCCTAAAGTTTCAAGAAATGATTTCATCCTAAAGTTTCAAGAAATGATTTTTTTTTTTAAGTTTATCTTTATTGACAAGTCCACATTTGCAAGTAATCAGTCTTTAAATAGACATAATTTTCATTACTAGTCCAGAAGAAATCCACATACATCTGTGGATCATCAATAAGGGTTGTCAGTGAACCTTTGGTGAAGCTGTCGTTAGTCTGCATTTATTAGAAGATGTACCATTTCAAATTAAAAGAACATTCTAGTAACAACAGAATGGATTCCCCAGCACATTATTCAATGGACTCTCATATTTTATTTTATTTTAATATTAGGAGAGTAGAAGATAACAGAAACTTAACTTATTAGGAGATTATTTCACAAATTATACAGCTCTTCATTAAATTACATATGTTTTGAGCTCCTATCACCTCTTGACATAATACAAAATAAAGATTTTAGGCTAAAAATTTGTTCAGATATGGTACTTTCATCTGGAGGTGGTAGTTTGATTTCAACTAGGTGACAGCAGTTATTTTTCTATCTAGAAATTTCCTCTTGAATAAAATATATTAATTATATCATATTGTGATATAATTATAATGTTATGAAATAGAGATGCAAGCACAACATAACATACAATGAAAATATTAGGAATAAAAGGCACAAATTATTGTGACAAGTTAAATATATATTGTGGTTACAAAATGGCAATAAGAATAATTATAATTATATAATAATATAAATTGGCAATAAGGCAATGCAGAATATCGATTTTTAAAGAAATTAAAAATTTGTCCGAACTGTAATTTCGTTCAGGATATTTCATGTTGATAAAAAACAATACAATCTAAACTACAGAATACATGTAAATTACAGTTATACAATTTAAGCAATAAGTAGTACAATTAAATGAACAGTTTTATAATTCGTAAAATGTGGGTTGGTTCACTGTTAGGCAGACAGGGATTACCCCTTAGCTTATTAATAAAAATTTATTTTTTACTATTATTACTTTCTTACTTTGCTCTGCATACATTTCTGAATTATAATATATCAATCATTAAATAATATATGTAATGACTTGTTTAAACAAATTTAGAAGGTTACTAATAAAACATTTATTTTGTTAACCTTGATAAACCTGATCAGGAGGCTGTCTTATCACTCATTCCAACTAAAGGATGAAGTTGTTAACTTTTTAACAAGTCCTTCGGATAAGCTGAACTCAAAAGTTATTAACTAGATCTACACGATAGTTAATAATAGACCAGACAAAAAAAACTTCCATCATTATAATCCTTAAAATATAATAGAAGTCTAGTTAGAAAATTTGCATAAAAGAGCTTCCATAACAAAGCATCTAGTTGTTACACAAAGTGTATCAAAGAAAAAACAAAAAATATGCTGTTTGTTCAAGACCACAGATAAAAGTGAAACGTGCCGAGATTACTAATATGAATTATAAATATTTTTATGTTCACAAAGTAATGTGAACTATTTTTGTTTAAGATTTTAATGACCATTACCGAAACACTATCAAGTGCAATAGAAATACTTAATTTGTTATTTTTAAACTAAAATTATGTCTATTTTTACTTTTGCGAATCGGTTTCTGAAAGAATTCATTTTAATTTCAATTTTGAGATATTTTAGTTCAAATGTTCAAAACAATCATTATTATTTATTTTATCCATTCATCTTTTCCCCTTTCTGATTCTCTAACTCATCAACAACTCAAAATATAGTTTTTAATTATAGCTAATTACAAAGAAGATGAAATTCTGAACATTTTCCTCACTTACAGTGTGGAGGTCCGAATTTTAGTTTTTGAGATATTTTAATCTATATGTTCAACAAAACTCGTTATCATTTGGTTATGACATTGTTTTTCTTTTTTGCCTCTAACATGGCTTCATGTTGATACAAATTTGAGCAATAGCTCATTATCAAGAGGATGAAATGCTGAACATTTTCCTCGCTCACGTAGTTATAGAAAGTTTTTAGGAAAAGGTGAATAGGCCTTGGTGATCCGATTAAAAAGCGCATGTTATTCCTAATTTTCAGATTCTTGGTCTTTCTATTCTCCATTGTTTTTATTTATGAGCAAAACTTAAAAAATGTTTGAAGACCCATAAAATTTCCACGAGTAGAGAGCAAGGTTGCTTTGTATTGCCAGAAAATATTGAAGGATAAATGTGGACATGTTGTACATAGTTTAGGGAATGTTGTGATTTAGGGCTAGAAGAAACATTTTAGAAAACAACATATATTAATATATCATCAAAAGTTTCCAAGATTCTGTTTTATGAGGTCAAACAAATTATGATAAGTTAATAAAATTCCATATATGCTTCAAATTTGAAATGCACTTAAATGAGGGTTTTTAAAACTTTTTAATATTTTTAAATGGGTGTATTAAGTAATTGGCCATATGGTTTTTTTTTCTGTTATCATAACAGACCATGTAGATCTTTTGCCACTTTAACAAGCCTGCTCCATCTCTGCCTGTCTTGGACTATTCCTTCCTATTTATCTGCACTCAGCTCTGTTGCATCTTTGTTGATTCTATCTATCCATCTGCTTTTTGGCCTTCCACGTGCTCTTTTGCCTTCTATTGAGGCATTCATTGTTACGAGAGGCTTCCAGATGGATTGCTACATGCCCAGCCCATCTTAACCTCTGTGCCTTCATTTCGTGGGATATTGATTGACCAGTTTCTGTAAGCATTTCTTTATTAGTTTTCTCCATGTGTTGGTACTCTGATCCCAGATCGCTCCGGTTATCGTGCAGAAGATTTTCCTCTCAAATTTTTCTACACTTTTTTCTAGAGTGCTGGTTAGTGTCCAGGTCTCGCAGCCATGTATTAGAACTGGCTTTATCATATCATTGTATACTCTTAGTTTGAAATTTTTCAGGATTTCAATACTTTTAAGAGGAAGAAGAACCTTCCCATAAAAGTAAGACATTTGAATATTCCTTTATTGCCCGATCCACTGCCTTCTGGAATTCGTTGCCATCTGATATCCGCCGTGCTTCTTCCTTGTCCTCATTTAAATATCAATTCTACCAATTCCTTCTTACATCCCAAAATGACATTATACAATGAAAGAAATATTGCGAAACAGATTTTGACTGAGGTGAATGATTATTAAAATTGATTGAGTTTTAATTTAAAAAATCAGCCCATGCTTACATTATTTTGTTTTGTTTTTCTATTTAAATAATGTTTATGTTTTTTTTGCTTTTTCAATATGGTGTTATTATTACTTCTTTCAATATACTTTTACTGAGATACTGTATATTTTCTTTAATATTGATTAATGTAATTTATAGCCAGATGTGGTTTTTATTTTTTTGTTCATAAATGTTATTCATAAGGGACCTCATCCCAGAATAAAGATTACTTTCTATCTATCTACATTCCAAGATGCAATGTATAGTTTATGATTCAAAGCAGAGGTCGTTACGATATTAAAACAGTCCGATTTTCCGAGACTTGGTTAAGGATTCGTAATAAGTTGTTTTTTACGGGATAGGGTTATTAGCCCTATGCCCAATCCCCAACCTGGAGGACCAGGAGCTATGGTGTATGACGCAGGGGTCGCTCAACTCCCTGTGAATCTCTGGGTGGGGACGTTTGCGTTACCATGCGGGAATCGAACCCGGCGTAGTAGTCGAAGTAATCAAGTAGCGCTTGCAGTTTTTATTTTTTTAATTTTTATATTTATTATTAAATTATTTTTTTTGTTTCCTCGAATGAGATTTGGACTTTTCGGTTACAATAAAAATAGAAACAAAAAGCCTCTTTGCAGGTGCCTTAACTCTCTCGACCACCACAGGCCCATTGACCATATATGATCTGTCAAATTTAAAAAAACAATGGTACTTTTTTTATTGTAAACAAAAAAAACTTTTTCTCTGGGCGTTTTGTTATTAAATAATCTGATTAACCATGATTAAAAATGAACTTGAATCAATTTGTATTCGACACCCTGCTGAATTTCTTAGATATATTTTTATTTAAATTTTGTTTATTTTTCACTTTCTGTTCATATTATTACTATACTTCCTTACTTTTTTTTATGTATCGATTTAAAAGAAAATTTACATTTATACATTGAAGAACACGAATTTATTGAGGATTCCTCATACCGTAAGAAACAACTTCACCACTCAAAGAAATTTTTATTTACCATTTAGGCGTTTCAGTTGTGTCAGGCCATCATTAATTGGTTAGAGAATGGACTTGGTAATGCAAAAGAGAAGCTGTCCTAGATGAGCATGTTAGATTTATATTTGATAGGCATTTAAATTGAATTAATGATAAGTTATATATATATATATATATTATAATTGTGGGTTGATGGTTGACTTTAGTGAATAATTGCAGAGAAGGATGGTTGGGATGATCAGTCAAAATAAAATAGTAAAAATAAATAATTGTATTTATTTTTATTTTTACTATAATATATAAATATATTATAGTATTATTACTATTATCTTTATTATTATCGCTTTTACGGATTCAAAGCTGAAAGTGGAGGACAAGTCCAACCATTTTCAGTTATAATTTTTTTATATATTTAAGAACTTTCTAGTAATCCTGGCTGTATCCAAGAGAACTGCTTGCTGAGCCCCTCTTAACACATCAAGGGGTAATTCCAAGCTGTACCTGCCACCGTTGACTTTGGGATTAGACCATTTGTTTATATTATACTATTATTAATATATTATTGTATTATTAATACTATAATATATATATTATAGGATTATTACTCTTGGGGCAGTATTTCACAAGATGAATTAGATGAGTTTAATTATTTGATGAGAGAAGCTGCTGGAAAATTTAACACTTTTTGATTTATTATAGATTGTTTATTTTTTTTTTACAAATTTCTCTATTTTTAGCACAGATTTTTCACAACATTTTATATTGTGTTATTTACCCTAACGATTTTATTCTTTTCAATTTTTAAAATATATTTCTAATTTTTCAAGGACGGATAAACTAAAAAGGCTTCATAACTTAACAAAAAAACTAAGGAAAAATAACCAACCTTGTTCTTTCTATAATCGATATGGTCGTTGTAAGGGAAAAGAAAAAGGTATTTGTCCAAAAGTACATGACCCAAAATATGTATCAATTTGTAAAAAGTAAGTAACCAGTTTTTAATGTTATTATTCAATTTTTTAAAATTACTTTAATTTTTTTATGTACTTTCTAGATTTTTGAAAGGAGAATGTAAGGGAGAAGATTGTACTCTGTCTCATGATATAAGACCTGAGAAAATGCCCACTTGTTATCATTATTTAGCAGGGCTTTGCAAGAGAACTAATTGCCCTTATCTTCATATTAAAGTCAACTGTAAAGCTCCAATATGCCGTGCTTTTCTGTTGGGATTTTGTGCTGATGTTTACACTGTAAGTCATTTTATTTTTAAAATTGTTGGTATAACTGATAATTCATGAATTCATGTGGTGCATCATGAAGACTTTGGACTTCATTACCAAAGGCTTTCATATTATTTGGTTTTTACTTTCACTTACGTATATATGTAATATATAGTAAGGGTAAGTATTGCGATCAAGAAAATTTTTGAATCTGAGTTTTCAACGGAAATAGACGTTTTGAGGTACCCTGAGTCGAAATGACCAAGTCCTGAAAAATGGTCTGTGTGTCTTTGTGTTTGTATGTTAGCAGTCTAGCTCAAAAACGAAAAGTCCTACGAAACTGATATTACGTATTTAAGATAGGTATATGCCTTAGATGTGACGGCAACTTTTTCCTTAAAATCAGCTAACCGGAAGTGCCACTTTATATCAACGCTGAAACACATTTTCATAATTTTCTCAAAAACAGCTTTTACGTTTTTGATTACACTCGGTGTATCATTGTATAATTTAGTGGTCTTATCCCCATTGATGTCACTTTACAGGACTTAAAGGCGCAATGTTCATATACGTCTTCCTCTAAAACACCTTTAATATGGTTTATTTTAAAAAGTTAATCATTTCACATTATTCAAAGTAATGAAAAAATGCTAAATATAACTTTTGAAAGAATTTGATAACTTAATAAAGGAGAAAAAAAAATGCAGAAAAACCTGCGTTGTTATAGACTGTAGTGCCTAAACGAATGTCCCGATTTCAATGAAACTTTGCTAAAGCCATTTTCTCGGCACCCTTTAAATTTATTTATATATCATACTTCAACGAAAAGAAGCTGGAAAAAAAGTTACGAGGGATGGTAAAATTAAATTCCGAATAACTCAGAAAGTATACACTTTTTTGGGAATATTTATGTTTTTTTTAAAGTTTATGGAATTCCCTAAAAAAACAAAAAAAAATCGTTAAGATCGGACGACTAGCAGGAAAGATATGGTATCTAGTTTGTTTCTCTGAAGAGGCGAAAATTTAGATTAATTTAAAATATACTTTTTTAATTGTTGATACTAAAAAAATCTTTTTTCTACAGATATTTAATAAAGTATCTTTCCTAAGAACGTTTTTTATAAGAAATAAGTACCTAAATTTATACTCATATTCTGCATTGATAACTTTTTCAACTAAAAATATCACTAAAATGACATCGCTTAAAAATATTGAAATTGGAGTTAGTTCTGAAGTTTATAAAAGCAAAGAAAGATGTGTGGTTTATAAAAGCAGATGGAGTGACTAGATTTTTATTGCCTGTCATCAATATATTAAATAGACATTTTGTAATTATAATGGTCTTAATGACTTGTTATCTGTAAACTTTAAGCTTTAGCTCTGTTTAAAATGCACTTCAAAAAAATTTATAATAGCCCAGCATTGCAAGAAAATAATTTCTATTCATAGTAGATCGGTAAGTGAAAGTTGTGTGTTGCGCACACCAGATTTTTTTTAGTTAAGATGGTTTTAAAAACAGTTAAAATTCGGTATAAAAAAATAAAATCAACTAAGTTTTATATTTTGTTAATTGAAACCAAGCTCTGAAAACCTGGACCATACATAGTCCTAAAACTTGATATATTCAACTACCCATCATTTCTAATTGATTGAATATAATAGATAAAGATCTGTACCCCATAGGTAAACACCATGTCAATTTTTATATTTGTTCAGAGGAGCCAATGTTCAATAACTTCGCGATATTAAAATTTGTACTTTTGTACTCCGGAAGTAAAGGACACCATGTAACATTTTTTTATTTGTTTAGGAAACCAATTTACCATAACTTTGAGCTATAAAAAAATGTTTTTTGTTACTAAATAATTTAATGAAAAAATTGACATGGTGTTGTTTACCTCTAGGGTACAGATATATATTGTTTTTTAATAATAAAAACATGTTTCCTCAAAATACATTACGATTTAATTGGTTTGTTTTCCAATTTCTGAAACAAAATAAAAAATCTGGTGCAATGCATCACCCAACTTTCAATTGACACCATACTTTCAGTATAAATACATTTTTTTAAGTTAATAAATCTTAAGAGTATCACCTAATTTTAAATACAAACTTAAGACAATTAACATTTATTTCTACCCTCCCATGCATGAATGCCAGAGTAGTAGGCAAGAGACCACGTGGGAGGCCAAAAACCAGATAGATAGATAGAATAAACAAAGATACAGCTGAGCTTCATGCCGCAAACTGGAAAGCAGTAGCCTAAGATAGGTAGAGGTGGATAGGGGGGCGGGGTGGCCGAATGGGCTAAAGCGTGTGCACAGCACCGCGAGTAGCCTGGCAACCGGATTACAGATTTGAGAAGATTAAAAGTACGAGTTCGCATCACCCCACAGCCCGGAAAATCCCATATAGCCTAAAAGGCGAGGTAGGGAAGAACAGAAAAAAAAACAGAGGTGGAAAAGTCTGGCTCAGGCGGCCAAAAATCTACATGGTCTGTAGAGCCATGAAAAAAATATATGTATATTTATTTATTTATATACCTACATATATTTACATTACTTTATCTACTTATATTTACAATTGGTATTACTACATTAAATTGAAGAAATTATCTATAGTAAACTACCTTTACTTTTTAGTGTGATAAGAGACATGAGTTCATTTGTCCTGTGTTTGTGGAAAAGGGTTATTGCTTAAAAGGTAAGTCTTGCAGTTTGCCTCACCGAACTCCAACTACACATAGCAAACTCCTTGAGCCAGATCAGTTTCCATTACTAAATGATAAAAAACAGAAAAAATACCGTCGTTCTGAGGTAAGTAAAACAGACAAGCATTTAGAATGTAAGGAAAGAGTTATTGAAAAAGACAGTACTTCTAGTAATAAAGAAGTTGACCTCAAAAAAACAGATGGGAAAAAATCTTCAAAACATTTTCAAAGGTATTTTTTGGTATCCTTAACATCTAATGAATCAGTTGAAAATGATAATGAAACTATTAGTACAACCTCTTGTCAATGTAAAGATGATGAATGACTGTTGAGAAAAAAAAAAGTGTAATATTTATATTAATTATATTGTTGTAAATATTGTATTTTTTTAAAAGGACAATTGTAAATTTTACCAAATTGAAGCATTTCAAGAGTGTGAACACAAATCTATTTGAAGACTGAATTATTGAATAAAAAATAAATTAAAAAAGAAAGTATGTATAAATTCATCATAAATTTGTGTGTGTGTATATATATATATATATATATATATATATATATATATATATATATATATATATATATATATATATATATATATATATATATAAACGCACACACATATATATGAAAATATATATTTATATGTATACTTATGTATTTAATTATGTATATATAGAATATTTATATAAGAAACAAATAAAGTTTGTGGTTAAGTTTTTGTACAAAGTGTTGGTATTTCTCAGATAAATATATATTTGTAATTTTTAATAAATAAATATTGAAATATGAAAACTTTTTTTTGTTATTCGATTAATTAACCATTTCTTCCAGTCATAGTTCAAATTTGCTATAAATAAAAATTGTATAGTTTCTTTGAAATGAAGTTTTATTATTGTGATTTAATTACTAATTACAATTAAATTATAGAGAATAATTACATCACAAAAACTTATAGAATTGCTGACAATTCTTTATCAACTTCATTTTCCCTTTTTCACTTGGATGGGTGACAACTGGGGAAAACTGCATGCTGTTGATATCTCTTTTTAGTCTTTCAACTTTTATATTTTTAATTACATCTATTTTACCATTATTAATTGCTCCATCAATTAAAAGCTGAATCTCAGAATTATTTATAAAAAATAAGAAAACAAAATATATAACTATCCAGACCACTATCTACTGTACTACTACTACTGTAGTCTAAACAGGTCTAGTTAAGTGTTTGATCTGTTTCGACTGCTAGTCTATCACTTGCTTCCTGCAGTTTCCCATACCATGCCCTGATGAAAACCTGCAAAGTGGGTCGAAACTTCGGTGTAATGATTAAAATACTATTTTAATTATTTATTCGACCGCTTCCCCCGACCTACTCCTCACTTTATATATTTTGATTATTTGTCTTATTTTTTAAGTACAATCATTGGTAATTCTCTCATACTACAAATTGTATATTTCTTTTAGCTTCATATTTTAGTTTTTAAAAAGAATCTCGCATTACATTTTTAAACATAAACACGCATATTTATATATATTATATAAAACGGATTAAAATAATTAATTTTAGCCTATCAAGATAGAACTGTATTAGAGATATGCGTCGGATGTCTAGGGCCGGCACTGTATACATACATAAAATGAATTTCTTACTCATGAATAAAAAATTATAAAAACCAAGCACTCCACCCACCAGGTTCCATATTATTCAGGCATCTATGAGCTAGGAGGAGCCTAGGAGTGAGATCAGACACCTCTTATGATTGCTAGTATGCATTATTAAATGTAGTTATCATTATTATATTAAATATTTTTTATATTTGGTAATTAATGGATATTTCAAGGGTTTTAGCTAATTAAAAAAAAAAGTTAAAAATTAAAATGATGTTCAGCAAAATAATATTCCCCTTACTAATCAACTTCTTAGGACATTTCTGCCTTTTCTTCTCCACTTTTTAAACTCACACCCTAGTTAGTTTCTTTCCAAGCTGTTAATATTTATTATTACTTTAAATGCCAAAATATAATGCATCATTTTCTTAAAAATTGAAATCTTGGATCAATTATTACAATATCAAAAATAAAACCGAAGTTGTTTTTTTTTAACTATTGTTTAAAATAAGTTTCTTATGAAAACTACAAATCTATAATTTTAATTTAATAACTTATTTTGTAATTTATATATATTTGTAGAAAAATTCAAATACTTCGGCTCCACAATAACCTCAATGAATGACAAACAGGAAGAAATAGACCAGCGTATAACTAGCACAAATAGAGCTGTCTTCTTCCTCTCAAAGGTATTGAAACCCCGTAAAATCTCAAACTAAGGGTGTACAATGCTATGATAAAGCCAGTTCTAATATATGGCTGCGAGACCTAGACACTAATCAACACCCTAGAAAAAAGTATTGAAAGATTTGAGAGGAAAATCTTCCGCACGATAACCGGGGCGATCTGGGATCAGAGTACTAACACATGGAGAAGCAAAACCAATAAAGAACTGCTTACAGAAACTGGTCGATCAATATACCATGATATGAAGGCAAGGAGGTTAAGATGGTAGGGCCATGTAGCTCACAGAAATCCATCTGGAAGCCTCTACGTAACAATGAATTCCTCAATAGAAGGCCAAAAAGCAGATGGATAGATAGAATAAACAAAGATGCATGCAGATAAATGGAAAGAAACAGCCGAAGACAGGCAGAGATGGAGCAGGCTTGGTTAAGGCAGCAAAAGATCCACATGGTCTGTAATGCCAACATAAAAAAATAAAAGATAGGTTCTTCAAAAACGAATTTACTAATTCATTAATTAATTTTAGTGCATAACATGTAACTTACTTTATTTATTGCTTTATTTATTTTGTTCATTTTCATTATTTGTCTTGTTTTTTTAAGTACAATCATTGGTAATTTTCTGATATTACAAATTGTAAAGTTCTTTTAGCTTCATATGTTAGTTTAAAAAAGAATCCCACATTAAATGTTTAAACATTAACACACATATTTTTTAGTATTTTCAATTAGTTATAATTTCCTAAATACAATTAACTATTGCTGTTTTTCTTCTGTTGCTATTTGTAAATTTATTTTAGTTGTTAAAAAGTTTCTCATATTATTTTTTAACCATTGCTACTTATACCAGTATGAAGCAAATCAAACGACTACATCTGAAACAGATGCCTTTAATGTACGAGTTATTGGGATTAAATAAACTGAATTTTCAGTTCATGAACAGAAGTTATATTGCTATAAAGAAGAAAAATTGATTATGAAAAGATAAATGCTTTCCTTCCACAGCACAGCTGAACCAATCATATGGCACTGATCAAAGATGCCTAGATTATCTTAGTATAAAAACACTGTAAATTATTACTGAATGGTTAATTATTTCCAAATATTTGTGGTATCTCACACTAAATTATTCCTTACCAATTATCTGAACAATGCAAGCGAAATAGGAATTTAAAAAATGGTTGATCATATACAGTTACACTTAATGCAGTCTTCCATGTTTCCCCTTTTGGTTGGTTGGTTTGAGACCTTTCATTCCAAAAATTCATGATATGTCAAAACGTGCTCCCTCAAAAATTTCGATAAAACTTCCTGCTTGAAAAAAAAACAGTCTACTGAAAGCTGTTGCTTTATGTATGAAAATTCAAATTAAAGTGGTGAAATTTGACGTTTCATTTAACAAAAAATTTGGTGGGTGAAACTTTGATAGGATTTAAAATATGTATCCCTAAAAGAGAACTCACATAGTCGGGCACCAGCCTTAGATATCTGGCACATCCGGGCAATAACGTAACCTCCCAAAAAAAAATTATATTTCATTCAATATGTATCTAATACAGTTGCTTTTAGTAGTCTAAAATTAATTATTCTCAACAGCTTTGTTAAGGGTGCCCAGGAGGGATTCTCAAAATCAAAATTTTTGAAGGGGACATCATATTTTGGCAGGGTTTTTAATTTTTGAGGAGAGCATATTTCGACAGGGTTATGAATTTGCGGAATGAAAAGTTTTATACTAAGGAACAAGAGGAAAACCTGGAAAAGACCGCAGCTAGTGTAATTGTATATTATCTAATTCTACCTTCGCTTGCTCCGATTTTAAGAAAAAGTAAGCAGTAAAATATCTCGGGAGTTGAGGGATAAGTTCTTGCGCCATCGACCTTGGGAGGGAGGTAGTGAAAGGGCATCCCTGAGCTGTGTAATTTTTTTTTCTAAATTCCTGATAAGAGGTTATGTTTGAATTGGCAGCATAATACCCAGCAGCACCTCTTCCCTGTTCTTTGGTTACTTCCTTAAATCAGAAAAGAAAATTACCCATCCTGCTCATTTTCAGTCGCCTCCTGATGAGCATGTCAGCCGTGGCCATATCAGTTGTGTCCGTGATGTTAATATGAAATTGGAAGTGAAGGGTATGTATGTGTTGGTCGATAGTTAGTTGTCTCAAGTCGGTATGTAACGTTTTGTTGTTTACATTCCATGGAACTGCTGTTATTAGTCTAAATATGTTGGATTGAAAATATTGCAATTTTTGTATGAGAGTCTTTTAGGCTGAATCATAAATATGAAAGACGAATGCCCAAATAAGTTAAATTAGGTATGTTGATGTATTTAGTTTTTGACTAATTTTCAGTTTTGATTTGGAATAAAAAATAAAGTATTTTCAGTCACTTTTTTTTTTTTTAGTCTTTCGTTTTATTTTAATATGTGGGTCTAGGGATGGGTCGTTTTAGTGTACCTGTTCCAACCCATTCCATTCCCCAAATGAAACTGTTCCAAATTATCAATATCGTTACTCCAGAATTCACAACCTAGGCATGGGTGATAGTCGATAGTGTTGCACTATCGATAGTATTTATAGTTCAGTAATATCCTGTCACAGACTTAAGGAAGATTTATTTTCGCTCTATTCTTTGTTCAGTTACTATAAAATGCTTCAATCAATTTAATATAGAAAAGTACAATATAACATTTAAAACTAACGTTTATGTGAACATTTGATTTGGAATAAAAAGTATAGTATTTTCAGTCACTTTTTTTTTTTTAATTCTGGTTTCATTTTAATATGTGGGCCTAGGGATGGCTCGTTACAGATTTTTAGTGTACCTGTTCCAACCCATTCCATTCCCCAAATGAAACTGTTCTAAATTATCGATGCCGTTGCAATACTGTATCAGTGTGGAGAATCCAATAAATATCAAAATAACTTTAAAATGTAGTCAACACATGTTAGTAATCACACAATGTTTGTATCCTATTTATTCAGGCTATAAATAATTTAATATTTATTGATGTAATCATCAACATAGTGTGGGATTGTTGATCTCACACCCCTCTCCACTCTCACTCTCTCTTCCCGACTAACTATTTCTTTAATTAAAATTACAATCGATCATTTCCGTACCATTAAGAAGTGATATTTTATTAAACAGACACATTATGTTTACATATTAAATATTAAAATATTTTAGTTAGTCTAGTAACTTGTCAAAATCCACAAAACTTTGATTCGACCTGTTTTAACATATGGCTTTCTAACCTAGACATTTACAAGGACTCAGGAACTGAAACTGTCCAGGTTTGAACAAAAGATCCTGAGGAAAATTTATGGAGTTAAATTCTCTTGATTACAATGGACAGGCCATGTTGCTAGGATGAATCCAGAGGAAATTCTATCTTAAGTTTTATCAGAGAAACTATTTGGAGCATGGAAAGTTGGATGCCCTAGGCTGCGATAGGAAGACTGTTATTACCTATGTATAATCCATACTTGGCAGTCATAACTGAAAGGCAGCAGCACAAAACAGAAATGATTGGCGGTCAATGCTGCAGCAGGCCAAGACTCAACATATGGGTCGTAGAGGGGTATAATAATTAGTGAAAATTGTATTTTACTTTTATTTTTTAATGTTGGATAAATCCATATTAAATGTATTTAAAATATTTTCTATTGATGTATATATATATATTATGTTATGTATTCATTTGAAATAAATTTTTTAAAACATTTTTTTTTTTTTAAATCACAGTCATTACAGTAAACATGGTAAACTTTCCTGAACACTTGGTTGCTGGATTTATCTCAAGGCAAGAGAGGGTGAAATAAATAAGTAAAAATTAGACTGGTTACTTTTCCAGCTATAAATTGGCTTCTTGATAACCTTTATTTTCAAAATTAAACTAACATTTCACAGTAGTTGTAATTGTTCCTGGATATCCAACAACTCAAGAGTTAAAAAAAATCTCTACCACTATAACCCATGAAGGGTTTTGGGTTTGTTAGGAAGTACTGTTTCAAGGCCAATAGTTGTGAAGGGAGGTGATCGGACCAGGATCACTCAGCAGCTATGTTTTTCCCTTTCATTAACTATTTAATTAAGAATACCTACTTTATTATAGAGGCTAGATATGCCCCAGGAGTCTCCCCATCCCACAACTGTTGAAAAATTACTTTACATCAGCCGGAATCTTGAGCTTAGCAACCCAGAATTCAATAAATTCTGAAAATATTCTACCCATCTTAGTTATAGATTTTTGAGAAGAAACAATCCTTGATTATTTTTAGCATAGTTAGGTTCTTTAAAGATGACCGAATTTACATAACTATTTATTGACCTTTTTTATTTTTTCCATGTTGGATTGCTCAGTTTATATTCTCCTAATTATCTACAATAAATATATCTATTTATGAAATAACTTAAGATAATGTTTATAAATTAAAAGATTTGTATAAATACCTCTTAAACTAACATTTCTCATTTACCTCAAAAATAGGAAGCAAAAACGAGAAAAAAGTTCAAAAACAAAATTTATTTAATTAAAAAAAAAAATTAAGATCTTGACATGACGTTTAAAACACATGGAGACTAATAAGGCAACATCGGCATAAAGAGCAACAGTTATCATGGTATATATTTTCTGAGATATCTAAAAAGGAACAAAATTCTTTTAAATTTTACTTATTCATTTAAGACCTATTTTTATTTCATATTAAGGAAGATACAAAATAATAGTATCTTAATAATTAATCATAATAACAGTTTAAAAATTATGCAGTACTTCCAGCAACCAATGATCCAACCATATTAAATACTAATATGAACCTCTCTGAAAGAAATGAAGTCATTAAAACAAGCATTATCTAATTACGTTTTATCTTGTACGTTTCATTTAACATTATTTAGATCAATACCTTCTCATCTCATGAAATATTTAATTGGACCTTAAATTTTCAAAATATTTTTGGTATCTCAGATAAAATAATTAACTGTAATAACGAATAATAAGGTAAGCTGTTTCCTACAGGCACAAGCAGACTGTGTTAGCTATTACAGGAATTACTCTGTATATCTTACTTGTAATTAGTATTGAAACAACTAATAGGTCTATTATAACAATGTATTGCAACTGTACATAATAAAACTAACAAAAAATCAATGTATAAACTATTAAATTATATACAAAGTTAGTACAACATAAAACATCTAAAATAATACTATAGGAATAATTATTAATTTTAAATGAAATACATTAATGTTTATTAGCAGCTCAGAGTGTAGTTTGCGAAGGTCTAGGAGTAGGTGTTGTAGGGGGAGGAGGAGTGGGTGGACTTCTTTCTTTATTCCACTCCTTCAAGCCAGGAGGCAAAGTAGTATCTTCTTCGAAGGAACCAGTACCTTCAACAAAATCTTCATATGTTGATTTTTCTGGAAATGGTCTTGGTCCTAATAATTCCACCATATCCTCACGACTCAAGATCTCATGCTTCAGCAATCTTTCAGCAACCTTAAGAGAAATTAAAATTATCTTCAGCAATCTTTTTTAAAAAATAACTTATAAAGATGAAAATAATTTATTGCCAAACCTTTTGTACATCCGTTTTATGTTTAGTCAGAAGTTCTATTGTAAACTTATGTGCACAATCAACGAGAGATCTAACTTCAGCATCTATGAGCTGTGCTGTGCTTTCAGAGTAGGGTTTCTCAAAAACCATGTCTCCTGGTTTGGGTACTTCAAAACTCAAATTTCCAACCTTCTCATTCATTCCATAATGGACTATCTACAAGTTGAAAACATACAATTATTGAAATTGTCTAAATAATTTAATAAAGTTATAAGTATAACAACTCATAAGTTTAAATTTAAGTAACTAACCTGTGCATAAGCACTCTGAGTAACTTTCTGTAGATCATCCTGAGCACCAGTAGTAATGCGATTAAAAAATATTTCTTCGGATACTCTTCCTCCTAATGTCATACACATCCTATCAAAAAGTTGCTCTTTAGAATAAAGATATTGTTCTTTAGGTAAGTACTGAGCATAGCCAAGACCCTTTCCTCTAGGAATAATTGAAACCTGAAAAATGAGACATCAGTTCAAATCTTAACTCTAAATTTACTTATAAAGCAACAATTAAAATTTATTCCAGAAAAAATTTTGATTTCTTAAAGCAATGGATAGTAAATCAAATTTTAAAAAATACATGCTACTGATTTCATGATTTCATTCTTTACAATTATTAGACAAATATTTACAAAGGCTTATTTACACAAGTAAGTTTTCTGTTAAAGTCTTAAAGAAACTATCTTAGATCAAATAACGTAATCATGTAAACAGGTTTTGATAATTTAGGAATTGAACTAAAATTTAAGTTATTGTAATAGTTTGAGTATATTATAATTTCTCTGTCTTTCTTTAACAAACTCTCTTTTTCCTTTAAACAATGAACGAGAGGTATCCAATCATCCAGGTGAGTTTCCTATCAATAGACTAATAGTCAATGTAAAAGTATTCTAATCTTAATCCATTGTTATTCATAACAATTTCTCCACCAAATGGACCAATATCTCCATTTGAGTCATCTCTTCCTGTTCTTGCATTAAAATATCCGTAATTACTATGCTTCTATTTTTATTTCTATCTCGAACTGCTCTTTGAAGGTCACTGTTGAACTATTCCTTATCTAACATTGATGATCCTTCAATATTTATATTATAATTTTTTTTTTTATCCTCTCCTCCCCAAAATTTGAGCAGGTATCGATATTCTAAACACCGATATATATCGGCCTTACGGCATTATTTTATCACAATTCATAATTTCCACTTGGAATAAATATTATCTTTATTCCTAATAAATGTGTCAAGTCAACCAGTCTCCAAGAAATTGACACAAACATAAATTTGAGCAAAGACCAATAAATCGGCCTCACGACTTTATTTTATCAAGATTGATAGAATTTGACCTTTTTTTTTGTTTTTATTTATTTCTTTTTTACAATTATTTATTGTATACATTTTTTTATTAGACCGATATTTCAACCTTAAATTTTAATTTTATAGAGATTGGTAAGTTTGATATTTTTTGTTATTTTGTGCTTGTCTTCTTCAAAAATCTTTTTGGTTCATCCAATGGACTTTTTGACCTTATTATATCATGATTCATAGAGATTCACTTGGAATATTATTTATATGAATAAAATATGGGCCAATCAATCGGCATTGAATCAATATAAACATAAATGTGAGTAAAGATTGATATGTATCGGCCTTAAAATTTAATTTTATCAAGATTGGTAGTTTGATAATTTTTTCAATTTAAGCATGGCTCTTCCAAATTTTTTTCGATCCATCTCATTGACCTTTTGACCTTATTTTATCATGGTTCATTAAGTTTCACTTGGAATATTATTTATATCAATAATAAACAGGCTAATCAATCGCCCATATAAACATAAATGAGTAAAGATCGATACATCATAATTTATGTTTATGTTGATCCATTGACGAATGATTGACACATTTATTAACGATAAAGATAACATTCAAAGTGAAAGAGGCCGATATATTGCTCTTTGCTCAAATTTATGTTTATGCTGACCCGTTGACGATTGATTGACGCATTTATTAGCAATAAAATTAATATTCAAAGTGAAATTATTAGAATCTTGATAAAATATAAATGTAAGGCCGATATATCGGTCCTTGGAATATCGGTATCTGCCCAAATTAGGAGATAAAAGACAGAAAAAAAATTGAATCAAAATTAGAAACTACTAATCTCAAAAAAATATGGTCATAAGGCCAATATTTCAGTCTTTGCTCAAATTTATGTTTATGTTGACCCCTTGACGAATGATTGGCACATTCATTACCATTAAAAATATTACCTTCGAAGATGTTCACAAACATTTTTTAAAAAATAGCCAATCTATACTTATCTTGATAAAATAAGGTCATGAGGTCGATATATCGGTATTTTTTAATATGAGAATTTGCTCTATTCAGGATAAGGGGAGGATCAGCAAAAAAAAAATTAAATAAAAATTTTCAAACTCTTATCAATCTCAATAAAATACGTATATTAATGTCTTTGCCATGTCATATCGATGAAATCTGTTCATTTCCGAGGCTTCTTAGTTTACTTTGAATCATTTGCACACCAAACACCCATCACCCGATTAGGCCAGTGCTGGTGGCTCCATTACTATAAAATGTATAAGCTTAAATAAATACCTAGCAGATTTGCATCAAACTGGGGAAATAGTTCCAAAATCAAATTTGTCATTACAAACTTGTTTCATTAAAAATCTGAGACATATGATTTATAGCAAAAAAAAGTCATAAATCTTAGCATAACATTGCTAAAATACCTTCAATAATGGATCGGCATGTTTCAAAAACCATCCAGCAACTGCATGACCAGCTTCGTGATATGCTACTGTTTTTTTCTCTTCTGGTTGCAAAACATTTGTTTTTTTCTCCATTCCAGCCACTACTCGTTCAATTGCTTGTTCAAAATGTTTAATGTTAATGCTATCATTTAAATCACGAGCTGCTATCAAGGCTGCTTCATTACATACATTAGCAATATCAGCACCTGCAATTTCCAGTGATATTAATTAAACTGGAATATGTTATAATACTTCATATAAGATATAATACTACTTGCAGCTAAGGTACATACACAGAGTAATGAACATGTTTCAACTGAAAGAATTATTTATATACAGACACATAAAATTAATATTTTGAATCTAATACAAAAGTTTTTGGAGCAAATGGAAAAATTACCTTTATATAAAAATGTTATATGTTGTGAATTAAATACAAATGAATACCAATGAAATTATTATTTTGCAACTATCAGATAATTGTTATCATATAGAAGAAGAAAAATAAAAAAAAATTATTCTGGAACTTAGTCCCCTTAGAATACCTACTATGTACAATTTAATAACAATTGTCTGGCATTAGGAAAAAATTAAATTACATGATTTGTCTTGATCCAAGATTATAATAAAGAAAAGGCATTGTTAGATATATGAAATCATAGATAAATTCAGATATGCGAGTTCACATATTTGTACATATGAACAATGTGGGTGATATTTAATTATCTGCCAGATAACATTAAAGCGACTGACAGATCTGGAAAATGTGAACATTATTTTACATACATTCGGAAGATTGATTACTGAGAATATGGATAGGTAAATTATGTTTAAATGAGGTCAAGGATAATGATATACATATGGAGGTTGGTAGGGAATTCCAAAACAAGGTAGCACGCATGACAAAGGATTTGTTAAAAGAAAAGTTCTATGAAAAGGAATAATCAGGTTTGAGACCTGGGATCTTGTGTTGAACGAATGGACAGAGGAACAAGGAGTAGACAAATCGAGAATGTAAGAGGATTTTTTGGTTGAAAAGGTTCGAAAACGGAATACACCTAGAAAGTATTGCCGTCGGAAGACTGGATAGAGCCACTTCAACTCGGCATACCAACCGTATATAAACCATAAGAATGCAAGTAATGTCTACTTCATAATAATAATTAAATAAATAATTAGCCTAGACAAAATACAGTAGTGAAACTATTACCAATTATAATACTATAGATTTATTAATTACCTGTAAAACCTGGAGTGAGAGCTGCAAGCTTTCTTGCTAAGTTGTCCTTATCGAGAGTTGACTTTAAAGGTTGCAAATGAACTTTAAAGATTGATGCTCTGCCTTTGATATCTGGGGCTGGCACAAATATTTGCCTGTCAAATCTACCTGGTCTCATAAGAGCTTTATCTAAAATATCAACTCGATTTGTAGCTGCAAGTACCACAACATTCATGTTTGTGTTGAAACCTATATAATTAAAGAAAAACATTAATAGATACCAGATACTACTTAATTCCAACTTATAGTCAAAGTACAAACATAATTTACACAAGACCACAGCCCATTAATATTCCAAGTATCATTAGCTCCTATTCCTAAACCCTCTCCATCGTCCTTTATCAGAGGCCCAGTTAACTGGAAACTCTTTCATCAAATCCTCTCCTATAAAATTGACCTCAGAAAAAAACCCGAAGACCTGGACAATGTCGTTCATTCCTTTACCACTAAAATCCAGGAAGCAGTCTGGACAGCTTCCTCTCCTGATCATTCCTTAAAAATCCTCAAGAAACCCAATTTACCTCAACACCTCCTTGACCTAATCCGTATAAAACGCCATGCCAGATTATCATGGCAACGTACCAGATATCCCGCCGACTGCCACTCCTACAATTATTACTGTAAAAAATTAAAACAAGAATTAGCCACCTTCAGATCCCGATTATTCAACTCCTACCTCACCTCCCCTCTCTGGTCATGATAATTCCCTCTGGACTACTACCAAAAAAATCCTAAAATCCCATCATATTTCCCATCCCCTTAGTCGAGGTGATGGTACCTGGGCAGCGTCTGATGTAGACAAAGCCGAGGAATTTGCCAAGCACCTTTCCTATACCTTCACTCCCCATCCAGAATCTCATCCCACTTCATCATTTAATCTCTGTACCTTTTCTTGAAAACTTTTTCTACATGTATGTTAATTCTTTTTAGATGATTCTTTGAAAGTCTGTTTTTAATTTTTTATAGATAATTTTTTCAATTGATGAAGTTTCTTTTTTGTGTTACTTTTTTTTTTGTTTTAATTCATAGATAATAACTATTTTTTTGTCTTATTAGATTAAATTAATATGAAGTCATTATTATTACTTGCAAATTCTTGTTTAGATCTTAATTTCCTCACACTGTTGAATAGTAGATATAGATAGAGGACAGATAAAAAAAAAATCTAGCACTGTTATAATTATAAACAATAAAATATATCACTTATTTAAAATAATACCTCAAAGTTAAATTATAAAAATAAATAAATACCATCCATTTCTACCAATAGTTGATTAAGAGTATTTTCTTGCTCCGAATGTCCTCCAAAGCTTCGGCCACCCCTTTTTCTCCCAACAGCGTCTATTTCATCAATAAAAAGTATACAAGGAGCATGCTTCCTAGCCATAGCAAACATATCTCGAACCTAAAAAGTTATACAAATAACAAACTTGGAGGAAAAGTTATATCTTACATTACATCAAATGTAGTTATCACATCAGAAGGGATACTTTCTTAACTTTCCACTTTTCATTAAGAAAACTATAGTAATAATATTGTTCAATAAATCTGACTTATTGATATCATTGAAAAATATAAAAATTCATATCTTTTCAACTATTTTATTTGTGTTGGAACGAACAGATAGCATAATAATGGCTGTTCCAGTTAACTGGTTAATTCTAAACTCTTTTCATCAGCTTTACCTCACAGGGATAACAATCACTGAGTTGATGAACTATAGAATAAAAAAGTTAGTCATCCATTATCTCGAACCACGAAAATTTATTACAGCCACATAGAGATCTGAAACCTGCATGCACTTCTTTGAACTTCCCCATATGTCAATACGGAGGTGAATGGAAAGGTAAATAAGTTGCTTTCTCCTGATTGGACTTCTATTAAGCTTAAAACATTGTTATGGAGCTGTCTGGTTCCATGACCCACGCCTGTACAGGTATAACCACACTACAATGAGTCAAGTCTATCTTATAGGGACAGTTCTTATCAAAATGTCTTGTGAGTTAGCTCATATAGATCTCTCTGTTTTGTTTTCGATTTGATTTTTATTTATCCAGCTTGGCACTATAACTCGATGAATAGTGTTGGCCTCCTCCAGTCATTTCTGCTCTGTGCAGCTGTCATCCTCCATGTTTCCGATCCATACAACAGAACTGAGCGGATTCATGCCTTGTACAGATAGAGCTTGGTCTGCGAGGATAATAAGTGGGATAATTTGAATTAAACAGTGAAAAAACAATAGATACGGACATTATTCAGTGCTATCAATGAACCACGCCATGATTTGGATGGTTAAAATTAAAACTGGAAGATGATTATCCTACTATTGTAGGATTTGTCATTTTTTTTTTTTAATGATATCCAGTGTTTTTGTATACTTCTACAAATAGTTGGGTACAAGATCAGTAATTAAAATATGAATATTTTACTCTTTGTTTTTGGCAATAATAACTTCCAATTAAACAACAATTGATTTATTTGTTGTATTTCCAAGTTTTCATGTATACATTTCGGGATATTTACTCCCATCTTCAGAACTACAATCCCACGTATCTTTGTTGATTCATGGCTAAAAATGAGTTAAATATAATGCATGTTACAATACGTGTTAGAATTGAGTTGTTACATTAAATTTGTAATAACCTTAAGTCTAATGTGCTCCATTGTCAGATTCTAAATTCATGTTATAACAAATTATAATATATATTATCCAGAGCATCATCATGCCTTTAGACCAATTATTGGGTACCTGCCATGGTGAATACAATTGATCTTTGGATATGTATATTTATTTTTGGTTTATTATTTTCAATAATGAACCATTGCGATCGACCAAAAAATTCAAAAACTTAACCCCCTCTCAAAATTTGAGGATTTACGTTTCAAGATACGTAGAATTCGAAAAACGAATAAAAATTTTTTTGTCCGTCCGCCGTACACGCATTTTATCCGAAACTACTGGACCGATTTTTTTTCAAATTTGGATATAATATCAGAGGTCACCCGAGGATGATCCTCCTTCATCGACATTACTATCCGTCTTTTACTTTCGAAATGGCGGATGAAAAAAATGCGTAGCTATAGAATGTAGCGCCTAAATGAATGTACTGACACATGTGAGCTCTGCTCCTCAGTTTTTTTTTTAACCTTTTATTTTTTAAAAGTTATTTAATTACATGGCTGAATTAAATATTTATTAAGAATTATAGAATAAAAAGGCCCAGCATTAGCAGTGGTTAGAGATCTGTACTATTAAAGTGAAGAACAAAGGATTGAATCCCGGCCCTTACTTCCCAGTACAGCTGGCTTCTGCGGGAAGTTAGACCATAACCCCTTAATTAGGAGAGGCCTACAACTTTAAAATATACTACTAAAAACAGCCTACTAAATACAAAAATAATAATTTGGTCAGATGGCAACCAAAATCTATTGGTTGGTATCAATGATAATATATAAGATTTACAAACATTTAACTTTTTTTTAACAATTTTAAATATTTATCCCCAAATATTTAAAATTGTTTAAAAAAAAGTAAACATTTGTAAATCTTGGGATATTGTAATTTCAGTTTATAAGAAATTACAAAAAATAAAAAACTCTTCCACATTCGCCATCTTCGAACTCCAATTCTTTTCAGGATGTCTCTCACTTCCTCCAGCCACCACAGATGTAGTCTTCTGTTATGTCAATCCTTCAGCAGGTATTTTTTATTGAAGTCTCTGGACATATGCACTGCATGACCCAACCATCTGCTTAAATTAATCGTCCTAGATGAAACCAAAAATGATCTTAAATATGTCTTGCACAGGTCGCCATTGGTACAAATTCTCTATATGTTTAGACACTGGACCATGGATCTTTTGGAGAACCATTTTCGACCATGAAAAGTTTCATCTCTGAAGCCATAGATACCACCCAGATCTCAGAACTATCTATCTTGTGACCGTGATCTAGGTTCTATGAAATGGAGGTTATAATTACATGGCAAAACAGAATTTATTCCTGGTGGTCATCCTTTCTTTCATTACCTCCAACATTTCATTAAAATATGAAAATTCATTAGTCCACCTAAATAAGTAAAGGCATCGGCCACTTTCAAAATGTGATTTCATTGTAACTAGATCAAGTATGAGCCAATATCAGATTTCTGTTTATTAGTTTGTAGCTCTATAGCAATGGCAGCTGAAATTAAATAATATAAGATAATAAACTTCTTACCCTTGATGGTCCAACACCAACAAACATCTCAAGGAACTCAGAACCAGAAACAGAAATAAAGGGTACATTGGCTTCGCCAGCAGTTGCTTTGGCTAATAAAGTTTTTCCAGTTCCAGGTGGACCTTTAACAACAGTAATACTTATACTAACTAATATATTCAGAGTTTATAGTGAAGATTCAATTATTTGAATTCACTATACCTGTTAACATTGCACCTTTTGGTATTTTTGCTCCTAATTCGATATACTGATGTGGATTTTTTAAGAAATTAACAAATTCCATTATTTCTAACTTTGCTTCCTCACAACCAGCAACATCTCTAAAAAAAATAAAATAAAAAAAGATAATATATTATGATCTACTTCTTAAGAAACCAGATCTGTCTGAACCCCATCAACATACTTAAATCTTACTCCAATTTCATTCGAGTTTATTAACTTTGCTGTTGATTCCATAACACCAAAAATACCACCTTTACGACCCCCACGGCCTCCCATAATATCAGCAGATCTTCGCATCATATAAATCAAAAACCCTGCAAAAGTTATCATATCATAAAATGCATATAATAATAAAAATATAGATTTAAAGATATTGTGGACAGCTTGAACACTTCAACTTTAAAAAATACTAAAATGCAGCTAATGTATAACATAAGTATAATAATCCTCATCTACCATTCCATTATAACTTAGTTTTCCCTGCACTTTATTTATAATGACTGCATACAATATTTATAGGAAGCTGTGCTGGCATAATTGCCTGCAGTTTTCCAGATTGAATTACATTTATCACAACTCTAAGGATTGTTAAAGGGAGATCTGTTTTCCTTGAATGTTGTAAATGTGATGCCAATGCTCCTCTCTCGATCATGTCAGCATAAGTATACTTCCTTTGATATGATTTATTCATCTCCTCCTGATTCTTGGCTGGGAAGAACATCAACATCATCTCCTTCTATCACTTTATCAGGGAACCTTTGCACAATATAAAAGTATCTCTATGAAGAGCGTAGAGACTGGGCTCAATTCACCACATCTGTTCATGCAATAAAGTGTAATTCCCTCCTTCTCCATCCCCTCCTATTGGAAATGGGCAGGAACTGAAGGATTGAACATCTGTCTTAATTTCAAAGTCATTAGTATCTCAATCCCATCAGGATCTTTTCATTCTGGGTCATGGCCAACTCCTCTTCTGTCTCCTTGCCCTGTTCATTCATGGTATTTCGATCTGCAGCATGCAATAGATGGCCAAAAACATAAAAATCTACATGGCATGCGAGATCAAGCTGTTGTTGGATAGAGTTGTTTTGACAAGAAACAATTTTCTCTGACTACAAGGAATCTGTACATAGGTAGTATATGGGTAGTAATATCTATGCAATACTCCACTGCTGTCAAAATCTGTACATTCTAAAAAGGGATATAAATATTTAAATAATAATAATAATAGAATATATATAAAAAAAGAAATATGTACCACTACAACCTATGAAGAGTCCTGGGTGAATAGTGAGTTGAGGAAGTACTGTTAAAAGGCCTATGGTTATTATTGGGCTGAAATCACACTGAACTGCCAGTTTTATCCCCTTAATTAATAATTCAATTAAGAATACCCACTTTATAGAGGCTGGGTGTCTCCCCCATGATTGATGAAAAATTACAGGTCATCAGCCGGACTCGAACCAGGGTCCTTGAGTTCTGGAAGTCAATGCTCACCCACTGAGCTGGCCCGCTCCCTATATAACTAGATATATAAGTCAGAGGTGCCCAGAAGGGAGTTTAACAGTGCAAGTTGCGCCATCAAAATTTTTGAGGGGGCAAATTTTGACTGAGTTATAAATTTTCAGAATGAAAAGTTTCATACTTAAAGGACAAGGAGAAAATATGGAACAGACCACAGCGAGTGTAATTGTATATGCTCCACGATTTTTTCAATTCTACCTTCACTTGCCATGTTTTTAAGAAAATACGAGCAATAAAATATCTTGGGAGTCGGAGGAGAGTAGGTCCTTGTACCATCGACCTTGAGGGGGATAGGCACTCCTGATATAACTTACATAGAATTATTAACTATTATTATTATATAGAATTAAGTTATATAGAATATATAACTTAAAAAAATTAAGCAGTTAAAAACAAATACCTATAATAAGAATAGTGGGCAGGAAACCAGTTAAACTGCTTGCTTCCAACTCTGATTTGTAGACCACAGGAACATAATTAGGTGGTTCAATATTCATCTCCATTTGAGCATTTTCTAAATTTCTTTCAAAAGAATCCACACTTCCAATGTTGAACCACAACACACTCTAAAATAAATATTTTCAATAAAAATCCAAAATTAATGTTTATACATACACAATCTTGTATACTAATACTTCTATATACTAACTGCACCATCAACAGAATTTCCTGGTGAAAGACGAACACGGACCCACTTCTTGTTAACAACTTCAAGTTTTTCAACTATTCCTTTTGACAAATAACTAAATAAAAAAAATAAAATCTTCACATTTAATGTATTCAAAAAATAAGAACAAACAGCAATATTGCCTTACTTATTAACAAATTCTTTCCATGCTATTTCTTTAAAGCCCATCTCATAGTATGCAATAGCTGCTATAAGCCCAACAACCCCAACTAAGCCAAAAAGAAACCATTTTTCCTTCTCACTATCTCCTAAAGGCTTTGAACCAGTGCCTCTGAAAAAAAAAAAAAAAAATGAAATCATTACCTGCTGGAAGAATTGTGGATTTGTTTTAATATGACTATTTTAACTAATTAACAAACCGAAGTTTTTAGTTAACAATAAAAAAACGTTAAAGGAAGAGTTCATCCATCAATTTATAATTGTGAGTTGATGGTTGACTGTAGTGAATAATGAAGAGAAGGATAGTTGGGGTTATTTATTTTTAGTTATTTTTACTAATCACTCCAACTATCCTTCCCTTCAATATTTATTTAAAGTAACATCCATATATAAATATATAATTTATATAATATATCGACAGCCATACTGCTAAAGCCTGTAAGAAAAATTTCTTTGAAAACTGAGCTTTTTCCTTGTCCTTGTGTTTTATCAAATTCCACCACTCCTGTGATGCAGAAAAGGGACCTAAACTGCTATGTTAAATATATGGAGTAGATAATTGAATTTTTTTGTGTATGGTTGGATTTTAATTGTAATAAAACTTTAATATGATCCTTTGCCTACATTTATGTTTCGGCTCAGAAAAATATTTAAACAAACAACCTTATTACTATATAGTTATAAATAGAGATAATAATTCTCATGCAAAAAATAATTCTTTATAGCAAAAACTTGAAAAATGCTTAGTTACTCAAAATGTGCAAAATTAGAGAACAAAAACCCAAAATATATGAAATTGAGATATTATATAATACAATAAAGATGCAAATATTATTGTTTTTGTTTAATTTATAATATTAATACAGTTCTATTCATGTTTATGTATTTAAGCTCCTCTCCAAACTTCACACTATTTCCTTGTCCAATAGTGCATTAAGCTGGTTATATTTATTTGATTTATTTATCTTATGTTATTTACAATATTTTAATCATGATTACAATTTTTTAATTTTATTTAATGCATTAATTTGTCTTTAATTTAATTTTTGCTTTCACTTACCTATATATGAAATATATAGTAATAGCCCTGGAGCCAAGGCCCAAAAGTCGACCTCTTCGCAGAAGAACGTTTGAAACTGTATGTTATTCCGAGTAAAAAAGACCATGTCTGCTGTTCCAAAGCCACTACTTTAAAAAATGGCGCCTGATTAAAAGAATTTTAGGCCAGTAATTTGAGGATCGAAATGGAAAACCCATTGCGAAAAATGTGAGAAAAAAGTTTTTATTTTTTTACCCTGTACATATGAGTTTATATATGTAAAAATCTGTTGCGTGCAACACACAACTTTCACTTACCCCTCCCCTCTACTTTGAATAGAAATTATTTTCTGGTAATGTTTGGGTATTATAAAGTTTTTGAAGTGCATTTTAAATGGAGCTAAAGCTTAAAGCTTATAGATAACAAATCATTAAGACCATTAAAATTACTAAAAGTCTATTTATCACATCGACGGTAGGCAATAAAAATCTAGTTTTATAAACCACATAACTTCAGTTGAGTCATTAGTCATCTATGAGTCATTCAGTTGACAAAATGACTAACTCCAATTTCAACATTTCAGAGTAATGTCATTTTAGTGATATTTCAAGTTGGAAAAGTTATACCTATGCAAGCAGTGAGCAAGTTGATTCCAGAGTAGGTTATTGCAATGTTGAAATATATAATTGTGAATAGAGGTATAAATTTTGCCACTAGAAACATCACTAAAATTAATAATAAAGAATGTTGAAATTGGAGTAAGGCATTCTGTCAACCGAACAGCTCATATATGCCTAGAGAGATCTGAAAGTACTTCTAAATATTTAACCTATAAATGATTATGCATTGTAGGACTATTAGTTATTAAACTGTTATTTTCCATTATAAACTTTACTGAAATGAAATTACGATATTTTCATTGCCATGGCTAGGTCAAAAGTTGTCACACTAATTGTAAGTGGATAATGTTGGGATTTCACCACAAAGGTAAAATTCATCAAATTATTCACTAATTTAAATTTCTAAAAGGTTACTTAATGATTTTTGGAATAAATGGCCAATAGATATCTAACGTAATTATTTAAATATAATATCCTATCTAGAGTTATTAAACTACAGTAAAAGTATTTAAGGAGGTTATAAACATATCCATGAAATATTTTTATATTTCACTTCTTTCACACAAGTACAATTAAATAGTATTATAAACAATGGCATTGCCATGATTCGGTGGATTTTAAATACTTTTTTTAAAACTTAGAAACAAATTTAAAAGTTTACATTTAGTAAGAAAATTTTATTGGAAACATGTGATTTACGTTAAATAAAGTTAGTTTTCTGAAATTATTATTTATATGTTTTTCGCCACTCTCTGTTACCTTCTACAACTTTATTTATTTGATATTATTTTTTCTAAATTTCTCTGCTTTCTAACGATATATTATACGTATACCTTCTGACTGTTATTTCCGGAAATAAGCATTTTTCTTTTTTTCTCCAGTTTCCAATTATCATATTCTTTCAAATTTCATATTTAGCCATTTTTTATAGTTACTGTCAATAAAAGAGAGATATGGTTTTTTAATTAAACCATATTAAAGGTGCTTTAGAGTAAGACGTATATGAACATTGGGCATTTAAGTCCAATAAAGTGACATCAATGGGGATAAGATCTAAATGATATTAAAGACCACTTAATTATACTACGATACACCGAGTTTAATCAAAATTGTTAGAGCCGTTTTTGAGAAAATTGTAAAAATGTGTTTACCGTTGATATAAAGTGGCACTTCTGATAATCCGCTTTTAAGGAAAAAGTTTCTGTAACATCTAAGGCATGAACCTATCTTAATAAATACATAATATCAGTTTCGTACAACTTTTTGTTTTGGAGCTAGATTGTTCACATTCATACACACACAGTCACTTTTGCGGGATTTGGTTATTTGGACTCAGGAGACCTTAAAACAATTTCCATTGAAAACTCAAGATTCAAAAATTTTCACTATCGTAATACTTTCCCTTACTATATATTCCATATATAGGTAAGTGAAAGTAAAAAAAAACAAAATTGCTAAAGCGGGTCACCAAGGAAAAACTTTTTACAGCCAAAAAAGTCAGATTTTTTAATTTAATGCAGGCCACTTACTCGGAACAAAATCGGTAATCTCCAGAAGGTTAGAAAATGGTAATGCAGGTAAACGTGATTTTCAATATTTCAACAGTTTGGGTATCTATCCTACTGAGTTATTATAAAATTTGATGCTCTATAACTTTGATTCTATGTTTTTTTCCTCTTAGGGAATTCATTTCCAAGTTACAGAGCCATTTATAGTAACTTGTCTCAGTTTTTTACAAATTCGGTAAAATTCATAGTTGATTGACGGCAGTTTTATACCTTAGCACATAACCAAATTATAAAGATTATGTACTCGTCGACACACAATTTAACGTTCTTTAATTAATTTTTTTTTTAACTTTCTTTATTGAATATTAATACATTCTGCCACATTGAAGGGCATTAATATTAAGGCTACATGATTCATTCACACAATATGTACATACAATTAATTTTTAATTAATTAAGGAGGAGAGGTGAAAAAACAAAAAAAATCTTTTTTGACTATAAAAAGTTTTCCCTTGGTGGCCTGCATTAGCAATTGTGTTCATTACATGTCTAAACCCATATATACAAGTTAAAAAATAAAAACTTTTCTAACATTTTTCGCAATGGATTTCACGTATTGATCCTCATATTACTGGCCTAATATTCTTTAAACCAAAATGGCTCCAACAATTTTGATTAAATTCATTATATCGGTGTAAAATTAAGCAGTTTTTAATATTATGTAGGTTTTATTCTCATTGATGTTCTCTAACGGGGCTTAAATAGCTAATTTTAAATATTAGCTTCCTCCAAAGTACCTTTAAATTTTTTTATTTGAAACAATTATCATTTCACATTGATCTCTAATATAAAAAATAGTCAAATATAAAAGAATTTGATAATTAACTAAAGGAGAAATATGAGATCGTGAAAGAGAATAGTTATAATAAAGGAACCAAAAGGATACGAGCGCGGGCGAGCTGAACCAAGCTGCCCCGAAGACTAGAACAGGCTTCCATATGTAACATGAGCATAATAAAATACTCCAACTCCGACAATATTATGAACATATACCTAGTCCTGCCATAAATACTGTTACAAAAGGTTGAACTTTATATCCTTGGGTATTATTTATATAATCCTTACTTCTATCAGATTATTTTCTTTACATGTCAGGATAATAATCCCAATTAGTTTGTATTTTTCTTTAGCTTAGTTAATGAAGTGAGGTAATAAAGAAAACCAAATAGTTGTGATCGCCTTACACTAAGTTGGAAAATGTAGGTCAGAGATTTTCGACACTTTGAAACCTTAGAGTATCAGCCGTGTGTTCGTGTACCACACTATAAATAGATATAATGAGACCTTATCTGTATGTGGCAGACCTCGACCAGGCCATCCCGGTGAGAACGGCAAATACAGTGAGAGCAGTAGCTCTCAAACAGAAAACAACAAATCATGTCTCGGGAAATGGGAATCTCTGTCAGATCAATGTCTCGCATAGTAAAATGTGCCCTTGGGATGGGTTTATTTCGAAGAATGACAAGACAAAGGCTAACCACTTCCCTAAAAAAAATTAAAGTGAATAGGTGCAAAGTGCTCCTTGACCGTTATACCAATGGTCTTCATCGAAAGATTTCGTTTAGCGATGAGAAAATTTTTACAATTGAAGAAAACTTTAATCTAACCAAAATGATTACGTGTATGCACACAGCTCTAAAGAAGCCCAGGAAATCATTGGAAGAGTGGAAAGAAGTTATCACCCTTCCTCAGTGATGGTTTGGTGGGTAGTTTGCTTTGATGGCACCACAAGGCTCCATTTTTGTGAAAAGAAGTTAAAACAGCCTCTAAAAACTATCAGGATGACATTTTGGAACCTGTTGTCAAGCCTCTAAATGATACTCTGCTGGAAGTCATTGGGTTTTCCAGCAGGATTCCGCTCTAGCTCACAAGGCCAGGTCAACAAAGCAGTGGTTGCAAAAGAACCAGAGTTCATCTCTGCCTCGGATTGGCCCTCAGGAAGCTTTGATCTCAAGCCATTAGATTATCAGCTTTGGTCCAAACTGGAGAGAATGGCATGCAACAGAGAACACCCTAACTTGGAAAGCCTCTCCATAAGTGCTGGGTGCTGCTATTGACTGGCCACAGAGATTAAATACCTGTGTCAAGGCCAAAAGGAGACATTTTGAGTAATTTCTTTTTTGAAGAAATTTCAGTTTTCAGTGAACTCCTTGCTGAACATTGCTCCCTGAAGAAGACCTGCAAAGTCGGGTCGAAACATTGACTTTTAATAAAATAGTTTTGCCACTATTTTAGTCTATTTATGACCGCCACCCCGGACCATCTCCTTCCTATATAATACAACGGTCAACTATTAAGTATTCAATAATTTCTTTTATGTTTCACTCTCTATAGATATACATTTTTTTTTTTTTTATAAAATTTATGAAAAAATTAATTTTTCTGTTGAAATCTGTATCTGTATTTATATTTCCTAGTAACAATATTTATAACAAGACTAGGTACATATTAGGTTTTCCTAAATGTTTTCATTCGTATTACTTAATATTTAATTATATAGATTACAGTGATATAAATATTAAAATTTGGATATATAAGGGTACTTAAACAAATAAAAATATCCACAATGAAACATAAATCAACATAGCGCTTATAATTTTTACTTTCACTTCCCCTTTGTCTGAAAAAACTTATTTCTGCTAAGAAGAAGGTGGTAAGTGAAAGTTGTGTAATGTGTGTACCGCACCAGATTTTTATTAATGCATCTACCGAGTAAATGCTCTTTTAATGCACATTTTTGTTATTCTAATGGGACCAAATATCTCAATATAAAAATAAACTTTTCTTTCTTTTTTTCTTATTTAACTACTGTGATGTAGGGTTAAATAATATTTTTTATGTATTAACATATTACACAGTATATTAAAATAATGATTTTTTTCATGCCGAAGTTGCTATACAACATCCCAATTTTAAACAATTTGTATAAAATCCCAGTTTTTAAACAATTTTCTGTTAATACATTTGCATAACTTTGCAGACTGATTTCCATTAGTTACTTAATATTAATACTGATTTCTAAACACACTTAATATAAAACTAAGAATGTTCCAACATATAAATGATATTAAGAACATGAAGAAATGACTTCAAAAAAACAGCAGTGGTAGGTTTTTCTATATGAACATAATTTTGATTTAGAAAACAGACAAATTCTATAAAAAGAAAATTGCATATACATAACACAAGATATTAAAATAACGTTGAGGGAAAATAGCAACGGTTAGGTGTTTTTAAAATAATCTTAAAACATATCCATTCAGTTTATAGTTTTGCATTTTAGTGTAAAAACATCTAATTAGTTGTTTTTTTAATCTTTGTTTTTCAGAAGATAATTTGTATCCATACCATCTATAATGATTAGTTTCTTATAAAATTAGTTCTTAAATATTAAACAACCAGGGAACAAAATAAACCTTACAGATTACAAAAATAAAAAAAGAGAGAAGATATGTTTTTGGAGAAAGCAAAATCGTAACTGACGTAATAGTGGCACAATATTAAAAATATGTATAAGGGGTCCCTATTATGTATTATCTTCAACTATATAGCTATATTTATATTGGTTCAATAATATTAAAGAGACCCTTTTAACTTTTTATTAATTTCTTCAATATAGTTTCTATTGTTTTAATTGAATACCTATTCATTAATTTTCAAAGTGATTGTGCACTGTAATGATTTTAATGAATATTGTAATAAAAGAAAGCTAAACCTTGTGAAACGCTTTATTTCACAAAAACAATACATCATAGTGCCATTGAACAACATCATAGTGCTCTTGACTAAACTTGACTAGATCACGGCCTTCAATATCTTGCTAAGTGATATTACAATTAAATGATAATACATATGATAATAATTAATAATAATAATTGAACATAAATTATAAATGATGTAAACATTATTATGTCTATGACATGATCGATAATGTGAAAGGTATAGGGAGACTTGATATATTATTGGTCGGAAACATAGAATTGTTTGGTATTACTTTACAACTGTTGCTCCACTTTATTGGATGGCACAAAATCTCAGGATTACACAATAAATGGCACTGAAAAGGAACAAGAATGTCAGAATACAGACGGAGGTGACAAAAACATCTAATTAGGCTGATCTGAATTAAAAAGGGCTCATTGGGAGTTAGTGTATCCTTTTAGAGTTACTGGAGGTCGAAAACAGCAATTTAATAATATCCAGATTTTAACTGTAAAGAGGAGCTGGGTGTATTAGCTTAAAATAATCCACCATCCTCATAATTTCATTTATAGTGTAATCGTAAGATCTTGGCCCAACCACCGAAGTGTAATACTTTACAAGTACTAACAATTGTGTCTATTAAGATATTAGACATGTAACATAACTTGTGCATTGTGGAAAAGTCAGTTCATATTTATTCCTGTACCTCAGAAAAAAATGTCTAATGTCTGAACGATGAAAATTTGGATCAACTAAAAGAAAAAACCAGGCACACATTGATTAATAGGGAGGTTAGGATATCTCTGTTCTCCATATCCTTTCATGCATATTCTTATAATTTCAGATTTCTAAAAACAGATAATATATATATGATTATAGTTCATATAAAATCCACATGACGCGAAAATAAAATCTAAATTTAAAAAATAGATGAGTTTTGGGTTTAAAAACAGAAAAGTTGGGAGGTTTTGTCCCTCATTCTCACGACTTAAAGTCAGTCAAATATGAATTGATATATAAATATACATATATTTGAGTGAGAGAGAAACACTTTATTTTCATAAAATATAAAGGATTGCTGCCCAATTATATTGGGTTGCTATATACACAGCATACTCTTCTATCCTTAGGACAATACATGAACTTATATATAAATATACAGAAGTATTAGTTAATATTAGTATATAAAACAAATATACCTTGTTCCACCAAACATTCCAAAAGACCATTGCTGAGAGCTAGGTTTGGAAGATGGCGCAGATTTTTGATAAGATTTTGGCTGGGCCTCTTGAGCTGCCGAAGAAGGAGCATCTTTAGCCGGTTCTTTTGCAGTTTTCCCTTCATTATTGGTTTGTTTCTGTTTTTCTTTAAAATACTTCTCGAACCCATGAGGAGGTTTTTCACAGAAAACACGCCATTCCTGCCAAATTTTATCTAAGCTAGGTATTCCTCGGCTTCTAGCAAGTTCTGACAAGTTTTTGCAAAGCTGTTAAAGAAAAAAAAAGAATTCTGAAATATGGTGCAAGATTACACCTCCAAATAAGATTTAATTCCAAAAATTCAAATGAAACAACATTTCATAATAAAAAAATATACAACAAATGTTAGCAATAATAAGTGAATTCTATTATTACTGCTCTCATCAGGTTTAGATATTATTTCAACTTACAGAGAAACTGTCAATTGTGCCTTGGCCAAGACCGGTGAGAATCAATCTTTCAAGTTTTCTAGTAGTAAGCAACAAACGGTGCGCCATTATTCTTAATTCGAAATTAAGTTAAAATCTGGAAAAACATTACGATTTTTGTCGGAGCCGGGTTTAGAATAACTAAACCACTGACTAATTCACTTGGTTATCACTGATGCAACTACAAATCAAGAAGCCATTCCTTAATTGAGACAGGTGTTTTAATATCCTAAACATTAACTTATAAATTGAAAGAGGGGAAATAGTCCTATTAATGTCCTTTAAAATATATTTTTTTTGCTTTTAGTTGGAACAAGAAATTTTAAATAACGCATCAAAATGAGTTAATAAGAAATGACTAACTTATTTTTCAAAAGAAAGGAAGGTTACCAAACAAGCTAAAAACTTGCTTTGTAACTAATGCTAAATAGAAGCACAAATTGTCAAGGGCCCATCACAATTTATGTATGTCAGATCGTCCTGACACCTATGTTTCAGTATAATAACTAAACAGGATAATAAAATATAACGTGCTAAACTGATTCTATCCGTTTTGTTTTTTCAAAAAATTTCTATCCCATTTCAAAAAAATGGGATAGAAATTTAATTGGGATAGCTTTTGAACAAATATTTTAATTATAGATTCTCTTAAACATTGCCTAGCAATAACCACTAATCAAAATAAAAAACTAAAGGTGGTCCATTGTCACAAAACAATTCTTACTTCAATTTTTTTTTTTAATATTCTTTTCTTCATAAAATTTATTTTCTTGTTTCATAGAATTCACCATGATATTTGATACCCTACTGACTCCATTATTGCTAATTTATTTATACTCCAAGGGATGGGAAACATTGATTTCATATCAAAATCTTAAACTACATCCAGCAGTAGCGGTTCCAGGTTTAATTTTGAGAGGGCTTTAGCTCGCAAGCTTTTTTTAAAATATGTAACGAAAATTACTTCGGCACAAAAAGAAAGATACTAATTACCTATATAAAATGATGATTAAGAGATTCTTGAAGTCTTATTAAAAATGTAATTACAGGAATAATAATACTTATAGTTATAATTTATTTAATTTTTTTCGATAAGAAATGGTTACATTTAGTAGCTGTATATGCATTATAATTAATGTTAAAATTACAACATATTGTGTTTTTTTAAGTATTTAGCTTAAATCACTTACAGTTACAAATACGGACCACGAAAAAAATGAAAAGAGCCCATTTTCGTCCAAATGAAAATAAAAAAATTATATTTTGACGATGCCTTCAGAGCGGAATTATATTCAATTGTATTGAACCAAATCAAATTTCGTCAATATCTTGATTGGTTAGAAAAAAAAATAATCTTTTTGAGTGAGGGGGGCTTAACAAAATACAAGTTGTGCAAATACTTAAAAACCTAACTATCAATAATATCATAATAAATAAAATTTGTATTGAACGAAATTATTTTTATTTAAACGATAAAATAAAATATAATTTTGTAAAAAATAAATTCGCTACATAAATCGACTATAACAACAGACACTAACGCTAGCAGTTTGTAGTTCTGTAACTATTTCTTTACATAGGAGGTTACCCTCTAGGTGCATTATTGTGTTTGATTTCTTCGCAAGAAGGTTTTGGGCCTGATAGTGGAATTTGAAGGTGTTTTTAAATATTGAACTTTATTCGTAATTAAATATTTTTTAAGAATGGTCAGTATTTTTCATGTACTAATTTTTCCCTTTAGCTATTAAGTAACATAATAGGGAATGCATAAATGTATATATTTAATGTTATACTGTATGATATGTCATCAAAAGTTTTTTGTATGCTTATTGATGAAGATGTTTTAAATGTGTTATAATACAAACTCATCTTGTTTCCTATAGGCTAGACGTTATGATTCAAGAACAACAATTTTTTCTCCTGAAGGTAATTTAAGTATTATTATTCAGAATATGAATTTGATGTTGTTTGTACAAATACATAGTGGTGTAAAGAAGATCTGTAATTATGAAATATCTAAGAATGCTGTCATTCCATTATTCTAGGGCGCTTATATCAGGTAGAATATGCTATGGAAGCAATAAGTCATGCAGGGACTTGTCTCGGGATCCTAGCAAACGATGGCATTATTCTTGTAGCTGAGAAAAGGAATACTAACAAACTTCTTGATGAATCAGTATATTCAGAAAAAATTTTCAAACTAAATGAGTGAGTTTCTGCTTACATGTGATAAGATCTAGTATCAAAGTTAAAAGGTTTAGCATAAACAGCGTAATTATTAATAGTCCCATGGTTGAACATTTTCACATTCAATCTATGAATAAATATTTCTGTTTTACTCTATTCTTAAAGCTTTGATAGACAGATAAAATCCACAATTTGTATTAAAAACTTATTTAATTCTTTAATTAGCAATATTTCATCACCACTTTTTTGGTGGTAATTGGATAATCAGTCTTTTTAACCTCATGTTTGATATACGTACTTTAAATAAAATTAATATATTTTCAAATTTTGTCGGAAGGTGTAATAAGTTAATTGAAGGTCTAGGCACGTAACACTTCCATTTTGTTGTTATTCTTTTGAACTATTTATGATGTTAATAAATTAGAATAATTCATTTATAAAATGATAAAAGGGTTGCTTATATGATCAGTAAACTATTAACTGAGGTAACTTTGGTCTTTGCTGACAGCATAGATCCACAATATGAAAAACAAAATTTGGGGCTGTATCTGAAGTAACTGAGAAGAGAGTAACTGATTTTATTTTATCAGAAATTATTAGCTATTCACAATAGACCTGGGAAGAATTTATTTAAAATGTTTCCTAAACAAATCGTTAAATAACCTTCCCCAGTTATTTCGGAAATAATTTATATAAGAAATAACTTGAATCATTTCTAAAACTATTATTTCAGGATTAATGAAATAATTATTTCTAAAATGATTATTTCAGAAGTGATGTTCTGAAAATAATCATTCTGATAGGTGCAAAAGGGATTGAAATAACCATAATAAAAACCCTATTGCTCACTTTAAATTTAGTTTTCGCTTATGCCCCTGTTTTTTTTTTTCTGTAATTAGAAGGATTAGGCATTATGTCCACTGCTGTTTGAGACACTTTATTCTTTGTAGATGCTGAGTGTGCCTGATAGAAATTTCAATTTTTCTTATGTTCCCTTTTCTTTCCCTACAATTTGTTTGAAGCATTATATTTATTCCTATTTGAGAAACTATAACCTTTGTAGACAGCAGTAAATATAATGCCTCGAGTCTTGCTAATTGTAGAAAACCAAAATGAGCATTAGAAAAATGAAATTTCTGTCGGGCAAACTCATCCTCTACAAAGGTTAAAGTGTCTCAAACAGGAGTAAATACAATGACCCAAGTATGTCTGATTGTAGGGAACATAAGAAAAAATGAAATTTCTATCAGGCACACTCAGGTGTAAGTGTGTCTAATTTCAGAAAACGAAAAGGGGCAAAGGAAAAGGACGGCTATAATCCTCTATAACATTTTAACTTGATTAAACTGTTAGCCAATTTAAAGAGCCCATAGCCTCGTATGACACAGAAAAGAAATATGATGGTGGAAACTAAATTAATATTGAAGTGGTCGGGCACAATCAACCTCTTTGAGCTGGATACCTGTTGGTATTGGGCAAAATATGGTCCCTGTCACCAGCGGATTAGAGGTTGATTGGAAAGGGTTATACTATGTAATTAAATATTATATAATTTTTATATTGGTGGATTTTTTAAATAATTTATTTATGAAATAAGTAAATCTGAAATAACTCATTTCGAAATAAATTACTTTATTTATTAAAATTAATGTTAAAATACTGAAATAATTATTTCAAAAATAAATTTAGTAGTTATTTCATTGGCAATTTGAAATATTATTTCGGGAATAATTCATTCATGAAATAATCATATGATTTATTTCAGAAATAATTTATTTCAAGAATGCCCAGGTCTAATTTACATGCCTGTTACTTTATTACTAGTCGTTTATTATTTAAACTGATTGTTTATTAAGATATTTAATAATTTTTCTTCCAGTCTATCAATCTACTTACCATTAACTTTGTACATCTACATTACAATATACCAAACATTTAGTATTTGCAGCATTTTGAAAAATAATGAGTTTTATGAATGTTGTTTTTATAGGAACATGATATGCAGTTTAGCTGGGATCACAGCTGATGCCAATGTTCTGACTAATGAGTTAAGGCTTATTTCTCAAAGATATTTGTTACAATATGGAGAAACAATTCCTTGTGAACAACTTGTCTCGTGGTTGTGTGACATCAAACAAGCATACACTCAGTATGGAGGTATTTGTTTAAAATTTACAATCCTGAACTATAAAATGTTTGTTAATAATATCTATTTAACTCTTAAGATTTTCATAACTTTATTATTTAAAATTTTATTGAATGTTGCTATTTAATTTGAGAATTTTAAATTATTACTTGTGCAATATTAAATTTAAGGAATATTTTTTTACCATTGTAGTAATAAATTGGGTTGAACTTGGTTAAATGTGGTGGTGAATTGTTATAATCTATTACTATGTGATATATAATCCACAATATGAAACATTAGTACTATTTTATATCTTTATTTAACACATGTTCTTCATTTCGTGAACAATTACCAATAGCCAAATGATGGATTTTCGTAATTTGTATATTACAGAAAATAATTAATTCTAAATTGAGTTACTTTATCACTATTATTAGTGTCCTTCAATTTGACAAAATGTAACATAAAATCAATAAAAAAATGTTTTAATTCTAAATAAATTAAACTCTAATCTTTACCAAACAGAGATAGAGAGATATAGCATTTTGTGAATGGTAGTTCAAAAAACCACCAGATGAATATCTATTAATGTTAATTTTAATGTCAATTATCTGATACCTACTTTTATTATAGTATGTTATTAAATTTTATCTAAGATCTTAGATTTCTTTATAACTAAAGTACTAGTCAGATTAGAAATAGTTGAAGATCATTAATATAATAAAAATCTTGTCAGTCCCCTTGACTCTTCCGCCATTGTTGGACAAAAGCCCTGATGAAGACCTAAAACATAGGATACAAATAAATACTACTCCAACATAGTATGTTGATCACACTCTATTCCACCATCTCTGAGTAACTATTTCTTAACTGTAAAAAACACAACTTCTGTGTGGGCTAATAATTTAAGATCTTGTTAGAACTTTAAAAACAATAGATAGTATAAAAAATGGACAATTAATTGGGAATTTATTTATTTAGGCTTATATTGCTAAAGTTATTAGAAGTGAAGTTGGTTCACTCAGAAAATAATAACTATTTTAGCTCTTCCAAGGGGGAAGAGAATTTCTATCCATTCATAAATCCCTAGATTACTATTATGTGGTTTTTAGAAGTGTTAGTGTTTTATATATATATATATATATATATATATATATATATATATATATATATATATATATATATATATATATATATATATATATAATTTTTTTTATTTTTTGGTATATCCTGATCTTCAGTCCAGTGGTATCTTTACAGGCATATATTGCTTGTGGGAACACAGACAAACTGGTGGTAGTCATCGAGCCTCACTTTGCTACAGACATTGGTCTCCATGGTGCAGCAGCAGGCCCCCCTAGCTCCACATCCAATCCGTTTGGAGCCAATCTACCAGTGTCCTTGTCTAAATCTGTCTAGATCCATAGATTATGGCTGCTTAGAGTAATCATCAGATTTCTTTCTCTGAAACAGATCTCCCATGGGAGCTAGTGACATCCTGAAAACCATATCCCAATTTCCGATTTAAGTATACGGGGTAGACTTACGAGTCCTATACACAGATGTTTGATTAGATGTAGTTTTACATATATCTAATTAGCTGAACCTCTTAATGTAAAGTTTTTATCTAGGCAAGACAATACCATTAAACTTTGGATAAATTTCATCACAATGTCATCATATCCTTACAGTTTTTAGCTTATTTCCTCTATTTTCAAAGTTTTGCATATCTCTACATCTCTCCATTTCAAGATAGAAATTTATTACGAAATTAATATATATTGAAAATTTGTATGTAAAAATTTGGTGTTTGAGAAATACCTTTTGGGCTCTCATTGCCATATATCAAGGGCAAGGGCGGTGAAAAAAATACATGCTTCTATAGTTTGTAGCACAAAAAGGACTGTATGATTTTGATAAGACTTCTCTTAAGTCTTGCCCGAAGCGATATAAATTTACATATGCTGAAAAATAATGAGAATAAAGTTTTAGTGAGTATAAATTTTATTTTCAAATAACTCATAACTCACCATGATTTATCATCACTGTGGGAGAATAAAAGATAGTTATTTTTCCCTCATATTTTGTTTGCTTTATAACAAGTAAAACATCATGTAGCATTTGCATGATTATAATGATACATTTAGTATATATAGCCTGATTTCACCTTAAATAATTGCTGGTTTATGATATTTCTTATATTATATTATTTTTATTATTATATTGAGAATTCTTTTATTTTTCTCAAAAGGTAAAAGGCCGTTTGGAGTATCCATATTATATATGGGTTGGGATAAGCACTATGGATATCAACTTTACCAGTCTGACCCAAGTGGAAATTACTCTGGTTGGAAGGCAACATGTATAGGGCATAACAGTGGTGTAAGTATCTATTTTATCTTCTCCTTATATATTATTTCTCAAATATATATCCCTTTTCCAGCTCTCAGGAGTGATGGATTTTGATGAATGAGGTATCAATGGAAAGGGAATATCACTTAGAGTGCGTGAATCGTAATTTTGATTCCTAATTTTATACCTGGACTTAAATAAAAGTGAATGTAAAAGTGGGAGGTTTCAAACCATATGATGGTGCCGTCTCAACGAATCGATACATTCCAAATGAATTCATAATTTGGGAATAATTTGAAAAGGACGCAATTTTTGGCCCATTATACATATGAGTATTTGAAAGCCTACTAAAGTCCCTACAAAATGTAAAAAAAAATCATCGAAATCAATAACAGTTGTGTCTGATAAAATATTTTCTTTCTTTTTATTTTATTTTTTACTCTTATATTCGGTTTATATTACTCCTGTGAGCTCTATTTCATCCTATTTATATTTGGCATATTTTTATAGTATGAGTAAAATGTTAAAATGGAACAATTCGCACCTACCCAAGTAAAGTGGATTCAAATATTTTTTTAAGGAGAAACCAAGTTGAGATGTGTATTTCGCATCTCAGAAAACCACCAAATACGAATTTTCATAACAAACAAAAAATAATTTTTTTTTTTTCACAAAATGTGAACCAAGGGTTCTGAAAACCCTTTGAATTTTTTTTTTAAATCACAAAAAATGTTATAACTTCAATACATCTTTAGCTAACTACAAGAAATTTAGCAGGAATTTAGGGCCACATAAACTACACAAAATGACATCAACAGAACCTTCGCAAACAAACTGCAAATAAAAAATAAAAACCTATAACGAGTTTTTGTTTATTTATTTCTTATGTAGGTAGGCATTGAATCAAAAAACCATTCGTACGGCTTTGAAGAGCAATAATTCAGCTTTATAACGGATATAGTAACATCGAATTTAGAGAACATCCTGAGGAGTTATGAATGATTTAGTGGATGAATGGTGAGCGGCAAAGGAAAAATTTTAATAGTGAAATGGTTTGTCACTATGGTGTCTCATGCTTGGATCATTTAAATGAATTAAAACATGGAATAAATATATAAGGGTAGAATAAAGCTTTTTCCTCTATATTATAAATTTTATTAGTAGAATTTTTTATTTAAGAGAAAATGATATAAAATATTAGTATGTAGATCAATATTAGTAAACACTTTTAAGAATGCATTATTCTTTTTCTTGTGAGAAAAGTAATATGGTATGTAGCACATATCTTATTTCTAATTATTTAGATATAATAAACTTTTGTGAAATAATTTTCATCTTCATGATTTACTAAGTTACTAACTGTATATAGGCTGAGATAGTGAAGGCTGGTTTAGGCAGCAAAGGTCAACATGATGATGGATAAAATCTATTCTGATTGAAATTAGTCAACGCAGGAAACAAAAAAAAAACTTGCCAACCGTATGTGGTTGCTTTTAACCGGCAGACATAGCCAAGTTGAAACCAATCTCTATCATTCATAATTTATTTTATGACGGATGAAATATTTTTTAAATCAACTAGAATCCTCATGGATGAAGAAAAAAGAAATCTGCCAACCGGAAGCACCTGTGTTTCGCTGGCAATGTTTGTTACTGCAGACATAAGTGAATAATCCACTTTTTTGCTTCAAAAGTCAATTTATTTGAAGATGGGTGGTTCCATTTCTATATTATATCCAAACCAGGGACCAATAAAACTGTAATCTAGCTACCAGAAATGGACCTAACTCAAGACTAAATAGGTCAAATACCACCTTTTTTTTTTTTAATTTGACTTATTCGAAGATGGATGGAACCTTTCCTAAATAAATTTAATCCGTTCAAGGATCACAAAATAAAATGATAATAATATTCACTGACATTGATGAAAAAACAAATCTTCCAACAAGAAAGCACATTAGCCGGCAAACAATTCAAAAACCACCTTACTACTTACTTACTAATAGCTTAAGAATTTTTCTCAAGATAAATGGAACATTAGCTAAATGAAACTATTTACTAATAATGGGATAACAGTAATTATTTATTACACTTGAATATTATCTATATTACCAGGTATCACATTTCTCACTCATTTTTCTTTCCTGCATTAATTTCAGAATGAATTTACATCCTCTGGGTAATACAACCAGATTATATTCTCCACATCAAATAATGTCTGGCAAATAATCATCTTTTTCTTTATAAGATAAAATTCCTTCAAAAGTTCAAAATCTAATTCATCAAGGCACACTATAAAATGGAAAAAAGGCACCTTGCAAGATCAAAACTTGTTTTACCAAATTAGCTAAGAAAATTATGTGCATTAAATATTTGAACAAAGCCAGAAAATTGAATAATCACTAAAAGTAACCTTTTCAAAGGTTATCGTATGTTGAACATACATATTTAGTAAATAACCATTGTAGTTAATAGTCTCCTAAACAAACTAACCAGCAAAGGTTTTGGTATTATATGTTCATACCTAACTGTAACTGTAAGAGGCAAACATGAAACCTCATTAATGGGAGGAAAATGGTAGTACATTCCTACATAACTTATAATATATTACTTTGAATCTTCACAAATTTTACAAATTAAAACTTAATTAAATCAACTATCATGACAGAATAAATTGTTTAAAATACATGGATATATATATTTTAGGCAGCTGTTTCCAGTTTGAAGACTGATTACAAAGAAGGTGAAATGACAGTGAAAGATGCTTTGGCTTTGGGTATCAAAGTTCTAAGTAAAACATTAGATACTGCTAAGCTTTCAGTTGATAGAGGTATAAATTAATTTAAATCAATCAATTAATTATAATTAAAACTGCCAACACTTGTCTATTTTATAAAAGTTATATTTGGTCATATTACTTGTCACATGTGATATCCTGTAATGTCTCCCCTATCTTCTAGCCCATTGTTTTATAATTAACCAAGTTATGGTGGGGTATAGCCTCATTTTATTATTTTGCCTTATATATTATATGCCTCATATTATATAAAATAAAATATATAAACAGAAAATATAGGTATATACAGATACGGGTATTTTGGTTTGTTACATAAAATAAACTGGTAGGATCGGTGTTATTCTGTTTTCCTAAGTTATAACTGTGTTATTACAAGTTGTTTTGTTTATAGTTCTTATTGCACTTATTAAAGATTATCAGTGCTCTAATTATTGACCTTTTTGGTGATATTTCAAGCTATTATTCTTTAATAAACAATGCCTTGAATCATTTTAGTATCCCTGTGTGATATCAAACTCACTTATTTGATATCTATCCTTCTTTTTCCTGATATATTTGAGGTATAAACAATATTAGGAAAACATTTTATTCTGATGAAGAATACATTATTATTAAGAAAATTAGATAATCATTGTGTTAATCCACAATGATGAAACTCCATGCTTTATAATAACTTTGTAGTTTACTTTCTCGTAAAAAATCTCTCTCTCTCAGCTGTTTGTTAACTAATCCTAATACAGTATTTTACAAGTTGAGACCTATTTGGTTGGAACAAAAGATTAAGATCCGCAGTTTGTAGCTCTCTCACCATTAAGAGTGGAGGATAGACATACCTCAATATGAGTTTCTTTACCTCTATGGAGATATTAGTTACCATTAATATTGACCATAGACATAATTAACCAACAAATTAAAAACGTGTCCATCATAAAAGGGTTTATTTTTGTTTAAAATGTAAGTAAGTTTATTTTTATACTATCTGTTACATCCAAGGAATTTCCTTTCATTTACTCTCTCCATAGATTTTAGTTTGTCACAGACTATAATAAATAGCAATATTTTAATAAGTATCTTGTGGCACCTAAGAGGCTTTCGCCAAGAGTTACAGTTTATCTCAACAACTGTATATATATATATATATATATATATATATATATATATATATATATATATATATATATATATATATATATATATATATATATATATGTGTGTAATTAAAAACAACCTTAGAACTAGATTCTATAATTTTACAAAGAATAAAAAATAAACACTGAAATTTTTCAAGAATATTTAAGCTAACAGTCACTTTCAAAAAGTTACTTAATGGAGGTGGAGGAAAGATACTCAATCAAATTGGGAAGTTCCACCATTTGCAGTGGATTTGATAGCCAGAAAACTGTTCTGTGACTCGTGGACCTAACATCAGTAGATTAGTGTTAATGTTAAATTGGTTGTAACTTATCAAAATTTTATATCTTGGAAACTTAATTTGTTATTTTAATTTTACATTTATAAATTTTGAGCTTGAAATTAGTATGTGAAAACATTTTGATATTTTAATAATTTTTTTTTTTTTTTTTTAAGTTGAAGTTGCGACATTATCTCAAAAGAATGGAAAATGTGTTACTTGTATCCTACCTACTGAAGAGGTTCAAGAACTTATCAATGCATATGAAAAATCAGAAGCTGAGGCTAATGCTTTAAAAAAAGAAAAAACTCCAAAATCTTAATATATTTAATTTTTTTTTTACTGGAATAAGCTAGCATACTTTACATGCATAAATGTATCTCTATATATATTTTTGTATGTGGTATGTATACATTTAATGATAAAAAATAAAATTAATTTAATTTACAGTAGTTGATTTTTTTTTTTAATTTTATTGTTTTGCTAATGTCATCTCATTTATAATTATTTTGAAAAGGTGAAACAAGCTGAAACCCAGCATGGCCTTGTGGAGCAGGGATCAGGGGCTGGTATCTGGAGAAAGGATAAGCCCTAACGAGGGTATATTCATATCTCTAGGTAGATATACGTCAGTCTTTCAAGTCAAGATTTTAGCCCAATCACTTATTAAGGAGGGCATTGTGAATAGGTTGATAACAATATATACCGATAGTCGAGCGGCAATTGGGGCCCCTGAATAGTTATACAAGTTGCTCAAAGTTGGTGGATAAATGCAAAGGCAATCTTACTCTTATTTGCAGTACTAACAAGGCGAGAGTAGAATGGGTACCTGGGCATTCAGGGATTCCAGGAAATGAGAAAGCCGATTACTTTGCTAGGAAAGGCTCTGCACAGGTGCCACATTGCAGCAGAGCCTGTTTGTGGGATAAGCCTTGGCTTTGCCAAAAGATATATTAAGACAATTGTGGGCAATAAATTTATGGTATACTGGGCGCAGGCTAGGAAACAGATCCATTATAAACTATTCCTTCATAACATATGTTTTGTATATGAGCCTTTCAGTTGACTGAATGACTAACTCCAATTTCAACCTTTTTGAGTAAAGTCATTTTAGTGATATTTCTACTTGGAAAATTTATAATATCTGTACAGACAATGAGTAAGTTGATTCCAGAGTAGGTGATTGCAGTGTTGAAATACAGAACTGTTTATAAAGGAATTCATTTTTCTACTAGAGATATCACTAAAATTAATAATCAGAAATGGAGTTGTCAATTTCAAATTTTTCCAAGTCAAATTCAACCTTTTTTTTACTTTCCTACCTATACTAGGTAAGGAAAGTATTGCGATCGGCCAAATTTCCAATCTGCGGTTTTCGACGGATCTATACATTTCAGAGCCCTCTGATCTACCTTAAGCCAGTTTACATTGCTTTAGTTTATCAAATAAATGGTACTCAATTTATTCGTTTCTTGATGGACATATGTAAAGATATAAAAACTTTTCTGAAATATTTGGTAGGAAAGTCGTGTGAGAGGACACACCAGATTTTTTAATTTTCTGATATGAGTCAGATATCAATTTATTGTACATTTTCGGATTTATTCGATATGAGGGTGTATTTTAATGTTTTCGCATGCGGAGTTCTTGAAAATACTATCAATTTTATTTAAAACTACATTGTCAGATATCGATTAATTAAACGTTTTTTGGATATATTCAATATAAGGGTTTATTATTATGTTATTGAAAGTGTAGTTTTAAAATTATTCTCAATTTTAGGATTACGTCATCGAATATAGATTTATTCAATATGATAGTATATTTTTATGTTATTAAATGCGTAGTTCTTGAAAGTACTAATGATTTTATGATTATGCGATTGGATATCCACTCATATTTTATGTTACTGTGAAAGTATTGATTATAGAATTTTACTGTCCGATGTCGATTTATTGTACCTTTTCTGATTTATTCGATATTAGGTTCAACTTTTCCATTAACAAAGCCATGTTTTTCATTATGTTTGTTAAACACCATTGATTTTAGGATTCTGCAATCACTTATTTATTTCTTATTTAGATATTGATATGAGAGTATTTTTAAGTCATCTAATGCATATTTTCAGAAAAAAAAAGTCCATTTTAGTATTAAGCTGTGGGCTATATATTTATTGTACATTTTGGAATATTATCTAAATGAGCATCTACTATATCATATTGTTTTTAAATACTATCGATTTAGAGTACTTTTCTGATTTATTCGATATGAGTCTATTTTCATGTAATTGAAGGCATATTTTTTGAAAATACTAATGATATTAAGATTACGTGGTCCAATATTGATTTATCGTACCTTGATTTGATAAGGGCATATTATACCATCGTATGCGTATTTTTCAACATCAGAAACCCAAATCCTCATGATCAGTCTTGACCGACGTGGTGGTTGTTCAAAAGTTATAACCAAACCTATTGCAACCAGAGTGGGAAGGTTGAGATTCATTCCATTGAACTGCCACAAAATGAAGTATAAACCGCACAGACTGGATTCGAAATGGTATCACTAGATTTAGAAAAGTTTACGCTTAAATAGGCTCAGCCATCACGACCCCTCTTATAGTCTCTGTGATAAAGAACCCTTTTTAATAATATTATTAACATCCACCTGAAACTTTGTAAAAAGCTTTCTCATCTTAACCTACAAATATTTTATTTACGAAAATTCTCAGGATGTGGGAGTTTTTAATCTGGATATCGGTAAAGTTTGTCTATTTAATTAGGTAGTAAAAATTCTTGAATACCTACTTGCTTTCCACCTGAATCGTAAAATAATATGATCTCAAAATCAAAAAAAAAATGTCATCTACAAAAATATTAGGGCCTTTGGCTATTTAAATTTTTTCTGGGAGAAGGTCACACCAAACGGATCAATATTTTTGAAGACCACATTTTTTTCGATTTTGTGATCATATTATCATGAAAGTAAATGATTATTTATGAGTTCTTAGTTCCTAATTAAATAGACAAGGTTTGTCGGTCTCCAGATTAAAACGTCCCAATTCCGAGAATTTGTATTTGTAGGTTACGATGAGATGAAGTTTCAGGTGTATGTTAATAATTAGATAAAATTGGTTCTGTACCACAGGACTATTATGCTATAAATATACCAGTGAATGACAGATTATTAACAAGAACAATATTAATGTTCACAAACTGTAATTTAAATCTCTGAGTTGCATTGATAATAATCTCAAAAGGCATGGTGTTCACTGAATTATAGAAGAAACCAAATGACTGTTGAATGCTATTAATCATTACTACTGATGACCCATGGCATTTCCAACACAATTAAGGCCGTCTTTGATGAAGATAAAAGTCTTAAGAAACTTAAAACACTTGACATTTGAACAATTAAAAATATTGAAAAAGACAGTACTGTCAGAAATAAGTCATCTATACTTATCTTTAAGCATTACAATGCAATACCAGTGATTGCTTTGCAATAAAGAGCTCCAGAGTTGTGTCTGGACATGGACATAACAATCAGAAAAACAGGAATGAAAAGAATAGTAGTTACACAATCCCTCATATCATTGGTACCATGTTAAAGTAACGAATGTGCAACTTTAAACAGGCTCAAATTTGTTACTTTAGCAAGGTGCATACAATATAATTTTATGTAAAAAAAAAAATAGTGAAAATAATCAAGAATAAAGAATTAATCATGATTTTTAAAAATAAATGGCTAAAATTTTTGAAAAATAAAAGAGAAAAAATAACTTTTAATGTAAGTTTTAAAGATGGAAGAAAGAAAAAATGAACAGTTAAGCTAGTCAATGTATTTTTTTTTAAATTTGAAGGTATAATTTTGTCTAAATATTTATTAGATATACAACAGTTACAATAAGAAGACATAGAAACAATTATTGATAACATGACATCAAAGTACTCCTAAACAGTATATAAACTCCTATTACCTACGAATAATTTTTTTAAAAAAGTTATGTGAACTATCATTCATTAGCATTTGTCTTTCAGTATACTAATTAATTAAATAAAAAACAAACACACTGAACATTTTTCACACAAGTTTTAAACATTATAACTAATATTAATTTAAAAAATATTCAATGAATGATTTGCATGGATCAATGCAAAAATTGAATGATCCATAAATAATGACTAATCACAAATAATATTTAAAACTAAAAGTTCTTCCTCAACATACAACATAATTATCAGAAAATAAAATAAGTGGAAATGGCTATACATCTATCATTTGATAAAATGAAACTTTAATTATGTAAATCAGTCTGGCACTAGAGCTTGCTGTAAAAAAAAAAAAAAAAAAAAAATAACCTGGTTAAGTCTCGTCTACCTGAATTGGAAATCACTTTTCAGAGAAAATGAGAATATTTTAAATTTTTTCATTAATAATATAAAAAAAAACATAAATAATTAATTATCTTCATATGATAATATGATTCATATAAGAAGTTATTTTTCCTCGCTGTCAGTAGAAACTTTCTTCTTCTCAACAGGAGGTACATCTCCATTAGGTTTAATATCTGTATCAGCGGGCAAATTTTTGTCAGGCTTATCACTCTGCTTAAATCTGTCATAACGTTCTTTTCTGGAGTCTTCTTCATCATCATGAGGCTCATCTCCATCATGAAGTAGATCTGACAGATCTTTGTCTACTTCGGACCACATTTTTTCCTCATCTTCTTCACTGATCTTTTTAGCTGGAGATTCTACAGCTTCTTTAACTTCTTCTCCATTTGTCTCTTCAGTTTGTTCCTCCGCAGGTTTCTCAGAAACTTCCATCTGTTCTTCATCAGTTGGCTTTACAACCTCTTCTTCTTCCTGAAAACAGCATTTTGTTGAATTATAAAATATGAATCATAAAACACTAGATTATTGGAAAAAATAATTACTAACATTTTATTAAATTAAAGTAATAAGTAACCTGATGACTCAAAAAAATTATAACTATAAAATTAAGTGAAACTATTATTGAAATTTAAGGGAGGTCTGGCAATCTAAAACATTTGTTTTCTTGTTCTGAAACTGCAACTTATATTGGGCTGAGAAATTGTAATAATGTGTATATCCACTCCATCGGTATTTGTATGGGACCAGTCACCAAAACAAATAAATATATATTCTATTCTATTCATTCTATATTGGGCTGAGAAAAAAGTAATTTTGCTTTTTTTCATGTTTTTCAAATGTTTATAAATTTCAAACACTAACCAATGATATATATATGCTGTTTTGATCGATGAACATTTGCCACTTCTGGTAAAACAATAAGTCTGTCACTGTAAAAGTTCTGAGATTTCTGAGCAAAAATCTGAATTAAGTGATTTCCACAATCCTCTTTTGCCAGCTTTGCACCATTAAGAGAGTTCTGCAGGGACTGAAACAAGTAGACAGACTGGGCAAGGTCCTGGCTATACAGTGAATGCATCAAAACTTCCCAGCCAAGCTCTCTCTCAATATTTGCCAGGTCATTGAAGATGTGTCGAAGACGTCTTTCCTATTGATCAATTCTGACCATTCTCCATTTCTTAAATTACCTGCTTCAATCGCACTAGTTGTTCACAGTAGAGTTGAATTAATGGTTTGGCCAGGTTTGAGCAGCTCATGATGAATAATTCCTTCCCATTCCTACCAAATACTCAGCCTCACCATCCTTGGCATCAATCCAGGCTTTATTACTGTTTGTAAAGCTTCTGGACTTCGACCATAATCTTTTTAACACATTTTTGTCATATGTGATCCACTTTTCATAACCCATAATCATTTGTTTCAAAAATGGCTTGATTTCGTTTCATTCCAGCAGAAATGTATCAAGATTCTTTTGGTAGCTAGCGTTGAGTAAATGATTCAAAACTGTTTCCCCATAGATATTCAGTTCTGTAGCAATGTCGAAAGATGAAATATGCTGGTCTACCTCAATTATTTTAAGAATTTCATTAACCTTTTCAACGGTTAACCGGATTCTGAAACTGGCATTCACTTAAACATCAATAATTTTCAATGAGCTTCAGCACTACATTTCTCCCTTTAAGGAAGTAAAACAGCAAAATATAACAAAAATGACATTCTGGAACCTCCATTTTTAAAGCACTTTACTGTTGACTGAGTAAATGAATGAAACTATTTTTATATGTAGAATGTTCTAAGGACTGTTTGACCATTCAAATGCTCTACAGAATGGCTTCGTTGAATAAGAAACTTTAAAGTCACTTATTGGGATCAAACAAAATTACTTTTTCGTCAACCTAATATTTAATGCTCAGCTATGCATACCAATATTTCTTTCATAAATACATAATTTTGAACCTAAATATATATTTTAAAAACATAATCTTTTTACATAAATATATATATTTTTAAATTTTTTAATACATTATAAACAAAATATTAATGGGCTTAAACACCATAAAGTCATCAATATTCTTAAAATATTTCTTATATTTTTTCTTCCTAAAGATCTTTTTTATTTCTTCTGAGTCACCAATTTCTTAAAAATAAAATTACCTTTCTTTATGGTCTACTTATCTAATCTTTTGAATGCTTTTATGACATGGCTCTACTTTAAGCATCTCAAATGTACAACATTTTTTAATGTTAAAAATCACAAGATTTTTTTTTATTTTTAAAGAACTATATCATTTGTTTTGATTTGGGCTTAAGATTCCTTCATGAAAGTATTTCTGTAAAATGCTTAATATATTTTTGCTAAATATCAACTGAAGATAATGGAAAATAAGTTTTTTAGTTCTTCAGAAAAACTGTTTCTTTATACAAATGTTCTTTTTTTTTTTTTTTTTAAGAACCATAAATAAATGCTATAGACAAAGAACTTTTCTGTTCATCAATAAAAATTTGGCTAAGAAACAGATGTGAGATTTGTTTTTTAAACATAAGGAAATTATAGTTTAGTGATCCCCATAGTTCCCTTCCGCTTTTGAAATACATTCTTCTCAGTGAAAAGGGAGGTTTTTTATCACAGCATAGTAGAATGAAACTGGTTGCATCAGGACTAAATTGTGCATGAATCCCTCCACATCATCTTTAAATTCTGGCCCTCCTTTAGCTTCTTTAGGTGGTCCAAAGAAATGGAAATAGCAGAGCAATAGGTCCAGGCTGTAAGGAAGATCAACATCAGTACAGTGAATTTTCTGCACTGTACCACCTCAGTGTTGCCCGACAACCTCAGTACGGAATCAAGAATGAAGTACGAACCTAACGAGGTGAAAGCTGGAAATTCTTTTAATGCTTTCAGTATTGATCTCTAATGTACGTACCAAGTTTTCCCACTCTTTCTTGGTGAGCTTTAGTCCTTGCATATTGATTACATTTTTTTTAAATCCATCTAATAATATTTCAAAAGCTATCATATTGTTAAATAAAACATTATCCAGACCGATATTATGGAGCTTCGGAGAGAAATTCTGAACCAACTGGTTATCCACATATAACATATTCGTTGAACATCATTATAAAGTAAAGAAAAATTACTTATCCAAGACACTAATCTCTAAATTCACTCTTTATTTGATTTGTTTGAAATAATGTTGTTTGTTTGAAACATTTTATTTCAAAGATCTAATGAAGTGCCTCATGCCAGAACCATACTATTTACCAGTTTGCCTAGCTTCAACTTGTCATATATTTATCATTTAGAATTTAAATAAATATTAAATCACAAATTGTTAAGATGCATAAATATGTTTTTTATTATTTTGGACAATGATTTTTTTTTATATTTTTAGAAGAAAAGTATTATGGTTAATTTAATGCACAAAATGTATTATATGTTAAATAAATAATATGGGATAAAATAAAATTTGTTGTTTTACATAACTCTCTCAAAGATTTTTTTGTTTTTTCACCTCAAAATGTTAAAAATTAAGCCTCAACTTTAGTTGTTTCTACTACTGAACATGACAAATTATAATTTTGTAAGCATATATTTTTTGAAAGTTTTAAAAAATATATGAATATAAATAAAAATTTAATGAATAAAAAAAGGTAAATCAATTCGCATTGGCTGAAGCTAATCACCTAGCAGGAGGGGGAAACTTGGTATGTTCTTTCGACACTGATACTGAAGGGATTAAAATAAATTCCAGCTTTCCTCAAGTTAGGTTCGCTATTCAGCTTTTTTTTCTTATTACACAACTACATGCAATAGGTAGACTAAACATTTCACCTCATCAGTTCTGCCTTTAAAGTTATCCCCTTGATCAAACTTCTTATTATTAATAATTGAAATAAAAAATATATAATTAAATGAATGAGCCACCTTAACTGGGGTTTCTTCTTTTTCTTTTTTCTCCTTCAACTTTTGTCTTTCTCTATGCAATCTCACAGCTTTTCGCCTTAATGTAGCATCATCTTTTCTAGTATTGTTCAATCGTACATAGCGTTGAAGGTGTGTTCTTGAGCGACAGTGGACTGTCAGTGCTTTCTCTTTGTCATCCAATCTGGGTAAATAGATTTTGCAAAGGTCACAATAATAAACTTCAACCATCTTACAGAACTCAGCACCTAAAAAAAAAAGGCATTATTATATATATATTTTTTTTTTTTTAGAAATTATTGAACAAGAATATTTTATTTGATATAGATTTTAATCATAAAATAAAAGTTATGGAATTTCATTATAGAGTTATATCTTAGGAAGTAATGAATTAAAATTCGAATATTTTAAAATTTGATTAAAAATTAAGAATTTAAAGTTTTCCAGATAAGACCTAATCTCAGATAAATTTCCATCTATATATATAAAAATGAATGTAAGTCTGTCTGTCTGTTTGTCCTTTATGCATTACTAAAACATACACCCAATCGCCATGAAATTTTGGAAAGTTGTGTACACTCCTGCAAAGGTTTCTGGCATAGTACTTTTGTCTTACGATAATTTTATGTGTTAAAAAATAAAAATGTAAATTTTTTTTGTTCAAAGCTGCTATTCTCCGAAAATTCTACAGATTACTTTGAAATGTCGACACAGCGATGCAATCGAATTCAGAAGTGTTTTTGAACATTTTATTACCATCCAACATTTCGTTTCGAAATGGCGGCCGATAATTATGTCGCTCTAAACTGTAGCGCCAAAACGGCTTTAACAAAACTTGGCTAAAGTCTTCCCTTTGAAACTCTTTATTTTATGTGTAGAACATACTTTGCCAAAAACAAGCTGAAAAAATGTTATGATGAATTTAAAACTAAAAGTACACAATTTTTGATCGATAATACTCATATTAATTTGAATGATTCCTGAATTCCCTACAAATTAAAAAAAAAATCATCAAAATCGGAAGATACATTGCAGTTTTAAAAATTTACTATTTTCTCTTCAGCAAAGGCCATTTTCCTTTTTTTTAAATCATTGATTATTCGAAAATTTTATAATTACTGCAGTAATTGAAATTATCATTTGAAGAAGTGATATTATTCACTTCTTCAAGTCAATACTATTACATACCCTTTATATTCATTTTTTATTTTCCTCTTAATGTATTCTGGAAGTAGTATGATACATCTCAAATATTTGATTTGCTATTATTTAACTCTTGAGTAATAATTATCACCGTTTATGTTCCTTTTAGAAATCAGTTTTTTATTGATTTCAGTTTATTTTATTTTTTAATAAATTATTTTCTCAAACATTACGTTGGAATAAGGTTGTGCCGTTTACCGTAGGGTTTCTTTTATGAGTAAGGTTTATTTTTGCACTACAATTTTTATAACTCTATATTTAATCAAGTTGTAAGTAATCGACTATCTAGGGAGGTTTATGCGAAATCTTTTGAGGAAGGTGGAAGGTAGCTAGCTCTAATGCACACAAAATGAACCCTAAATAGTATAGAGCAATTTCAATGCATTGACACGATTGATATTTGAAAATCTTTAACATTGAAAGTGTATCGTAAAATATTTTGAACTGCATGTGTTGCTTTTATATCCAACTGATGGTGTGTTTTTAATAAATATGTAAATTTCACCTTATATTTTATAATAGTAGATATATTAAACCATGCGTGTATTTAAATGCAACGTTAAGCTTAAATTTCAAGGCAATGAATGAATATTTTCCGAGATTTAAGAGTTTGAATAAAAAAAACATTTACATTTTTATTTGCCATAAAATGATCAACACAAAGTTGAGCATTAAACAATACATTAAATATAAAAAAATTATAATAAAATTAAACATGAAAATATATAAGTGGCTTCATATCAAAGATGGATCTCTTTCATTTTCAGAAAGTGGAGATCAAGTCAATTTTAGTTTTATAAGTTCAACTCAGACTGTTTCTGATGATAAAGAATGATGGCGTATCCACTCTGATGATTAAGCATGTTCAAGTTGAATCATGAAAAAAAAATCATTAGAATTACTTTCAATTGAAGCCATTTTACAGACAAATTTGTTTTCCAACTTTTTAAAAATGACAGATGTCCTTTGGTATTAATCCACTCACTCATATGTTCTTTCTATTTTCTTTCTTTTCTATTTAGCCAGACTAAGCCACAGTAGCACATGGCTGGGTAAAGCTAGTAATTTATAAAAGAAAAGAAAGGTTTAAAATAGGCTTAATGAAAGTAGTTGCAGGTGTAATATATGTAGGGTGAGTTCGTAATGATTACTCTGGGTTAAGTATCAAAAATTCAAGAAACCATTGTTTTTTACCTTAGGAAATTTCTAGATAGCTACTAAGTTATTAACTGGTAAGCTACTTTTTTCATGTTAGCTGTTGAAAGCCTATAATATATTATGCTTGCAGTCAGTAAATAATCTCTTATAAATTTCTTCTTGAAAAAACACAATGAATCGAAAGTTTTTTTTCTCACTAGACATATTTTGAAAATATATTTACTTTATAATTAAATATATATTAATTATATAATAAATTAAAAAATTATATGAAAATAGTTATCGGCCCAAGGTACAATATGACATGATATTATTTAGTTAAGTCCAAACATATATTTTATAGAGCTTGCATTCAAAAGAAGCTAAACAGATTACTATACATAAATTGGCTAATAATTTTGAGTATACTTGTGTGCCTTTTTTATGAAAAATTATATCAAATAAATAAAAATTACTTTTACACTAATCTTAAACTCAACTCTGAAACACACAATTTTATATCATCAAGCAACAGAGCACATCAGAGGCACCAAATTAAGCTGAAAAGTGTTTTAGCAGTGCAGCCTACCAATGTTGCCATAAATCCTGAATTCCTCTAGGTGGAACTACTGATTCTTAAGGTGGTCTAAAGTGTTTCCCCTATGTAAAATATATTGTTGGAAAGCTGAAGATATTAGAAAAAATAACAACTAACAAAAAGAGAATGGACAATGCCAAAAAATTATAAATAATAATTTTTGAAAACTAATATTACCTAATAGAAACCAAATGTTTCCATGGAAATTAAATGAAATTCCCTACTTGAATGCCAATTTTAAAAATGATTTTTAAGTTTGAAGAAAAAAGTATGTGTAATCCATAAAATTAACTAGATTACTGTACTTCTTTGAAAAAATAAGAAAATATGAAAATATTTCATGGACGAGTAAAACATATGTTTAAAACCTGAAATACATTTACTGTAGAATTAGATAACTTTGTATCCAATATACTTAAATAATTAGCTGTATATCATCGGTTTATTCCGAATCACTATATTAATTTTGTTAACTTAAGATTTAAAAATTAGTAATGATAATAGAAGGAAGAGGTTAAGATGGCCCACTACCCATTCAAATTTTCCAATTGAATTTAATATTATACTAAAACTAACCAGTATTAAAAAGGCACTTCACAGTTGTCTAACATGGCACACCCATGAAACTGATTAAAAAGTTTTTAGTAGAACAAGACATTATGGCTAAGGTGCATACGTTCTTTCTTAGTGTACAGTGTTACAATTTAAAGAGGGAGTGCCTTGGACTAAGTTAATAAGTGCAGCCTTTCCGATCTTTCCTTTACAATCAGGACATTTTTTTTACCAGAAATATTTTTAAAAACCAACAAAAATACGTGTGTGCAGTGCACCACACATCTTTCGCTTACCAACATAATTAAATTTATGCTCATACAGGAGTAATTAATATTGGATTACTCAATATATCATCAATCAAAAATTATTAAACTAAAGTTGTTAAAGATTATTAAAACACGATTTTCTAACCTGTTAACACAGCTTGACAGATGCACAGCTCATTCGAACATAAATAAGCTTTTATAATTGAATAAATTAATTAAAGATATAAAGTGTTAAAAGAAGTAGCTGAACTCATCCATATTTAACTATCTAGTTATGTGGCACTACTGCAATGTATATCTATCAGAAACTAAATAATCTTACCTAGTTTAATTTCAGATCTCTTTTTCTTTTTAGATTCCCCTGAACTATCCTTCTCTGACTTTTCATCCTTATCATTTTCATCTTTTCCTTCTTTCTTTTCACCTGATTCATCATCTGATTTTTCAACATCAGAATCTATAAAAATAAAACAAATTAATATCCTTAAATGAATAACAACAGGAAGTTTTTTTCCCATTTTAATACATAAAATATTAGTCTTATGTTCTATCTAATGGTGAGAATAGTTAAAATAAAAAACTATAATATTAATTTGATTTCAACATTTATCCATTAACAAGATTTCAGCAATACAATTTATTAATTACATATAATAAAGAATATATTTAATAAATATTTAATTTACACTGAGGTAAGGACTAAACATACCATCTCCAGATCCAACAGAATCAAGTATCATGAAACTGCTAGGATCAAGCATATCACCATCATCTTTGCTCACTGGAGGGCGAGACAATTTTTCCATCCTTGCCTTCCTCTGTAACATATGCAATTGTGAAAAAAAAAAAAAAAAACTGTTATAAAATATATGATTGTGGGTTCATGGTTGACTGTAGAGAATAAGTGAAGAGAATGATGGTTGGGGTGATCAGTCAAATAAAAAATAAATATTTAATAGTAAAAATAAATATTATTAATTATTTTTGCCATTTTTTATTTGACTGATCAACCCAACCACCCTTCTTCTCTTCAATTAAAAATATATGTATTGATACCAAAATGTAAATGAAATAAAAACCTTTATATGAGTTAGTTCACACAGATGAGACTCATATGACCAAGCAGATTTGAACCAAATTCGGCAAACTTTGCAAAATGGTAGTAGAAATTCACTCATTTTCTGAAATTATAAAAAGCAACAATTTATGTTTTCTTTTAAATTAACAAAAATTCATGATATAGTTCAATTCTTTCTAATTAAAATATTATACCCTGTGAGCTGAAGAACTGAGATGTTGAGACTTTAAAGAGCGATAATTCAGTTTGCATATAGCACAAAAGAATGTTTTAAGGTGCATATTTTTAGCCTTCATTTCATCATCTATTTGTCTCTGTTTTTTTCGTTGTTCCATTCTCATATTAACAAGAGTTTTTCTCAATTTTGTAAACAACTCTGCCATAGCTTTTTGATGTTTACGGGTATCCAAATGTTTAGAATATTCCTAAAAATGTTTACTCAATTAAATATTTATTGAATTACTTAATGCATAATTTTAACTTGTAAATTAGAAATAAATTTTATTCGTATTTACTTTCTTAATATAAACATAAAATGAATGAATTAAAATATAATGAAAACGAGGAGAATAATTTCAATAAAACCTTTATTTGAATAGATTTTACTAAAATGCACCCAGAATTGCCCAAATCTTCATAGGATATATACTGAGATTAACAGTGAATATCCTAGGCTCACCTGCCTTAGAAGATAGTGGGATCCCTCTGGGGGCAAAGATGATATCATCAGTAGAACTATTGTTAGAAGGTTTTAGGACCTTCCTAACAAACCCATCGCATGTAAGAACTTAACTCACTAATCAGAAACAACAGATTAAGCATAAGAGCTCTTGAGATTCGGTACAGAAATTATTAAAGCCATAAAGGAAAAGGAAGCTGAACTCATGGAGGAGACACAAAAGTAGAAACTGGACATTCTTGATACTTCTGAGATAAAAATAAAAGAGATCTGCGAGGTATGTCTGGACAAGAGATACATTCTTATAAGTAGACCTGGGCAGAATTTATTTGAAAAATATTCCCGGAATAAATCCCTAAATAAACCTCGATAGTTATTTCCGAAATAATTTATTTTATGAAATAACCTGACCATTATTTCCGAAATGATTATTTCGGGAATAAATTATTTCAGGAATAACGATATCTGAAATGATTATTTCAGGAATAATGTGAAATCTGAAATAATCATTCCGATTGAATTTTAGATATAATCAATATCCGGGTCGACTGTGAAGTTTTCGGGGTAGCTTATTATGAAAATACGGTCGAATTTGAGATTGCGCCACCCCCTCCCCGCCCCCCATCGAATTTTGGAACTTTTCAGATATAATCGATATCAGGGTCGACTATTATGTTTACGGGGGCGCTAGTTATAAAAATACTGTCGAATTTGATATTGCACCACCCCTCCCCACCCCCCATAGACTTTTTGTAACTTTTCTGAAATAATCGATATCAGGGTCGAATATTATCTCTTCGGGGCACTAATTATAAAAATAATGTCGAATCCGATATTGCACCACCCCCTCCCCACCCCCCATCGACTTTTTCTAACTTTTCAGATATAATCGATATCAGGGTCGACTTTTATGTTTTCGGGGGCGCTTTTTATGAAAATACTGTCGAATTTAATATTGCGCCACCCCCTCCCCACCTCCCCATCGACTTTTTGTAACTTTTCAGATATAATCGATATCAGGGTCGACTATTATGTTTACGGGGGTGCTAGTTATAAAAATAATGTCAAATTTGAGATTGCGCCCCCCCCACCCGCTCACATCAACTTTTTGTAACTTGTCTGATATAATCGATATCAGGGTCGAATATTATGTCTTCGGGGGCGCTAATTATAAAAATAATGTCGAATTCGATATTGCACCACCCCCTCCCCACCCCCCATCGACTTTTTGTAACTTTTCTGAAATAATCGATATCAGGGTCGAATATTATTTCTTCGGGGGCACTAATTATAAAAATAATGTCGAATTCGATATTGCACCACCCCCTCCCCACCCCCCATCGACTTTTTGTAACTTTTCTGAAATAATCGATATCAGGGTCGACTATTATGTTTACGGGGGTGCTAGTTATAAAAATAATGTCAAATTTGAGATTGCGCCCCCCCCCCACCCTCTCACATCAACTTTTTGTAACTTGTCTGATATAATCGATATCAGGGTCGAATATTATGTCTTCGGGGGCGCTAATTATAAAAATAATGTCGAATTCGATATTGCACCACCCCCTCCCCACCCCCCATCGACTTTTTGTAACTTTTCTGAAATAATCGATATCAGGGTCGAATATTATGTCTTCGGGGGCGCTAATTATAAAAATAATGTCGAATTCGATATTGCACCACCCCCTCCCCACCCCCCATCGACTTTTTGTAACTTTTCTGAAATAAACGATATCAGGGTCGAATATTATGTCTTCGGGGGCGCTAATTATAAAAATAATGTCGAATTCGATATTGCACCACCCCCTCCCCATCCCCCATCGACTTTTTGTAACTTTTCAGATATAATCGATATCAGGGTCGACTATTATGTTTACGGGGGCGCTAATTATAAAAATAATGTCGAATTCGATATTGCGCCACCCCCTCCCCACCCCCCATCGACTTTTTGTAACTTTTCTGAAATAATCTTATAAGTTCATAGATTCCAAAAGGTGAATATGCCAAAGGAGTTGACTGAGTTATCAAAGAAGGAATACAAAATTATATCTGGCAGGAATAAAACTCTAAAAATAAATTTATAAGTACTAATAAATCAACACTAAAATCTTACCTTAAAAGTGACGCACAGATGATGACAATGCGGGCACTTAAGTTTAATGAATGGTTGACCAAGAAAATCAGTAAGCATAGGTTTATCAGGCTCTTCTTCATTCTCTTCCTTTTCTTTTTCAGTTTCCTTTTCTCCTTCCTATAAAAAAAAAAATAATAAAAAAGAAGAAAAGAAAAGATATGCGGTAAGATGTCTACATCATTTCTGTTAGGTGTTCAATTACCTAAAACCATTTTCAAAATATAACCGCACCAGAAAGTCAAATTGGACGAATATCAGTGTTAAGAAAAATTTAAATAGGAAGTATTGGATAGAATCTGATAAAATTACTGTAATACTACCTAGTTACCAGCCTAACAGTTCTTGAAAATTGGATTATTGGCAGGTGTTATGCCTTCACATCATATGGGTTTAACTATAGACGAACACAGAACCAAATTTGTGCCCTGATGTCTATAAAGTAAAAGGAAATTTTCTACTTGGATTAAAAAGTTGTTTTCTTCAAAACTGTGAACTTCTAAACTTATAAAAGTAAGTACTTGTTCCTACTTCACTTTTAATTTTTTAAACCCTTGCCATATGATTTCAAGTGACAAAGTTTTTCCAAATGTTGGTACTAACATACATTCCAGACCCCTTAATTTGAGTTGAAAGTGACGATGCAATAATCAGTAATTTCAGACTAAAATTTTTGGTAATCCATATAAAATTAAATAAGATACCAAGTTAGTCCACTATAAGGTTTCTTAACATGGGCCATAATTATAATTATTATAATACTAAACTACTACAAGTCATGAAGTTTCTTCATAAACCATAATCCTGGACTAAAGATTATAGGAGATGATCTGACAAGATCAGTAAATCAATTTAAAGAGTCAGCTCGCTGCTGGGCTAATATTTCAGAATAATTACAGCCTGACTTATCACTAAATGTTTGATTTGTAATCATTGTAAGGGTGTTATTCTAATATCCCAGTGAAAGTATATTTCAACAGGTGATGGTGGTCAAGAATAACTCACAACTAAGGAGAAATAACAAAGAAGAATTTTCCTATCAGAATTCTTGATCATAATGTCGGCATCATATTAAGCAATGAATCTGCAACATTTAGCAGGCTCACATTTACTTTGACCTTGTGCCAAGGATATAATCTTCATTAAAATTGTTTAATGGATAGAACAAAGTCAACAGCTTTTTAAATTGTTGAAAATAATTAATGAAAAGTAAATTTTATTGTGGGGCATTCAGCCATCTAAGAACAATTATAGTGAACAATTTAGTGACATTTGACTGGCATACAAGTTAACCGTCTTCTCGTTGTTAATAAAATTACATTGCTATTGAGTCTTTATATTAAAATAAAGAAAGGCAGAAATTAACATTTGAAATAAAGGTGTATGTATACGAGTATGTTTAGACATAGACAATAGGTAACATATAGGTATCTGTAGGAAGACAGTAAGAGGTGACAGCTCTAAAAAACATAAAAATAACAGTCTTAAATATATTCGGAAGATTGATTGCTGATTAGATGGATAAATAAATGGTGTTTGAATGTGGGTAAGGATGAGGATTTGCGTACAGAAATAGATAGGGAATTCCAAAACAAGGTAGCACGCATGAGAAAATATTTTTTAAAGGAAACAGTTCTATGAGAAGGAAAAAACAGAATTGTGGGCTGGGATCTTGTATGGACAGAGGAGCAAGCAGTATCAAGAAGGAAAGAAGGTTTTTTTGCTGCAAACGTTCAGAAAAACAAAATACCTAGGAAATATTGCCGTCGGAAAGCTGGATAGAGCCACTTCAGCTGGGCGTACCCCTGGAGACATGGGAGTGCCTGGAGGCTCCGAAGATGAATCTAATGAAACAATTCATTAGTCTCTTCAATCTGATCTAGAGCCCATCAGATAGTCCACTGTATACAAGACAGCCATAATAGACATGAGGTAAAATAAGAGGAAACTAGGAGCAGACAGGTTTTAGGGGCAAAGAATCACGGAAACTTAGGAACTGTTTCAAGGTAGCAATAGACTTTCATTTAACTTGGGAAATACGATTGATTCTTCCCGAAGAGGAATTGATCGAAAATTACTCCAAGATTTCTAACAGAATTATGGAAATAAATAGGTAGTCCATTGAGGTAGAGTAGGAGATAATAAGGGATGAAATTGATAAGATGCTTGGAACCAATGAGAATGGCTTTAATCTTCTCAACGTTCAACTTTAAATCATTGCTCACTGCCCAAGTCGTAATACCATCTACATCATCCTGTAACCGTTGTATCGTCTCAAGCATCTCAGCAGGATGAAAGGATGGGTAGGGTTGAAGATCGTCAGTATAAAGGTGGTATTGTGAATGATGGATGGAATTAGGAAGGTCATTGATATAGATGGAGAAGAGTTGGAGAGAGCGAAGATCCCTGCGGGACACCACAAGCCATTAAGAGGGGAGAGGAAAATATTCTCAACCTCTTAACACATACTTACCAATTAGTTAGTATATTTTATTCTAATTTGTACTAACATTAAAATAAACAATAAGAAAAATAACTTATATTTACCTCTTTTTTAGAATCATCTTTCTCTGCAGAGAGTTTTACTTTTTTTATTTTCTTCACAACTTTCTTTTTCACTTTTTTGGGTTGCTCTTTTTTGGTTGATTCTTCTTCTGCAGCTTCATCGCCTTCTTTTTTTTCTTCACTTTCACCTTCTTTCACTTCACTTGTTCCCTCAACATCACCTTTATTTTCATCTTCACCATTTTGTTCTTTCTCATTACTTTCATCTTCTTCCTCCTCTTCTTCAACTTCTTCTTCTTCAATAGAACCTTCCCCTACTTCTTCAACTTCTTCATCATCCTCGTCATCCTGAGGGAATGAAAGAAAAGAGAGAAATTATTATCAAAAAAATTATCTACATTTGAAAATTTATAGAAAAGAAATGTTTTACTTTTTCGGCTTGTTCAGCATCTTCATCACTATCTTTTTCAGCTCTTCTGGCAGCACGTAATCTTCTAAAAATTTTGATATGTTATAAAGAGGAGTATAGCATATAAATAAGCATAATATTAAAAGTAATTAATAAGTTAACTCTTACATAGCTTATCAATAAATTAAATTTTATAGACATGACTGTATATTTACAACAGCTCCTATCTAAACATTAAAAAAAAATCTCAATAAGATACGTTAAATCATCAAATATCAATTGAATCATAATATTACATCATATTTAACAAAAGTAGAATATTCAGTAAAAGAAATAAATTCTTACATTTAACATAATTAAAAGCATTTGAAAGAAACCATTCATTTCAAAACTATCATTGTGCCAATTACTAACTATTAACAAATACACACATGTAATAAAAGACAACAAAACATCACCTTTCAAAATCATTCACTTTACTTCAGTTGGCCAAATACAGTGAAAATCCATAAAGTGAACAACCTTATAAGACTTGAAACAGAGGACATAATACTAACAACTCAACTTTATTTGATATGCTCATTGAGATATCTCACATTAAAATTCTTTCAACATTTAAAGAGAAGAAAATATAACCACTAAGAAAATTGAAAATATCGCTATCAAAGGACAACTGAAAAATTGGAAAATTTAAGTTACTGATGTCTTTATTATAAAAAAAAACAAATCTTGAATTTTCTACTATTATGTTGGAAATTAGGCCATTGTTTATATTAACTTTTTTATAGATGTCAACTATCATTCTTTTAAATATTTCCCTTTACTTACAGGATATCCTATATATAATACGTCAATTAATGAATGTTATATTTTGTAAAACGTTAAAGGCTAAATTACTAAATAAATGCTGTGCCTGCTTCATCATTCCTAATTTTCTTTTGCCAATCCCCTAAATTCTTAAATGGATCATAATTGATCCAATGAAAAACTGAGTTTCAACCTATATATCCCTTTATTTACACAATTTTTAATGCATTACTTATACTAACTAAATTCGTTTTTTTAATATTGATTTTTAAAAATTGTTGAAACAGAAATTGTAATTAAGTTAACAATTTCATTACAATTATTTAATCCAAGGAGATGGCCCGGGAGACCGTCAGAAAAAAACAACATTAAATACTACCTAGAAGACTCAACACATAAAACTATATACAATTTTAATAGTAGAAATTCAAAATTCCAAAAACAATTCTTTGTTATAGATTGTCATGTTACACATCAAATAAAATTCCATATATAAAATAAGCTTTAAAATAGTTATCAAATATTATTATTGATATTTAAATTTTAAAAATAAGATGTTCTTCTTCTGACATAAAAGGCAAATTCCAAGTCAACTTTTGTGTCAATATTACCTAATTGAGTGGCCTCATATTAAAGATGGATGTCTAGTCATTTTCAGAAAGTGGAGAAAAAGTCAATTTTTTATTGATATGTTCAACTCAGTTTTCGATTATTTTATTCAAGAACGTTGAATCATAAAAAGAAATTTTTAAAATTGATTTAAATTGAAGCTAAATTACAAACATTAGCTTTTTTCAACTTGTTAAAAATGACATATGACAACAGTCTTTGATATGATGCCACTCAATTAATGATTTAAAATTATTAAAACCCATTACAAACAATAACTCTGACCTGACATGACAATTAATTTGCAGCAAATTTATAACTCTTAAATTAATTTTAAAGTAACTGGTCAATGAATTAAATGGAGTTTATGTATTTCAATGAATTCAGAAAACCCTATTTAAAAAAAAAAAATTTTAAATGATGACCAGATCCTGTGGTTGTTTCTTAAATCAGAGTGAGTTTCATTGCATAAGTAGCATTAGACCAGAAATAAAGTAATTAAACAAACTTAAAAGTAATTGATTCAACTGCTTTTGGGAAAATTAAGATTTTTCATTCGGCTAGTTTACAACACAAATTAAAGTAATTTTTAGCACACTTAAATTGATAGAAATGACAATGATAATCCAAATAATCGAAACCAAAATCAGTTTAAATAAGAGCTGTAATAATCAATACCAAGTTTTAAAAAAATGTAATTAATTTCCTTGCATTCTATTTTAATATGAAAAATAACATACATTAATCAACAATTATCCAACTTATTAAACAAATTTTCAATTTATAATGTACATTAAACTCATAACTGAATTTGAAGATTAATTATGATGTAAAAACTTTTCATAAAAATAGGATACAAGGAAAGGAATTCAAGAAACAAGTAGTTAATTGGAGTTGAGAATTAATAGGAATAGAGGAAAATATAATAAAATAATGACAAAACAGCAGGACTGGACTTGAAGTGGTTGGGAGAAGGACAGACAATCTATTTTAGACTTCTGTAGAAAAATCTCTGAAGTTGAGATATTTATGATATGCACAATTCCAGCAGTTATCTTTCTCAACAAAAGCATAACTCTCAGTAATATATCTAACAATATTTCATTACTGAAGAATCTGGAATTAATAATTTATTTCATAATGATCCAAAACTAATATCTAGGTTTCAATTTGTTTGACTCATTCAAGAATACATTACATTTACCATTTCTTAGCAGTTATGTAGTAACATATGTTATACATTGTTCTTCAAGCTCAATCAGAGTTTTTCAATATGGTAATAAATTTGGCTGTATTATCACTTTTAACTCTACATAAATGATTGATTACACTGCTGTTTTTAATTACATTGGTTAACTTTTAATGTTTCTAAATAGGTCTCTGAATAAAGATCCTTTATAATAAACAAAATTTGTATTTAATTTTTTTTTGTAAGGGTCATAAAATGTTTTCCCTTGTAGTCCATCATTGAATCTCTTCATATAATTAACCACAGAATGAATTTATAGAGATACAGTAAAAGTAACCTCAACTCGTTTCCAATTATTAAAAGATTCATTTATGATCTGAATATAGAATAGTTAGTTATGATGGAACCAAACCTCTTTAAGCATCACATTTCTTACAATTTACAGTTTATGAATACACCAATTTATTTTTCTTTTATTACTATACATTTTTTTAATTACCAAAAATCTTTCAGATTTTAAAAACTGAAATATTCACATCATCCCAGAGGATGTTATTTTTAAGTTTCAAGATTGACTTTTTCACCATATATGTCAGAAATGGTTAATGAATACATATCTAGAGTTTGTTTAAAAATTTGTTTCTTGTGAATTCTGTCATCTCTTTTTTTTTTTTTCTCTTTACATTATAAACAGGACACTATAGAGGATTTGTTCATGTTTACCTCCTCAATCTTAACTGCTTTAGGCGACGAATGTAGTCAGATCTACTGCTGAGGCCTGCACGTTTTCTGATTGCAAACGAGTCTCTCTTTCTGAGGAAAGATGAGGTTGATCTGAAGCCTCGAGATCTGACCCCACGTCCTGATCTACCTCGATATCCACCACCTCCTCTAGGAGATGAATAAGCTGCAGGCTTCCTGAATGCAAAATCGCTACCTCTTTCTCTTACTTCTCTTGTGTATCCTTTATCCCCTAAATACCCCCCAGCTGTTGTGGAGGCTCCACCTTTATCGAAGTAGCTCCTTCCGGAGGAATAATCACTGGTGAAACTCCTCTCATGGGATCTTCTAGTAGCCTGAATTGCACACAAATGTTCCAATATTATATTAGTTTATAAATATATAAAATATATATATCTGCTTTTAATTTTGTTCAATCTTGTTCAATAGTGGCATGTGCATTGAATATGAACTTAGCTCATACCTATCTCGAACAGATGATATAATTACACCATACATAATGCACAAACCAATATTTCTTTAATTTCTTTCCATTTAATGGTTTTTATAATTCCATAATTTAAATAAATTTAAATTCCTTTCAACATTCAATTAAAACATCAACAAAACTTTTCATAGAAAGCTATAAACACATGAAATCAATTTCAGATCAGTAAAGGGAAGGGTAAGCAAGGTGGCACTTAAAAAAAATAAATAACTAAATTTCAAACTACAGTAAACTTACTATGTAACTAGTTGATATTATTTCAGTCATTTACCAAGAAATTAATAGTAAGAAATGGTAATTAAAATTGATAAATCATGTGATTTGAATTAGTAATCTAACTAATTTAGTAATGTCTTAATATAACAAAAAGCAATTTTATTAAAGAAATTTAGAATCTGTCTAATTTCCTATGAAAAATTAATATAAGTTAACAATGTTATTAAATTAAAGTGCATTTAAGGATTTTGAATTAGTATAATTATATACTATCTTGTATAATTTAATGTTCCTCAGTAATCAACATGAAACATTGAAAAAAACAAGAAATTGATTAATACATTGTTTCAAAAATTAAAACAATTAATAAATAAATAATTTTGACCCAACTCCAATGTTTGATTATACCTAATAATCTAAATTTAAAAAATGGATATAACACATAGTTTTGTAGTTTTCAGGACTATACCAGAACAATTTATTCAACACGTTCAATGAAAACGCACAATAGTTTTTTTTTTTAATAGTTATTATTAAATTATTTTAGGTTAATAATCTTTATAATAATTTTCTGTTAAATCACCTATCTCTCCATTTTTGACAAACAGAGATAATTAATTTATTTATTCCAATCTATATAAACTACTGTCCTAATAACCATGCAGTTTACCTTAAAAAAAAATTGAATTTTAAATTTAAAAAATTGGCAATGAAAAAAAAACTTGGGGAAAAATAGAACATGGTTGGTGGGCTGTAATAAACCGAAACTGTATAAATCGGCTATCATTGTAATGTTCAAGTTGAATGATAATGGAAAGACATACAAAATGATCAAATTCATTTCCTTGGAGATTGTAATCCAGCAATATTAGATTATTTTAGTTGCTAAAAACTTTAGCTGTTTTTCAAATCTAACTAATATTGCAGTAATATATAGACTATACTCAATAAATCTGTAAACAAAATGACTTGGTCTTTCATTCAGTCTTACCATTCGGTTAAACACCATAACATTAAAAATTAAAATATCGGTAGTACCATGCCTTAAAAAAATCAATATGAAATATCAAGTTTTATGCTATTGAAAAAACTTGTCTAATGTGAAAATTGGAAGTGAATGCTTCTTCTGAACGGATTGTAAATAGATGGTCCCAGAAATCCAAAACAATACGAGTACAGTATATTGGATCAAAATATTAATTTAATGAGGAAACTCTCAGGAATTATTAAGAATACAAAAAGTACACATAAATTGGCCGTTTCCCAATGTACCATAAACCGTGAGAGGTATAACTTTGAAAAAGAAGGGGTGGGAGGGCCAAGCGGGTGAACGCATGTGCAAAACACGCATTGCCGGCAACCAGGTAATTGATAAACTGAAGTTTATAAGATAAGAAACAATTATGAGTTTGCGTCCCGGTACTGGTGGGGCTTCTAGCTGTGGCATTAATCCTCTGCCCCGGGAAAACTCCTAAATAGCCTAAAAAGTCAGGTAGTGATGGACAAAAAAAAGAAAAAAATACTTTAAAGTGAATTAAAGAGCGATTCCTCAAAATTTAACAAGGGTCAAGGACCAATTTGTCAACAAGTTTTGAAAAACTCAAATGATTATTAATCCCTTACAAGAATTGTTAATTATATTACAAATAGATTAATCAGAACGTTGTATCTTTCAAGAAAGGAAGCTTAAGAAAATCCAACATATTAATAAACTGAGACAAAACAAAGTTTATAAGAATAAGAAGGAGAAACAACTGTGGAGATGGAATAGTAAGGCTTAATAGTAGCAATACAACAGATGAGCAATGACAGCAAGATAAAGAAGAGAATAAGAGTACCAGAGGGATACTTCAATTCACTGCAGAAAGACTTTCTTGGGAGGAAGAAATTTCAAAGAACACTAAAAAAATCATTAAAAAAAAAAAAATGGTTTCCAATAGTAACCTATGCAAGCAAATTTTGGACCCTTACAACAAAACATTAAGAGTCAAATCCAAAAATTGAATATGAGATACCTTAGGAAGGTCGAAGAAAAACACACAAAGGAAAAGAATGTGAAAAATAGTACAATCACATAGACCTGGAGCCAAAGCCCAAAAATCGACCTGACCTCATCGCAGGCAGAGCTTTGATTGTAAATTATGAAAGTATATGTTATTCCGAGTAAAAAGAATCTTGTCTGCCGTTGCAGAGCCGCTGCTTTAAAAAATGTTGGCTGATTTAAAGAATATTATGCCAGTAATTTGAGAAAAAAACGAGAAATCCATTGCGAAAAAAGTGAGAAATTTTTTATTTTTTGTAATTTGTATATACGGTTTTAGACATGTCAAAAACATAATTGCTAATGAGGGTAAAAGAACACTAGGGTAAAACACCAAGGTAAAACTTTTGACAGCCAAAAAGTCACAATTTTTTTATGTGCTTTTGTTATTTCACCTATAACTCCTAAACCATGTATAAAAACAAAAAATGTATGTCTTAATAAATTAAAGAACATTAAATTGTGCATCGAACAAGTACATAAACTTTATAATTTGGTTATGCGCTAATGTATAAAACCACGGCCAACCAAATCTGATTTTTTACCAATTTGTCAAAAACTGAGACAAATTACCATAAACGGACCTGCAACATGGAAATGAGTTCCTTAAGAGGAAAAACTCATAGAATCAAAGCTGTAGAACTTAAAAAAAAAATCAATGTAGGTCACTTACAACAAGCAAAATTGGTAATCTGCCGATGGTTAGAAATCGGTAATGAAGGTAAACGTGATTTTCAATATTTCAACAGTATGGATGTCTATTATACTGAATTATTTTTGTTTAGAGTCTGTTACATGCAGTAAACGCCTCTTTTCCACCTCTTAGCAGCGAAGGATTTTGATAAACAATGTGTCGAAAGATACCAATTTTCATAAAGGAATAACTAATCCCGATTCGAGATATATAATTGGCCAACAATAGAAATTTCAGTACTCAGCAGATGCAAAATTTGATGTTCTATAACTTTCATTCTATGGGTCTTTCCTATTAGGGAACTCATTTCCAAGTTACAGTAATTTGTCTTAATTTTTGACAAATTTGGTAAAAATCAGCGTTGGTTGACCGTGATTTTATAAATTACCACGTAACCAAATTATCAAGTTTATGTACTCGTTCGACGCACAATTTAACATTCTTTAATTTATTAAGGAATACATTTTTTGCTTTGATGCATGGTTTAGGAATTATAGGTAAAAGAACAATAACACATCGAAAAAATCTGACTTTTTTAGCTGTAAAAAGTTTTCTCTTGGTGGGGAAAACTTTTGTTTTTTACATACGTAAATCCATATATACAAGTTAAAAAATAAAAACTTTTTCCACATTTTTCGCAATTGATTTCCTGTTTCGATCTACTAATTACTGACCTTATATTCTTTAAATCAGCCGCCATTTTTTAAAGCAGCAGTTCTGGAACGGCAGACATGTTCTTTTTAATCAGAATAACATACACTTTCATAATTTATATTTTAAATTAAATTAAATAAAAAACGTTGGGAAGAAGAAACTTATGAGATTTGCTCCCCCATTTTTACAAATATCAGTCACAGTACTACTAAACTCTTACTTATTTTCCTTTGCCTACCATCTACATATTTATGTATTTCTTCAATAATTTATTAATATTATGGATTATAAGAATAATTCATAACTAATATTAAATGCAATATGAATGATTCAAGGTAAATAGTTTTATTGTGTAAATGTGCTGCTTCATTTTATTTCAAAATTGCATGATCGTTTTATGAATATTTTAAATTAAATGTAAATCTAATATAAATATAAATAAATAGCAAGGAGAAGTAAATAATTAATGAAAGAAAATGGAAACACTTAAAATCAGTAAGAAATAAATTAAGTGTGGCGCAATAAAAAGAAAAAAATCTAATTTAGAAAAATCAAGAAGAGAGGAAGATTATTAACAATCTTAAACCTTAAAATTGTGACAAAGATAAACACAGAATCACTAATACTCCAGCATTGATCAAAACCATCCAATAAAAGACTTTGAAGGAAGTATTAACGATATCTATGTTCTACTCAAAACGATATAAAAAATCACATATTGAAAAATGTCAAGATGCCATATAATATAAATACATACCTTTTCTTTTTACCTCTTGACTCTTCTGAAAATTAGTTAATATAATTGGAGAAACATCTTAATACAAAACCTAGCAACAAATACTAAAGAAAAAATGCCAATGAGAAAGCATATAGATTTTGAAAAGCTCTATATTATTCATTAAATGTGACTACATTTCATGAAAAAAAAAAAAAAAACAAGACTGCAATAAAGAAAAATTAATGAATTATTTTAACCCCAAGCAAAATAAAAAAAAAAAAACAGAAAATGAGGATGATTCACTTTAAACTAATTCCAAAGGCAAACACATGTGAATCCCAAATGGATGACACACAAATAAGCAGATATCACTGTATTATAGACATCTTGTATTATATAAAATATGTAATATGCTATTATATACACCTCAGGATATGGATTGTGAAATATGAGGGGTCAAAACAAAGGTAATTCCAACAAGTGACAAATTTTAATTTCAATCCTTTGATTCAAATTTCTAATAAAAATTACTGGAGAAAGTAGGAAGGTTTTAGTCGATAGATTGAAACAGAAAAAAAATTGTTTCACAGATTTCACCGAGGAAAGCAAGATCTGATGAGGAAGATTTTAAAATGACGTTTTCAAAAGATAAAGCACAATTATTACCAAAATCCTCACAGGTGCCATGGAGTACATAACAATGTCATTCAGGTTTTTATTAATTGAAATATTGCTATTTAATATGGTCTAAGAAAACATAAAAATTTATTAAAACTGTAAACAAATGAAAATAGTTCTCATCTCAGATAAAATACTGAAGAAATCTTTTGATATTTTTAATTTAAAAACCTATGGTGCGCTTAACACCATGGGATAGAAATAAAAACATCAACAAGGCGGAATTAATAATATGAAATGCAAATATATTGTGTTCTATATTCAAAAATGACTATAAATTAGTAACAAACTAATCAAGAGACAGAATATAAATGTAAGATTATAATTTGGAAAATGCCAAAACACACAGCTTTATGTCTCCAAAATGCAGACAAAGAAAACAAACCAGTCAAGGTTTTGTTAATTCAGGCATCATCGGGATAGAAAAGAAAGAACACCATAATTGAACATCATTCCATGACATCAAAACGCTTTATCTTAAGTCATAGGTCATAGTTACTACAGAGAATGCATTTGGATGTCACAAAGTGATATTCAATTAGCTGTTTTTTTCTTTCATAAGATGCCTAAATTGACAGATTTGTTTTCTTTGCCTGCATTCTGGAGACATAAGACTGTCTCATTCACTATCCACAAAAAAAAGTGCTAAGTGCTTGCGTCTAAAGAAGTTTTCACTACAATAAATAGGTTTTGAGGATGTTTTAATTTTATTGGTAATTAATTTCATTTAGTTCTAATAGTGATGAGGATTTTATACAAGTCTTCATATTTCACTCTAAATAAGTGAGAAAGCTACAATAAAGGATCCTGATCCTGCTCTTTTGCCTCAAAAAATTAGGTCTCATTAAATACAACATTATGATAGTATTAAGTTACAGATAGGGGATTCTTATTGCTTATCTTAATACATATGTTCCTGTAGAGCAAGTGAATAACTTATTTATAAATCCATATAAAGTATAATTTATACAGTACTATAGAATGGAGTTTCACTCAATCTCTGTCATCACTTTCCATCTCTTATAAAATGTATCAATGCTCTAACTAGTAAGACTGATTGTTCCTTGGTTTAATATAGTCTATAAGTTATGGAATGTATGGTTAGTAAAAGATTAAAGTGAAGTGAAGAGGACAATAACTCAATTCAGCCATTTCAATCTGGATTCCACTATCGACCATCTGATCAATTTCTTAACTAAAAGAAAAAAAATATTGAAGTACAATCTGTTATCATTACTGCACTTATAAAGCACTAAAAGTCTCGTTTTGTGTTAATTTTCATGATTTTATTTCAATCACTTCCCTTCCTCTTCAGTTGATGATTGAAAAAAAAATCCCCATTTTTTATTTCATTTGCATTTGATATTTACAAAATTATCCTCGGTCATTCCATGGCAAATCATCCAGGGCCCGTAAACCAGCCCCTTCAGATCTTAATGAAAATTTAAAAATGTTAAGTAAATATACATATAAGTAATAATATCAAATTATAACGATTACTTTCAGAATTATGGACATTTAAACTTTTAAAATATTTTATGTTGGGAATATATTTTGAGCTAAAAACCAGCATGAAACTGTTATGTTTTCCTTCGTAAAACTAATATTTATAGATCAAGAACTTTCAAAATTTATTATAAAAATAAAGAGGAGGAAAAGAGATGGAAGAGAGAGCAAGTGCCATATGTTAAAAACAGAGAGTGACCGATCAGCAAGTAGTGAGTGTCTAGACAAGGACAGGAAAATAGAAAAGATATTTTTAGAAGTTGAATACAGTAAAGCCTGCAGCAACAATACAGAGTGAGATTCAGTGTAGAGACCAGGGTGAATGAAAAATAAACAGTGACAGTTAGAAAGCGCCAAGAGTAAACTCCGACAAAGTTGAATAAAAATTCATAAATGTTGTATATAAAATTAATGTATGCTTTTAGATTGGATAGTTGAGGAATGTGTGTTTATTTGTCTCAACCCAACCTGTGAAATAATTTGTAATCTTTATAATAATTTAAAATAATTGTGTAAAATATAAATTAGGTTCAGAAACTGTTTGTTTACTTTTCAACAGAAAACTTAACCTCACAATATATATATATATATATATATATATATATATATATATATATATATATATATATATATATATATAATCAAAATAATTTCCATCAGAATCGATGCACTTTGGTCAATGATCAACAACAAGCTTTTTTATCCCAAAAGAATTTCAATGTCACCCTGGTTTTGGAAATTTATCTGGTGTAAAAAGTTGTCCAGGTACTTGAAAAAATGATATTTAGGTCTGGTAAATAAGGTGGGTGTTGGAGAAAAATGGAATTAGTCAGTCAATTTTAGCAGAAAGGTTTCTGTAACATTCCAAACATATTGTTACCTTCAAAATGTTACTGCAGTTTTTTGTGTCTTCATTTTTGAGTTATGCTGTTACAGACTATTTTGCAAGACTTGGTTATTTGGTGATTTATGGGATTATTTCCACAGAATACTAGTAAGGGAATATATTCACGATCGCAATACTTTCCCCTACTGTATATTGCATATATAAATGAGGAGAAGTAAAAAATGTCTGACTGGTCATTTTTCCAATCATAATTCCTAATTATTTTTCCAACATAAAAAATTAAAGCATTGCTGATTTTTTTCTGATGAAAAATGTTTAAGGCAACTATACAGATAAATAATCAATGCTCAGTTATTGGACAACTATGCAACTACACAGTCTAACAGACTATATTCTGTTAATTCGTGTAAATTAATAGAAATATGAAAACAATTTTATTTTTAAGTTTCATGTACACAACAAAAAAATTAGCAGAACAAATCGGGCCATGAATCTCATGTCAGAGAACACAAAGAACAGACTAAAATAATCATGGATATAAGATTTGCTGATATAAGTAAATGAAGCCACACAAAAGAAACAGCTGGTAGCTATTCTTTCTTAATGCCTGTAGCTGTTCTTTCTTAATACAACAGTCATTAATAGTTCAACATGAGCCACCAGACAATCTGCTGACTGTCAATAATGCAATTGTCAGATGTTGATTTATTTCTGGAGAGAAAAGAACAGAACATCATCTGAGAATAGCCTTTTACAATGGTGGATTAATGGTTAACTGTAGTAAATAACTGAAAAGAAAATTGGTTTGGTTGATCAGTCAAATAAATATATTTTCTTTATATAACTTCATCCAGGAAATAGTTCAGTTCAGCAGGTCGCAAATTTAATTTTTATGTTCATGTATTATTAATAAATAAATAGAACATCATATTCTTTTTCTCTGTTTTACATTTTATTCTATGATTATCTCACTTCCTTTTAGCACAGTAAACCATATCTTAGCAATTACATCACCCCATTTATTTTGTCTACACTTACGTTTTTTATCTTTTACATTCCATTACATTTTGTTGTTAATTCATTTTTCATTTCTTATGTTACCTTATTTCATTAGTCCCTACTTTGTTGCCGTTATTATGTATTTCACAGTTCTCTGATACTGTAATTATTTTATTCGTAATTTCCTAACTTTGTTACCATTATATTATATTATATATCCTAACTTTGCTTCCGCTGCTTCCTACCCTTAACAAATTTAGAGGTAGGAAGTAACGGAAGAAAAGTAATAAATATACTTATTTATTTTTTTATTTATATACATTTTTTTTTTTACTAATCACCCCAACCAATCTTCTCTTCAATAGCCTTTTACAATTGCATCCAACATCTTCCATTCTAAATTACTGCCTAATTATGTGTTTAAAATTATATATGAAAAAAATGACTAACTAAATTTGCCTTTTGAAAAATAACAGGTATATGCCAAAATATTTGTATACATATATTTGATAATTAGTAGAATGTTTTTCAGGTAAGATTTATATAGGTCCAAGTGAAGAAAAGTTTCCCATCTCTCAACATATAAAATCTAATCTACATCACCTATAATAAATGTTTTTAATTCAATTCAGCTCAATATTTCTCTTTTGATTATCTGATCATCACTTGTGGTGTTCATCTCTAATACCTTTAAATAATCTGAGTTCTACTGTAAATAAAAATATGTGAGTATAAAATAAATTCAGGAAAAGTATGTAAATTAGTATCTTTTAAAATCATTCATCAGCAGTCTTTACCTACGAATTATACATCACTTATTTTACCCTAGAAGTTTACTACCTTAAATAAATACAAGGCTTTTAACTTCAACTTAAAAAAAAAAAACAACTAACTTAAAACTTAAGGCTTGATTACAAATAAGCTCTAACTATAATAATAAAATAAATTTGAAAGATTGGTTTGTGTACGAGGGTGCCATCTACTCAAAATTTTAAGCGATAAATAAGAAATTCAAAACAGAACAAAATAATAATAATAAATACCATGTAAGAAGGAGAAGTATCGCCACGAGCACGTTTTCTTGGAGGTTCTGGTGACAAGCCATAATCTCTCGAGTAATCATTGACATCCTAAAAACCAATGAATGTTTAGAAGATACATTACCTAAACTAATTTTAAATCATATTAGGATAAAGACCTCAACCAACTAAAATTTCAAATATATCTAATCATCAAAAAACTATGGTGAGAAAAACAATACAGAATAGGCACAGATTAATTCAAACAACTTATGGCTTAACAGATGTGATGGGGCATATATATGCACTTCAAATTATCGACTTTTGACCAACATCTTTTTTAGAAACCATTACTGTTTCATATATGGTATTGTATGTGTTGATCCAAGATATCAATTGAGAATAAAACAATGCATTTACTTTTGGCACTGAAAATAATAACAAATATTACCCCTGATAAAAAAAATGTGGTGCGTGCATCACAGAACTTTTACTCACTGATCTACTTTAATTATTAATTATTTTTTGGCAACGTTGGGCTATTACAAAACTTTTGAAATTCATTTCTAATGGAGATAAAGCTTAAAGCTAACAAATCATTAAGATCATTAAAATAACAAAAAGCCAAATATACAAACAAGGTAGACAATCAAAACGTTGTAACCCATCTATTTTTGTAAATCACATAACTCCAGTCTCTGAGCTATTTGTGCCCAGAGAGATTTGAACCTTAACCTTTATCTTGTCCCTTATTCTCCTACCCATCGCACGTAATTTTTCAACACTTGGTTAGACCTTTATAACTCTGATTTTCCCATCAAAATCCTTTCCTCTTCTAAACACCCCGTTCCATTTCTTTTATTACATGGCTTGATCCAAATTACATACAACCTACCCGTGAAATCCTTCGCTCCCAAAATAGTTTCATAACACAATTTAAACCTTATCTTCGATGAATCCCTTCAACCTGACCTTAATTCTTTCCAATGGGACGTCATATATTCTTATGATTCCATTGATCCTATGATATCCACATTGACCTCAAACCTACAACCCATATTAGACATAACCTTTCCTCACTGCAGGACTTACATCGTATTTCCCTCCTTTCTAACCTTTCAAAACTGTTGGAACGCCTTGTCCAAAATCAACTTTCCAACTCTCTAAAGGAAGGTTCTCTCACCAACCGGCTGCTTCTGGAATTAATTAACTCTTAAGCCATTTTGAAAGAAAGAGGTTATTTATATAATGGTATAACGCAATAACATTTTCCTTTCCCTCTTAACAGGAGACCCAGTTATTTTCTCTTACTTATTTTCTGTCTGACTTTTTATTTTATACCTTTTTTTTTCAAATGATAATCAATGACATTTAACTTCAAATTTCTAATGATTTTTTCTCTTCTGCCTATTCACAAAATAAAAATTTTAAACATCACACAGCTTCAAAACGAACACTAGTGCAATAATGAGGGATAACAAATCGACTATTAAAATATTTTGATGTTTTACCAATTACAGCAAAACTGCATGTTTAAAACAATGTAAAATAAATTAATACTCCCTTAGAAAAAAGTATGGAAGTGCGAAAATATGCGCAGTATATTGTTCAGTGGTCAAATAATAAATTAATAAGAAAATAAAACAATGCAACGTATCATAAAAGAAATCAATTGTTACTTTCTCGCTAAATATAATTGACAAAGGAAACAAAAATTAATTTAAAATTTCATTTATGTTTGGAAACAACATATTTACAAATTTCAATGAGCTGTACCTTTGCTAAAAATTGTCCGATTTTAATGATTTTTTCCTTCTTTCTGTAGGGAATTTAGTAATCTATTATATAATGATAGACATAACCAAGGGCAACGTGTGTAATTTCGAGTTAAAAGTTTCTTTTCTTTCATAACATTTTTGCATGAATTTTCGGGGTGATTGGACTAGTTGCCTGCCTGTAGGAGAATGAAACCTTCAAAATTTGTGATTCAACCTTGGGATTCAGTGAAGAATTAACAATGATGTGGCTTACCGACAAAAAGCACCTTCGATAAATAATATAAACTCCTCTCTCACGATTATAGGGGCCCCAAGTGGACGAAATGAGACATGGATGAAATGAAAGTACTACAATTAATGTAAAGTTGTGTGGATACGAACTGTTCGACTTGCATTATCTCGGAAATAGTACGTTTTTGGGCTTAAGAACGCAGGGTAGTCCTTTGGAACTACTCGGGTCTTGCTGTGCACATCAAAATCTTCAAAGCCTATACTGATCTACAGACTTACCACTGCTCCAGTATTGAAGCCTAGAAAAATGTTTGCAGCGAACTTATTTATTTTAAAAAGAAAAACAAAAGTGAAGAGTTCGATTCGTTAAACCCCGTGAAATTCTGAATCCAATGGTTCCCCATTCATGGTATTTGAGCATGACAGGAGCTTATGTTTGGTACAAACCGATTTCGAACCTTACGGTAATAATATACACTAGTAGGCCCGTGCGAAGAATTCGTACAGCATATTATTATCAAATGCCAAATAATTAAGAAAATGCAACTTATCAAAAGATTAAGACATCAAATGTTACTTTATCGATAAATATAATCCACAAAGGAAACAAAAATTAATTTAAATCTTCATTTTTGTTTCGAACTAACATGTATACAAATTTCAGTAAGCTGTATATTTCTAAACATTGTCCGATTGCAATTTTTTTTTTTTTTTTTTTGTAGGGAATTTAGTAATGTTTTATATAATCATGGGAATAACCAAGGGAAAAGTGTGTAATTTTTCAGTTATTCGCAAATAAAGTTTATTTTCTTTAATAACTTGTTTGCCTGAATTTTCTGGGTAACTGGACTATTTTGCCAGCCTGAAGGAGAAGGAAGCCTTCGAAATGGGTGGCTCAATCTTGAGATCTGGTGAAAAATTAACGATGATATGGCTTGCCGATCAAAAACACCATCGATGAATAATATAAACTCCCACTCTCTCGATCATAGAGACCTCAAGTCGACGAAATGAGAAATGTATTCAATGACAGAACTACAATTAATGTAAGGTTGTGCTGATGCGAATCCTATGCCTTGCGTTATCTCGAAAATAGTACGTTTTTCGGCTTAAAAATGCAGGATCCGATAGTTCTGAAGGAACTATTCGGGTCTTGTTGTACGCATCAAAATCTTCAAGATCCAATTTGTCCTGTATCGATCTACAGACCTACCACCGTTCCAGTATCGAAGCCTAGCAAAATGTTTGTATCGACTTTATTTATTTTAGAAAGAAAAACAAAAGTGGTGAATACGATTCGCTAACCCCCCGTGAAATTCTGAATCCAACGGTACCCCATTCGTGGTATTTGAGCATGACAGGAGCTTATATTTGGTACAAAACCGATTTCGAGCCTTACTGTAATAATATATGTACGGATGGGAATTATTTAACAATGATTTTGTTTCTTAATGGTTTAGTTTAAAACAACCAGTGAGTCTTCATTAGAGACCCCCAAATAAATATACTTGGCACAAAATTGAATTAAATAATGAGGTGGTTATTGTCATATGAGAAAATAAAAAAGTTTGACAACCCATTCAAGTTAATGTAGATAGCGATGACAAGATATAGCTAATATTGGCTCTAATTGGCCTTGAGATATAAAGTGATGAAAGAAGGAAGAAGTAGCGAATTTCTTGCTGATTTTGAACATAATGGCAGCAATCTCTAGGAAAATTCTTTTCTTTTAGTTGTTCACAGTTTCTCTAACACTTATCAGAACACACTCAAAATTTTTAGCCATGTTCTTTAGTAAAAATTAAGTCAGTATATCAAAAGTCTTATATCTTTTTTATTTCTTGTTCTTCCCTACCTCGCCTTTTGAGGCTATATGGGGGTTTTCCTGGGCCAGGAGGTGAGGGCAGGGAATTTAAAAGAACACCAGGCAACGGGAGGTGAACTCATAGTTTTATTGTTTCTAAACTTTGGTTATCAGGTTACCAGGCAACGTGCGGTGCTTTGCACACACGTCAGCCCATTCGGCGATGCCACACCCATCAAAAGTCTCACTTGTAGAGTACAGATTTAACTTAATAAAATCAAAATGGACATAGACTCATTTCAACACTGTACACAAGCACTACAAGCCAGACTCACATATTGCATAATCCTATATATTATTTCTAAAAGGTGGTTTTTTTTGGTACACCATAAAATCGTCAATTCTTCATCAAATCCAATGATTGACCACTAATTTTGAAGATATTCTTCTCCTTCATATGCGAAAAATAGTCCTATCCCCCCGAAATTTCTAGAAAAAAGGTTATGAAGGAAAAGAAACTTTATTTGTGAATAACTCAAAAAGTATGCAATTTTTTCTTAATTGTACCCATGATAATTAGAAAGATTAATAAATTACCTGTAAAACAAAAAACATCATAAAAAATCAGGCAATTACTAACAAAGATACAATCCATTAGTTTTGGTATACTTAATAATGTCTTCCTCTTTAAAGGTATATTACACTTAGGAGTAGAATAGTCTACTAAACTTTTTTTCCTGGCTGATATGTTAACTTTCATTATTTCTTAAAGACATTTGTTTATTCTTACATTTTATTTTATTTTAATAATTTAGAAAACCTCATGATCGGGACATTATTTTGTCTTTATTAATTTTATTATCTTTTCAGTCAGTGAACAAAATTTTCTGCGAATTATTCTCACAGGCCAAATAGTAGAGAAAGAATTAGTAAATGAAACTTATAGAAATAATAGTAATGTCTTTCAAAGAAAAGTATTTAGAATTTTAAAGAATGGGAACAAACCTGAGAATATCGATGATAAGGTTCATCACGTCCTCGGGAGTATCTTTCTGCAGCACTTCCTGTAAAAATAGTATTGTTAACTACAAAAATATATATAAATAAAGATCAATAAAATTAAAAAGATCAGATTGCCAAATAAATAAATTGGTTCTGTTATATATTTATAATTATAGTACACTAAAAAACATGTAAAAACTTATAAATCAATTTATTAACAACCAAATCAATAAAATTAAAACTACAAGCCAATAGATATACTGATAAAGATGCTTTAATTTATATTAATAATCATTAGAAAAGTTTAAGAAAATTTGAGTTCGGATGACATTTGGAAAGCGATAAGACTTATTTCTGGTGAAACCATGAATCTCAACTAGTCAATACGGAATTGAAAACTTTAAAAAACATTTGGACGTGTGGAAATTTACTGTCACTTCTATGGTACTGTTCTGTCCAGAAAACAACCATATGCACCAAATTTTATTATTAAATATAGATTAAATCGTAATTAATAAATCATGATTGTAATGAATGACATACCATAATTATTCTGATGATTGAAACATACCATAATTATTTATAACTCCTTTCTTAGCAGAAGAAAAAAAGAACAAAACTCATAAATATTTTTACAAAATAAAATACAAAGAAACCGTTTTATTATTATTGTTATTAAGTGATACTTAGAAAAAAATCGGATATTGTTTACTTACCACCTAATTAAAGATCCTAACTCCCTACTCAATATTCCTACACATTGCAAGATATGAATAAGAGGGAAAATAATTTTAAAATGGCACAATTTCAAACATAAATTTAAAAAAATCTTAGTTTTACTTTAAATGAGCAAAATCAAATGTTAACTAGTATATAGATTATTTTTAAAAAATCAGAAGTTCTAAAAAAAATCCAAATAAATTTAAAAAGAAAAACCATAATTTAAACATCAATACCTCCATAAGATGATCTAGATCGAGAATCATAAGTTGGAGATGGATATGAAGTATAGCGCGAGCCTCGAGAACTAGAGAAGCTACCTCCTCTGCTTCCTCTCCAAGAACTTTCTCCGCCGCCTCTGCTTCCCCTATAGCTACTGCCACCTCTATAACCACCACTTCCTCCTCCACGACCCCTAAGTTAAAACAAAATACTTTAAAACAGTAATCAATATATTGGATTTGCCATTGAAAATTACAGAACTTAGGCAATTAAGTAGTATAAAGAAAAGGTGGGGAACCTTTTTATCATTAAATTCCGCAGTAAGGTTAGACACTGATAATTGGGGCCATAATATTTTTTTATATTTTACTGTTGCTATTTTTATTTATAAGTACATACATATCACACACATATGTTTTAATACTACACATTACATTAAATGATACACATACAAATAAATACAAATTACACACATATATTAAACTTAATTCTAGAGCTAGATAAATAAATATCATGCAAAAACTGAAGGGGACTGCAGCTAGCACACGAAGGACACAGGTTCCTTACTTGTGGTATATTGTATGCTTAAACCAAACACACTATATAGGAGGTATATATATAAACACACATAATTAGTTTAAAAATAGCCTTACTTTATTTTCAAATAATTATCTATGGGACACCAAAAACATGTGTTTTTGCTTTATTACAATTTTTTACTAACCGGTTATTCATTTTAAAATTAATTTGTAATTGAAGTTTTGAATAAATTATTTAATAGACATTTTGGCACCCATACATGGACCACATATTTATTGGGCATATCGCAAAAACACAACATATGTATTATTGGGTGGCTACCTAATTTTCCAGAGTAAAATTCCCTGACTTTTCCCTATTTAATGAAAGTTTTCCCTGAACAATATGTCAGAGGACCCAAATGTGGTTGAAGATAAGATAGTAAAATAATATATATTCTTAAAAGAAAATTTAATATTAAACAACTTTCTTCCTCATGACTTTTTTGTAAAATGAAAAGATAGAGTTGGCATATCAAATAATGAAAAAACTGATCCAGCATTTTGACCACCTTTAGCAGCATCTTGAAATATTCTGTTCATCTGTCTACTATATATTCGTTTAGCCATATAATGGATACTGATTCTTGTTTTCTTTTTCCGAGATTTTGGCACTTCCTTTGTCATTTTGTATAGCTTTTTATAGCTTAGTGTATTTTTCCAATGTTTGGGTTCAATTTCTAGTTTTTCCTCATTTTGAGACCAAATACTAACAATCAGTTCCAGTCACCTAGAAGAACTCATCGCCCTTTCCACGTTTCTTTTGTGCAGAGAGAATAATGCATTTAATATTAAAATTTCCTATTTTTTATGATATGATCCAACATCCGAACAAAATAAAGGAAATAAAAATGATTTTGTTAATAGTGATATATGAATTTTACTAAACAATCCATCACTTATTCATTACATGTAGTTCAGATTAGGCATATATTATTTTAGCTTATAAAACAGGTATTAATATGACTCATTTCCGGGGAAGTATATACAATTTAAATTACCTCTAAGAATCAATAAATATATAAAACAAGTGTTAAATTGCAAACATCAAATAAAAAATTCCAGATATTCAGCAAAGTATTTTTGAATTAAGTTTTATTGTTATAATTATATAATTTTTATAATAGAGGCCTTCTTAAACGAACTCAGCATAGAATAAAGGAAGTTAAATTTAAAAAAAAAAATTTTTAAAAAATTTTTTGACTATTAAATTATTGTATTAATATTTGCTAATTAATAGAATCAATATAATGTAACAAAAACGTTATTATAGCACTATAATTAAACCAATTATGGATACTGAATGGTGTGGTAGAGGCCTGAAGGCACCTACGCCAGTACCGTGCATTTTCTACGGAACTACTTCAAATATTTTAAAAAGTAATCAGTGTTTTAGAAAGATAAATGTATTCTCCAGATGTTTTATTTCAGCACATTTTGCGTTATTGTTGGCGGTTTAATGAAAAACGAAGCTTGATTTTCAACTAGAAAATTTTTTTTGGTAAAAAATTGACTTTACTGATGTTTTTTATTGCCCAAGCCAATTAGTTTTTAATATTTTTTCATGTTTTATTATTCTCTGACTATCTAGCTTTAATAAAAGACCAACTATGACGAAATTAAGCCAAATGCTGATTCTCAATAACAAAAAAACTAACTAAAGTCAAAGTCGTCATACCGCCATGTTTGGACGCCATTTTGGGGCTGTCCGTTCACTTTTTTTTGTGAGAACATTAGCTTTTTTTAAGAAGTAGTTACAAGGAACACAACAATATGCAATTTATAGGGAATGTGGGGAGAGCGGTGCACGGCAGGGGGGTCTGGCCCACAGACTAATATAGAGACTACAATTATGACTCAGTTTCACCTCCTTTTGTTTTATAATCTGTTTTTGTTTATATTCCTGAAAACAGAGCTCTCAACTGATTTATTAATCTGATTTTATCCCTCTTTTTTTGTTTTTCATCAATTTCATCAAAGAGTAATTAGTATTTTTGTATATAGCAGTATTATTGCTGATCCTCAGTGTATATAATACCATAAGTGAGATATTGGTGGAAATATTTGTTAAAGATGTGAATTGTTCAATAAAAGATACTTCCAATATTTATATACGAGGGTGGTCTGAAAAGTTTCCGACCTAACAAAAATAAAAGACATTTTTTCTGAATTTTTTAATTTTTATTTTCAACATAGTCTCATTGAAACTCTACACACTTTTCCCAGTGATGCTGCCATCTCTGTAACCTGTCCAGATGAACAACGAAATTCACTTGCTTTTATTTAAGAGTGCTACGTTCATCTTCACGTTGCGGTCAGAAACTTTTTAAACCACCCTCGTATATATGTATGTATGTATATATATATATCTAGCAATATTTTAAAAACTAAAGCAATTTTTAATTTATTGAACCATAAATTTATTTATTTGCCTCTATCCAATAAGTATATTGGCAATCCTTTCCTTAAAATCCAATTATTTTAAAGAAATCCTTTAGGATCTCCATATCTCTCTCCGCATCCTATAACACTTCCCAAATAGTCTCGTACATGTCAAGGTTCTTCTTCTGTATGATACCATAACTACATTCCACGAGAATCCGGTTCATTATTCTCAGGAAACCACATCTGAAGAAGAGAGGTAGTCCTCGACTGTGGAGTAGCCATGCGAAAATTTCAAGTGAATAATTCTGAGGCGGAAGAAGATTAATTCCTCTCTTGATTTCCAGTTACTCTTACACCATTTAGTGCTGTTTGATTTTAACTGAACAAGTTTTGTGGGGTTCCTTGTCCAGGTCTCATTCCATTGAGCTCTGATCTAGAGTTTCGCTTGCCTCAGCCAGTCTTCTCAAGGAACATAATCAATAGATTTTTATCTCATTATTAAAAACCTTCCAAGCTATTAGGGATGTTACCTCTGCCTGTTCAGTTCCCTACTCTTTTACTGTCCCAAATAAGTTCTAAAATTTTCACTATTGTTGTGAGTTTAGATGTTTGATTTCTGATTACCAAAAGCAAACTCATTGAATCAAATACAATGAATATTTTATGGTGGTTACCAGCTTGTCAATGTGGAAGGACTTCCTTTGAGGCATTTGCCTTTCCCATAAAAATTGAGCAGGCTTTTTTTGAATTTCCACAGGACACATAGAGTTTTAGAAAGCTTTAAAAAGTGGTACATTTATATTTATATCATGACAGCACCATTAACTTTAGAGCTAATAACGACTTTGGTGACTTCGACAAAATTAACAGGGAATTTCAAATTTTACTAATTAGTAGATAACGTCTGCGCGGATTACAAATTTTTCTCCTTCTCAATACTTTCTCTTCCTATATTTTTCTTACGCTCTCTTTTTGGATCTACTAATAATTTTATTTAATAGATGAAAACTCTCTAATAATTATTTTCATGAATAAAAAAAAAATACATAAATCTAAGTTAAAAAGAAAATATTAGATTAAATTTTTGCACAAATTTTAAATCTAAACTATCATGAGAACAAAGGAGATTAATTCTAAAATTTCATGAAATTGAATTCAAATCATTATTTTTATTACTAATATTAAATAACTTACCCTTTGTAATAACTCATGCTACAATCTTCAAAGATTCCCTAAAAAAAAAAAAAAATCATTAATTTTATATTTATATATTTGATTTATATTGAGAAATACTTATTTCTCTAAAGTATTTGACTCAGTTGACCATAATATCCTCTTAACAAAACTTAAAAATATTTCCTTATCATCTAGAGTCCTTAAGTGGTTCTAATCTTTTCTCACCGGTCGATCCTAGTACATTGTAGTCCCTTACAACCCTCCATCAGTGTCACTATCCCTGTCCAGAAGCGTCCCCGCAAGGTTCTTCTTTATCTCCCTCCCCCCACCCTCTTTTCCATCTATATCAATGACCTCCCTTCCTCTATCATCATGCACTGTCAATATCACCTATATGCCGACTATGTCCCAATTTACCTTTCTTTCAACCCGGCGAATTCCTCTAATACCATCCTGAAACTGCAACAAGAAATAAATAGAATATACACAAGGACAAATCTTAATAAGCTCACATTAAATACGGAGAAGACAACAACCATCCTGATAGGATCCCTATCACTCCTCAAATCCATTTCAGTACCTCCCAATCTTCTCCTGAACAACTCACCTATCTCCTTCCATACTAACGTTAAAAACCTTGGTGTTACCCTCGGTCAAATGCTCTCCTGGAAACCACTTATCTCCCAAATTTCTTGCCATACTATTTCCACCCTGAAACGGTTAAACCATCTACGTTATCTTCTTCTAATCAAAACCCGTCAACTCCTGGTTTCATCTCTTGTTTTTCCCCACTTGGACTATGGCTGAACGGTGTATGGTGAACTCTCAGGAGAACTCGAAGCTAAACCTTAACGTCTAATAAATTGCTCAATATGCTGAATCTTAGAAGTGGGGAGGATATTACCCAGTTTTACAAAGAGTTGAAGTGGCTTTATCATCCGTCCTACCGCCGTCAGTATTTCCTTGCTACATTCCTATACCAGGCTATTAGAACCCGGCGACCCTCCTATATTCTACAGACCCTACTATTTAAATGCTCCTTACAATCCCGTCCCACCAGATCCCGTACGTCCTACCTCTATCCTCACAGAACTGCTGCGTTTGACAAATTCTTTATAATTCAAGCTATCTCTCTCTGAAATTCTATCCCCTCTGATATCTAACAAGCAAAGTCAGTATGCTCTTTCAAATCTCTCCTCTTGAAACACCTACTCCACTCCGAACCCGATTGATCATGAAATGCACTTAAAATATAAATTGTAAAAACCTCAAAGTACACTCAGATACTTTGATTATTTTGTGATTTATTAATATTTTGTTTAATTATGTTACTTCCTCTGTTTACTTTATGTTTATGTAAGTTTTTATATATTTTTACTATCTGTACTTTTATTTTATTACTAATCATCCTGTAAATATTTAATTGTATTTTATGGACATACCAAAATATTAATATATATTCTGTAATTGTAATTTGTTCTAAATGGACACTAGTCCCAGAATAATAAAATTATTTTCATTCATTTATTAAAGCCAAAATGTTAATGGATCAATAACACAAGTAATAATTTGAACTTGATAGCTAATGAAAAAAATAAAAAAAAAACACCACCTTTTCCTACATCTACCTAACAATTACTGCTGTCAATTCAATTTGATAAAAAGTTTATTTAAAAAATAGGTAAGGGGAAATTATCCTTCATAGATATGAAAGCAGCATTTGATTTGGTACAAATGAAGGAAACATGGACAGAGGTACAATCTACAATTGTTTTCACAAACCTCAAAAAATAAATCTGTACATAAGAACCCAAGAGGAACCATACGTTTCAAAGGAAAAAAATCTTAGCCTCTTTATTGCCATGTGGGAGTCAAACAAGGGGATGGCCAGAATTAATTTATTATTTCATACACGTAGGGATGATAGAAAATATTAAGATAAAATAACAACAGCTTTAACTCCCAACAGATCTCACAGTTAAGATCTAGAACTACCATAAAGAAATCATTGTCAATGGACATCATGGATCCTTTTCACTACCTTACATACCTTCCAAAATTAATTTACAATGTAAGTCTGAAGATCTGTCATCTCCATCTAAATTTTGACTGAGATGATCTTGTGCCCAGGTACCATCTTGAAATAACACATCAGAACTAGTACCAAATTGTATCTATTTTAATAATCAAGGTACAGTATATATAACCTTGGAGTGCTGTGATGATAGGGTTATTATTTATATTTATTAACAGGAAGTTTTGGAGTATGGTCGCCTTCATATGCTTTTGAACAAACTTTTAAAGGGAGGTTACAAACATAGGGTCAACAATTACAATACAAATTTTTTGGTGATACCAGGTTGGAAAATATTAGATACATATCTCTGGTGGTTCTTGCCAAGAAAAACATATTTTATAAAATTTTATAATTATTTTATATTATTATTTTTTGCAACTGCTGTGCATGGATTTCTGGGTCTAATGTATCAACCAATTTGTTTTTATTTTTTGTGTAAAAGAAGAAAACGCATTTCAAATTGTATTAAATGAATTTAAACATATAATAAATTACAAAACTGAGAGATGCTTCCAGTAAAGTTAGTGAAGTAATTTTCGTCATGAAAAAGCCATTTAAGATTAGTTACCAGCCTTCTTTGAAATTCTTAAATACAAATTTGTTTTGAAATAAATGATACATAGTTTTGGAGTTGATTTTATAGGATTTTCTCTTATTACAATGTTACTACAACTATTGAAAAACAAAATTATTGCTCTACTAAACCATATCAACAACTTATAATTTTATATTTTCAGTTCTAATATGTTTATGGAGGTTTGGTTTGTTCCATTTTAATATTTTATAAGGTTCTAAATCCCTGATAATTTTCTTGTCAATAGGAAAAGTCATGTTGAAGTGATCACAATTTTTTGTGATTTCAGAAACCAAATCAAAGATTCCACACCCTTGGGAAAATTTTTAACAAAATATTTTTATTTTTCGATAATTTTGTATTTAATGATTTTTCTAGGTGCGAAATACAAATCTCAACTTTGTGTTTCCTTAAAAAACATTTTAATCCACTTTACTCCTTCAGTCTGTACTAATTGTTTCTATATTTACCTCATAATGTAGCTATATACCAAACATAAATCTTTATTCTAAAACGGACAGGTATTGAAAGTAAAGTAACCAGATTCAGTCCAAAAATTAAAATAAAATATACATTGTACAAATTAAACACACACGGTCTACATTGTGTTCACATCACTATTTACCATCTGGATCACATAAACAGAAGGCAAAAAAATTCAGATTTTTTTTTATTTTTCTATTTCAATGAAAATTCTTATATAAAAGTTTTCCGATGTACAAAAAAATGAATTTCAACTTATTTTATTCCTATTAAAATATTCACAATAATTGAACCAGATGTATATTTTTATAATACATGGTCCTGCTTCTTTTCCTTTCTGTAGTCCCTTTCATTTATATTTTAACAATGGTTACAAGTTTCTCTGCACATAATTGTACAAGCAGCCTTAAGAAGAATTGTGGGAATATCAATTTACAAGTAAATACAACTAAACAAAATCAGTAGATGTGTTGTTCAATATAGGCCTGCTATGTCTTTCAATAATTCATTCATTAAATCTTGATAGGACCTTTTTATACTTTATTAGATTAGAAAGCTATTACAATACAGATGTTATCCTCCCCGGCATGTTACTTCAACATGTACTTCTTATTGATAATGCTAAACTGATAAATATATTTTTAAGAATTGCAATCTTATTCATAGATGTAAAAACATAGGGAGTAGATCAAAATGAAGCTTTTCCGTAAAAAAGAACAATTACAATAAGTGCACTATGTTCTGATTTCGCTATAAGAAAATTCATCGAACTAGTGATTAGAATTTATGAAATTCTACTTAATTTATCTTTGCAATAAACCCACAATATTGACTTTTGATTATTCATTTTTTCTGGTTCTGTCTAGAGTAATTTTCTGAATTATACTATCATGAAATATTTCAGTTTTTTCAATAGTTTTTCTATGAAAACTATCTAATTCACATATTATTAGTCATATTCCAGAAACTAACTTATAGTTGTAATTTATACTATGAGAATTAGATGCAATCACTAAAAAATATTAAATAGATTCTGATATATATAGCCTTGGCCAAATGTATTAGGCACCAGTGAAAATTGTCTGTCATTTTAATAAATAATTCTATATTCACTGCTGCTTCCAAAACTTGTGTTGCAAAAAATGGATCCCTTGTATGGATTATATTCACTCTTGCTTACTAATTAATACTCTAGAAAAAGATAATGAAATTTAATAAAAAGTTGTCAGTAAAGTGTTAGCTCTCATTAGGATAACAGCAAAAGTTTTGGTTTTATTTTAATAGTTTTTACTATAAAAAACTTAAATATTCTACTTTTATAAAATTAAAAATAGAAAAGGAATAGAAAAAAAGAATTGCCAGAATTAGGAAAGATAATTTCTATGTCGTCAGAAGGGTATACCCAATCTGAGACAGCTAAAACTATCCCTATCAGTAAACTAAACAAACTAAGCCTATCACCTATATTGTATTGTCCCTACTACAAAACATGGGGGGAAAACATTATAATTTGGGGCTGTATGGGGATTTTGGATGTTGTAGAAATGTTTTTATGCGAAGGGAGGATGAATAGCGATACCAACACATCAATGCTAAATCAAACTTTGAAGCCTTCATTTGAAAAAAGATTTGTACCTGAGGACAGGTGTGTACGTCATATAGAGGACGGGAACGGAAAGAAGTGTACCTGAGGACAGAGAAAAAGTTAATTTTCAAAAGTAAAGAATGGTTTGAAAAAAAAAACCAATATCAAGGTATGCGATTCCAGTGTTTCAACCGCCTCCCGCAGTGCCACATCCAACGCCCTGAAGACGACCTGCAAAGTGGGTCGAAACGTCGGCAAAAATTAAAATTATTTATATATTTTTATTTTTTTGACCGCACCCTCGACTAATTCCTTCTCAATATCAAGGTACTTGACTGGCCTCCTCAGTCTTCAGACCTCAATCCGATTGAGCCCTTATGGTCTGAATTAAAACTTGCAATTAGTAAACATAACCCTGCAAAGAAAGACAACTTGTTACAAGTTTTAAAAGACGAGTGGGAAAAATAGGCAAAGAAGACTGCACAAGATTGGTTTATTCTATACCAGAAAGGATAAATGAGGTCATAAAAGCCGAAGGCTTGAGGACAGAATATTGATTTGACTTTTATTGTGAAACATATGCTATGAAATTTATCCCCCTTTACTTTGTTTTAATGTTATAATAAAATATGTGCTTAATACAGTAAGGAAATAGATTAACTCAGTAGTAGGCCACACCAATGCTTGATGGCACAGGATCAAATCCTGACTTACGGTGAATAAATTATTTACTGCTTCCTCGGCCGTGGATCGTCCATGGGGTCGGGAGACTGCCCTGGGGCACACCCAGCTTCTATAAAGTGTGTACCCATAATTAATCGAGAAAACCTGGCGGTTGAGCATGATCTCAACAAATCAGCTCCTTGCACAATTGTTAAACAAAAAACAGTACTTTCTCTAAATAGTATTGAACCCAAGACCCTTCATAAGTTGTAGTGGTACAAGAACAAACAAACAAATAGAAAATAATATGTAAATGGTGGGTGTTAATAAACTTTGTTAAAAAAATAAATATTAAATTTGGTGTAGAAGGAATGCTGATATGTTGAAAGAATTGTCATATCCTCAAAGGGACAGAGAGACATATTTATATGTTATTTTCCCCTTTATTTTAAAAATGAGTAATTAAATCCTTACAAAAATGCTACCCTAAATTTTTAGGTAAGTTGTAAAGGAAAACTAAACAGAGCAAACTGTAACAAAACTACTAATATACGATGTTATCGCATATTTAGGTAATGCAGAACAAACAGCAATGAATAAATCCATAATATGACACAGGGTCATGTAAGAGATTCCTGCTGATAAAATATATATTTTTTATTTTTATGCAATTAAAAAAACTAGTAGTTATAAATTTAAACAAATTTTACATAATTTAAAATATAAGTAAATAAACAATTTAAAATATAAGTATTTAAACAGATATCAATTTAGTTGATGTAATAATGGATCATTTTAATTTTCTTAGTAATCCAGATTAAAGAAAAAATGAGCAATAAATTAATTTAATTTTAAACAAATGGGGCATAGTTGTTATAAAGAATAAAGATTAAGAATTTGGTAATTATTTGTAGATTAACAATCAAACTTTATAATATCTATAGGCCATACTTGCTGATCCACTTAAATAATGTGAATGTAATTGAAATGGTAGTACAGAAATTTTTAATAATAATCTATTAAATTCAATGTGATGCTATGAGGGGGCCACTGGTCTGATTACTAGTCAGTTGAGTAGATCAATCAATTGTTTCAACTACAGAATAATAATTGTCAACTACCTATCACTAAAATAATCAGACTTGTAAATGTGATATTTATGTGATTACATTTTGTAATTTTCTGCACAACAACATTAGTTATACACCATATTCAAATTAATATTTTATCATTAAAAATTAATTATTAATAAAAAAACAAAACAGTGCAAATGTACAAAACCGAATCCATATAGAAGAATATGCCTCCATGATCAACAATGAAACATCAATAAATTGAGAATTCAAAATAAAAAGCATCAATACTATTAAAGTCAAACAAAAAATTGTATCCCAGCCATGGGGACGCCAACCGGTTAATTCATACATCTTTAAGTTTTCATAAGAATACATATAAACAATTAAATTACGCAAAATAATTCAATAAACTCACCAGATTATTTCTGAAACACTGAAAAAGTAACTATAGTTTAAAATAATAACAAGATCCAACAATGAAACAACAATCAGAACTATGAACAATACCAAACACCCAATAAGACGACCTTTGCGATTGCGAGGACCAATGCCTTAATAATTCAACTTCTTTTTTTAATCTTCTTATTTACTTATAAATATATAAACTAATCAATATATAACGTTTCAAATAACAATAAGATAATTTTTATTTATGAAATCTTATATTGTAAAAATATTTTATAGACACAAAACAAAAAATTCTAGTAATATATATATATGTATATATATATATATATATATATATATATATATATATATATTTCTCATTTATAAACGAGTATTTTATTATTAAAACGAGTATTTCATTGTAAGTAATTTCTGTAAGTTATAATCCTTATCAGCTGCCACAATTCAATCTAAATAGCAGTATTCACAAAATAAACGGGTGCCAATTTTCAAAAAGTTTGAACTCCACAACGGTTATATTGTTTAAGTATGATTTTATGCCCGAGAGAAATCAAAGTAAAATCGTTAATAAAAATTGTATGATGCTTTTGCTTTTTAAATATTAGAATCTCTTAGAGTTAATGATTTTCTTTTGTTAATTAAATTAAAATGAACACTGCACCATCTACTCCTACCTTAAGCTCTGAACTTAAGTTACTTATTGAAGAAAGGAACGTCTTGACAACTCGGACTAAATTGAAAGGTATTTATTTGTTCCTTTTTTGGTTATTGATTTAAATAGTCTAATATAAGATTCATTTTTTTTTTTTTTTTTGTTGATCACAGTTCATTTTAAATAAGATAGCATAAAAAAATATCTACAATTTTACCCTTATTCAAGTAATTTTTCCTTTTTATCTTATTTTAATGTTATTATTATTTTTTGTAGTTGTAAATGCTCTAGATAATCAAATAAGATTAGACCAACTGAGCAAAAGACAACAATTAAAAGCCAAAACTATTGAAGAAATATTTACCTCAGAAGTTTCATATCTTAATCAACTGGAGATTGCTATGAAGGTACTGATATTGTTTTCCTCAATGTATATTAAATTAGATTTCCTTATTTTGTTTTAGTTTGTAGAACAAATGTCCTATTGTATTGTTTTAGTCAACAAAATTAGGGCAAGTTCCTAAACTCAGGATTGAGCTCATTGATGTCATTGAATTCATCTGGAAAAAACAATGTCATCAATCAGCTCAGCACTGAGGAGATTTGGGATGTTTTCAGCATATTTTCCAGATTTACTGAAGTTTACTTCTTACTATGGCACAAAAGTGAACTTTTGGAGTAAATGTAAAAAATTGTTAATAATGTTTTAAAGTGTGATTATTTTTAATAATTAAAAAAAAATCATTCATTATAGTTGCTGGTACAAAATGTCTTCAAACTAAATAATTATTTGGAGTGCTAAAATTGGTATAAAAAAAAAAAATTATACTTTGTATAGTAAATGTGTATATCTGCATTTCTATATAAAATAAATAAAAAGCGTAACCTATATTTTTCACTAGCAAAGATAAAATTTTGTTTAAAGAAGAAAAAAAAATACATACATTTCAAAACTAAAAAACCTTTTGGATTATATGATGATAATCGGTTCATAAAAATCTGTTTGAAAATGGCTGAAACGTTGCAAGAATGTGATTTAACCAAATTATAGTTTTTTATTGTTAGTAAGGAATATTTCTTTTTTTAAAAATCTTTTTGTGATTAAAAATGTGTCCTGGTTTGTTGATTATTAGTTACATAACGTTTTATAAAATGAAATATGTACCCTTAAAAGTAACATTTATCTTAACAGTAGCAATACTGTTTACTACAAATATTGATAGATTACATCAAAGGTGCTGCAACGACTTAGCATATTAAATTGAATTACCTCACTTGAACACTGACTCACTCTTATTTCTGGACAATCATTTTAGATAAGGTAAGATTGCTAGCACTGAATTAATTTGATGTACTATCGCTCCTTTAAGTACTGACATTTCCTGCAGGGACACCCTCTATTTGTAAATATATATATACATGTATCTATTTTTTTTTCAGTATTTCAAGAAACCATTATTAGAATCAAAACTACCATCCCCAGATAGTCTTACCCATCTGTTTGAGAATTTGGAGTCAGTTTATAATGTTAATGGTGAACTTCTAAATCAACTAAGGTTACATGGAGAAGATGTCGCTAAAGCATTTATTAAAGTTGCACCATTTTTCAAACTTTATTCAGTTTATGCTTACCAATACAGACATGGATTGACTGCCCTACAGGTGCATTTTTATTATATATTTTTCGATTAAAACGTTGATTATATTCAGTTTAAAATTGTAATTCTGTGTTTTAAAAATTCATCAGTAGACAGCTATATTTGTTTCTGAATACTGAAAATATTTTACACATAAAGGCTTTTCACATTTTTCTAATCTTAAAAAAGTCATGAATTAGTGGTCTGTTTTTTAATATTATAAATCATATTGTTTCAAGGAATTGCCCAAGTACAATAGTAAACTAGATGCACTTATCAAAAAGCAAGAAACTAGACCAGAAGTAGGTGCAAAACTGGGTTCAATTTTGATAGCTCCAATTCAAAGGATACCTCGTTATAGATTGTTGCTTAAAGAACTTCTGAACTATACTCCCAAAACTCACCCCCACCATTCCTCGATACTAGGTATACCATTATAATTTTAAAATTAAGCTATCATTATTTCTTTGTACAAATCTCTAAATGTTACTATAATACTATTTAATTTTTTCTCTAAACTGAAACAGATGCTATTAAAGAAGTAGAGAAAGCCACTGAACATATTAATACCCTAGTAAGTGATCAAGAAAATATGGAACGTATCATTGAGTTACAAAAAAGTTTTGTTTCTGGAGATCCTATTCTAATTTGTCCTGGCAGAAAATTAATCAAAGAAGGGTCATTAATGAAGGTATTATTTGTTTGTTTTATTTTCAAAATCTTTATATCATAAGAATTAATCAAATTATTTTATAAGGTTAATTATCTTTAATCTTTAAATTCTTTTTGTTCTTAAAGTAATATAAACCACATGCCAGCAACAAATACATTTCTTCTTTAAGCTAATTTAAATCTTAGAGTAATAAGTTATGTTTTCAACCTAGTAAATTGTGTAGTGGTTAGGATCACTAACCTACCAATCATAATGTCCAAGATCCTGATTTTATAATTAAGTTCCTACTTAATTCTTATAATTAACTATCAGATGGAAAGTGAGAACTCACATTAGTTAGCCATCATTTTTTCTAATGCATTTGAAATTAGTGACATCTGCGAAACATGTTTATTCATAGGTATATCATTATACTAGGTTGTTATAAACATCCTATGCAAGTATAGCTTTATTTCATATTACATAATTTAAACATTATTGAATACTACTCTTCAAAATAAAGTCCATAGTTTTCAGCTACTCTTTCCCAGTAACTAGATTTAATGCCGTTACCACTCCTTTGGTTTTGAGGCAAAGAACTCTTCACATCCTCATAGTTATCAAAGATTTTATCTAAATAAACCATTATCTGGTAATACAATATCTGGGATATATGCAGAATAAGGCAAAATGTTTACTACTTGCAATTGTGATAATTTTTCCTTGGTCAAACAGGAATGCTGTACGTGAGCATTGTCGTATTATAAAATGGCTTACATTGCACTCAAAACTGCATAACCTCTCTGTAGTTATTCACAGTAAAGGTTTGAATCTACTTTCCGAGAAACAAGCTCAAAATGCAAAATGCCTTTGAAGTTCCACCATCACTTAAAACCATAAACTATCACTTTTTTCATAAACCGATCTTGGCAAACCTGTTGTGCAGCTTTACCGGGCCCTATCCACTGCGTATGTTTGCTATGATCTTTTTAAAATATCCACTTATCCACATCTCTCACTTATGATACTTTTTTCCTGAACCTGTCATCTTTCGGAGTTTGAAGCAAAATTTTGCAAATTTCAAATCGCTGCTGGGCTTGGGTCTCTGTCAAGTCATATGACTTAGACCTTGGTCTGAATTCCGTTGGCCCAGGTTTTTAAGATGACAAGCCATTATGGCGTTAGAAGCCCCTTCTACGATTGATAAATCACGAATAGTTGCATGTGGGTTCTGGTTCATACGTTCAAGAACATTATCATCAACCAATAAGCGACCTGATCTGTGTTCATCTGCAAGGTTGCATATTCCAGTAGTGTCTAAGGAGCAAATATTTTTGAGGAGGAGCAATCATCAGGTGCGGTCGGCTTATAGCGTCAACGCTCAGCCTGCATGCTTTCTACTCAGCTTATGCAACTGTTCCCACCCTGACGTGAATAGTTTGCTTACTTACAGTAATTTAATTTGATGGAAATGGAATAGATTTTTTTTTGTTTTCAAACTGAAGGAATAGATTTACACTACTATTTTTCTCACCAATTTGATTATTTCTCATAGTTCTTAGGTAAATATTAATCAACAAGTAGACCTTAAAATTTTTTTAACTTTTTCTTAGTTCCACTTCTTTTATAAATAAATATCTTATTAATGACAGTCAGAAACTGTAAGTCATAAGTTATATGTATAATATATCTTTGGAAAGCTGAGTATCATTGAAAAAAATCTGGTGCCCGCAACACACAACTTTCAATTACCGATCTACTATGAATATAAATTATTTTCTGGCAATGCTGGGCTATTACAAATTTTTTGAAGTGCATTTTAAAAGGAGCTAAAGCTTACCGATAACAAGTGATAAGAACCATTATAATTACAAAATGTCTATTTAATATATCGAAGATAGGCAATAAAAATCTAGTCACTCCATCTGCTTTTATAAACCACACAACTTTCTTTGCTTTTATAAACCTCAGAATGACTAACTTTCAACATTTTTGAGTGATGTCATTTTAGAGATATTTTTAGTTGAAAAAGTTATCTATGCAGAATAAGAGTAAGTTGATTCCGGAGGTGCTTATTGCAGTGCTGAAATATAGAACTGAGAATAGTTGTAAATTTAGGTACTTATTTCTTATGAAAAATGTTCTTAGGAAAGATACTTTATTAAATATCCATAGAAAAAAGGTTTTTTTAGTCTCAACAACTAAAAAGTATATTTCAAATTTATCCAAATTTTCGCCTCTTCAGGGAAAAAAACTAGAGACCATATCTTTCCTCCTAATTGTCCGATCTTAACGATGTTTTTTTGATTTTTTAGGAAATTCCATAAATAGTGCTCGATTCAATGAAACTTTTGTTTTTAGAATTAAATACTTGAACATCACATTCCCAAAAAAGTGTATACTTTCTGAGTTATTCGGAATTTAATTTTACCATCCCTCGTAACTTTTTTTCCAGCATCTTTCCTTGAAGTATGTTACATAGATAAATTTAAAGGGTTTCGAGAAAATGACTTTAGCGAAGTTTCATTGAAATCAGTACATTCATTTAGGCGCTGCAGTTTATAGCAACACAGGTTTTTCTGCATTTTTATTTTTTTTCTCCTTTATTAACTTATCAAATTCTTTCAAAAGTTATATTTAGCATTTTTTCGTAACTTTGAATAATGTGAAATGATTAACTTTTTAAAATAAACCATATTAAAGGTACTTTAGAGGAAGACGTATATGAACATTGGGCATTTAAGCCCTGTAAAGTGACATCGATGGGGATAAGACCTAATTGATATTAAAGACCACTTAATTATACAATGATATGCCGAGTTTAATCAAAATCGTTGGAGTCGTTTTTGAGAAAATGTGTTTCAGCGTTGATATAAAGTGGCACTTCTGGTCAGCCGATTTTGAGGAAAAAGTTGCTGTCACATCTAAGGCAAACTCAGATTCAAAAATGTTTTCGCTCACAATACTTACCTTTACTATATATTACATATATACATAAGTGAAAGTAAAAATAATATCTAGCATACAAAGCTGTAGACAATAAGGAGAGTGATGAAAAAAATTGTAATTAATAATTTATGAAAATCAACATTAATTAACGGAAATCAAGTGTTTTCATGAAAAATAAATGAAAAGTCCTAAACTTTTAAAATTATTTTTTTAAATTTGTAAAAAATATATAATCCACCGGATTAAGGCAACAGCATTGTTTAAAAAAGTACTTTATTAAACTCATGTAAAAGAATTTATCTCCTTAAAACTCCTATCATACCCTCGTGTGAAAGAAGAAGGGAAATATAAAAATATTTCACAGATAAGTAAAACATATGTTGATAATCTTATATACATATACTGTAGTTTAATAACTTTATATCCGATATTATATCTAGATAATATTTATTGTCGGGTTATTCTGAAAAATCATTATGTCAATTAGTGAATAATTTGATTATTTTTCAATCTGAGAATTTACATTTACCTACAATTAGTGAGACAACTTTTGACCTATTGATGCTGTATTGAAAAGCTTGTATTATGGTAAATTTTATAATGGAATATTTTACATGTATTTATACTTATTTTCCCTTATAAAATTTACAGAAATAGAGTTACGAGTTTTTCATTGCCTATTATCGATAGGTTGAAAATTGTCACGCTAATTGTTGGTGGATAATACTTCACCGAAGAAAATATTAATCATATTATTCACTAATTTAATTTTCTAAAGTGTTACTTAATAATTAGGATTAAACCATTTGAAATGATTTTATTAGGAATATACCTAATTATTTAAATATATTGTCATATCTAAAGTTATTAAACTACTGCCAATGTATTTAAGGTTATAAATATATGTTTCACTCCTACATTTAATATTTTTATTTTACATTTCTCTTAAATACAATTACAATTTAAATACTTTTATAAAAAAATTTATTTTCTCCATTCGGTAGATTATATACACATTTTTTTAAGCTTAAAAATAATTTGAAAATTTTATGTTTAGTTAGAGAATTTTATTTAGTTTCCATGGAAACATTTGGTTTCCGTTAAATAATATTAGTTTACAGACATTTGAAATTTAGGCATTTAAGCCCTATCTATAGGTGGCATCAGTTGATATTAAAACATAGACTGATATTAAAGACCATTTAATTGGGCATTGATACACCAAGTTTAATCAAAACCGTTAGAGCCATTTTCGAAAAACTTATAAAAGTGTGTAAAATCATTGATATTAAGTGGCACTTCTGGTTAGCTGAATTCAATGAAAAAATTGATGTCACATCACAGCCATATACCCACCTTAAATAGGTAATTTCAGTTTCATGCAACTTTTCATTTTTGAGCTAGACTGTCTGTTCACATACACCCAGACCATTTTGTTGGACTTGGTTATTTGGAAAGCTCAAATTCAAAATTTTTCACATTCGCAATACTTTCCCTTACTATATATTGCATATATATTTATATAAGTGAAAATAAAAATAATTCAGGCTCCAATAGTTAAATAATTATATCAAAGCAATAGTTTTGTATAAACCTAAACTAAAATCATAACTTGCTGTTTCTTTGATTTTTAGGTTAGAACAGCTTTCCTATGTTATGGATAGAGTTGTCAAAGACTATGATATCAATAAAAGCCTAGTTTATTTTATCATTATTTTATTTTGCTGTTATTACAAACTTTGTATAGTATGCTTTGGATCACATACATACTACTTACCCTTATGCATATCATCAATAATTTTAAATATTCAACATATCTCTTTGCAGGTATCTAAAAAAGGGAAGAAACCTCATCAAATATATTTAATTCTTATGTCTGATATAATTGTTTGTTGTAAAATGACTGGAGCACTTTTTGGTGAAGCTAATTCTCTTCGTTGCTCTTGCATACTTCCTTTAAATAGAAGTTCAATACATCCAGGAGCTAAGAGTTTTCAAATAATTTGTAACCCTGTTACTCTCACATTGTTTTCTGAACAACCTTATACTATGGAAACTTGGATTACTATTATTAAGCAAGCTATATTAAAGGTAAAAGATATGTTTAGTTTGTACTAGTTTATATATTGAAAGAGATCACGTTAGTGGTCAAACATTTCTCAAGTGTAATATCTTTAAAGTAGAAAATTATTTATTATAGTTATATATATAATGGGGTGTCTCAGGTCTTAATGGCCATAAACTCTGGGGGGAGGGTTTAGAAAAAATTTCCAACAAAACATCTGATTAGATGCATGGTCCGATTCCAAATGGAAAAGGAGTTAAGACCAATTTTTATGTTTTTCTTTAGGTGATCCTGGTTTTTTATTGTATACGAAGGAATTGCTCAAAAACTGTTCAAGATAATTAAATTCTAAATACATCATCATAAAAAGTAGACAAAATTTTCTTTGAAAAAACAGTGATTAAATTTACTAAGGTCAATGATAAAAGAGACTTTTAGGAGGTCTAATATGACCGCTGTACTGCTGCTGTTACGGTATCCATATACAAACAGAATATCTCCTGAAAATCTCTTTTATCATTGACCTTAGTAAGTTTAATCACTGTTTTCTTAAAGAGAAATATCCCTATTTTACGAGGGTGCACTTATAATTTAATAATCTTGAACAGTTTTTGAGCAATTGCTTCTTATTCAATAAAAAACGTCACCACCTTAAGAATGATACAAAATTGGCCTTAACTCCTTTCCAGTTGGAGATTTTGTCTATTATCACCTCTCCCCTACCTCTCTCCCAGAGGTTGCCCATTAAGAACTAAGACACTCTTTATAAGAAGAAAAACTGAAAGATGAAAAAAAAAAATATATATATATATATCAGTTGGCATGACTAGTATCTTATATATCTTCTTTAAATATTTTTATACTGTGAATTAGAGATGAGATGGTTCTACTAATTTGTGATTATAGAAGGGTAGGCAGTGTATTAAACCGTCTCAAATTTTTGTTTCATCCTCTCAAGTAATTAGAGTCTAGTGGGGATTAAAATGGGCATAGGTTTTCACTGCTTCGAAAGTAATGAGTAGTCCAGTCAAATTATATATTCTTGTGTGTAAAATATCAGACAGTTCTAAATTTTTTAATATGTTTTGTTAGTGTGTATGTGGGTTTTTCTTCTTTCTTTTTTTAACAAAAAGTGGAAAGACCCATATCTATCTATGTTTGGGATTTGTATCCACTAAAACCATTTCCATACAAAAGTTCTCTGACCTCCACAGGACTACAGGGCTGGAGAGGGAATGGTTGGGCTGCCTCCTAGTGTGGCTTTCCTTCTCCTCACCTTTCACTTTCTTGATCACGTAGCTACATGTTGACCAGACATCCTACCTCCCAGAAAGGAACTGGGTCAACCTCCAGTTTGATGCCTTATTCTTTCTTTGGTCCTGAGAATGTGGTTAACCCTAAATACGAGTATATCCTCTCTTCTACAACCAGCTCTACTAGTGGTATCCTGGGACCACATATTAGTATGAAACTATCCAAATTGTGAAATGTTGATCATTCTAATGATAGATGTTACTGTTGGTCTTCTATAAGGCATAGTATGAAGGATCTCTTTCCTAATCATGTCTGTATTAAGCAGAATGAATCTAATCATGCTCAATATTAACAATGGGTCTTACATTTAGCATAAGCCAGTACAGGGCCATGGTCACTAGCTGCCTTCACACCGTGAGTTATGTCAAGGAAGGTTTGGACATTATCTCTTATCTACTCACAGTCAGGATGATCTGCCAGCTGCAGCCCCACTGATACTAGCTAGTTGTAGATCGGTGGTATACTCTGGCAATCCCTTAAGATCACATCTTTATGTACTTTGCCTCAACAACCACTGCTCTGTCATTGGTTTGGCCCAAAACCCATTGTTTTGGCACACCATTGGAGGTTGATTCAACTCTTCTTCTTCTTCATAGGCACGACAGACGGACTAGGGAGTCCTTGTTCTGCTCAATCGCCCTAGCCCAGTCCTGTCATTCCTCAGGTAGTCTTAAAGACATTTCGGAGGTCTTCTGGGACTTTGTCCTTCCATCTACTTCTTGGCCTCCCTCCAGCCTGCACTTCTTTCGGATAACCCTGGATTCAACTCACTATTCATTAATTCAAAGGGTTACTTTATAATTAATAATTTTGTTTTTTTAATAGCCTGTTCTGACAAGTATGTTACAACTATTATTAGTATGTTATAAATATTATTTAAATCAAATTTAATAATAGTAACAACAAATAACTTAATGACAACATTTATTTTTTATATTCCACAAGCAGTCAAATTTAATTATTGAAAAAAATAATTAATCAACTGTGTAATTTTAACAAATTAGATCAAAGCTCAACTTTTTAGTTGGTTTAATTTATAATATTAGGCTGCATAAAGTTAAAAAAACATTTTTCTGTTGTCTACTTCCCCATCTATGTCATCAACAGTTTTTATATTAATAGATATTTTAAGATTTTATCTCAAAGCTATCTGACATTAAAAAAGATTACATTTTCTCTTGTTTTTGTTTTCATTAGTGTAGTAAGGAATTTGGAAATAATGCAATTTTCTTAGAACATCAAATTTTAGATATTTAAGGGATTAAAAAAATACAAATAAATAAAAGCTCAAACAAAAATTATTTACCTACCTACTTTTATTTATTTTCCAAAGTAAAAGTGATATAATTAGTCCCAACCATACTCAAAATGGAAGGTGAAGGGAAAATCAAAATACACAAGTAAACAAGAGAAAAGTAAAATTATTATAGTTAAGATTTAAATTTTATTGTAGATATTGACCTTGTATTATTTATTACATTAAAAATTCTTTTGGTTAAATTTTATAAAAATAAATTTAAGATTTACACTGTTTCAGTTTTTATGAAAGAAAATAAAAATGTGCCTTAAATTCGATGCAATAAGATAATTAGTCAGTAGGTTAAATTGGTTCTTTATAAATTGTAATATCATGTTATTTAATTTAGGAACAACAAAATCAGGAGACATTGAAGAGGAAGGGAAGTTATAGACACTTCAGAATTAAGGACATTAACACGCTCTCTTCATCAGTTATTCCTAAAAAACGGAAACAGTTAGAAGTAAGATCTTCAAAGTGTACTTTAAACAGTATCATTATAATTTTATATTTCATTAATTCATGTTTGTGAAACATATTATTTTATTTTATTTTAGGACAATTGTGGAGTCTCAGATTGTCATAGCCCTAATAAAAAAAACAAGCTTTCTGCTGGATGTTCTTCAAATTTAGTATGTATTAATATTCATTATTCTAATATACAAACTATTCCAACCATTATAGCTAGCACCAACTATTCCATAATACAATTGTGTTATTTTGAAAAGTTATGCATATGATCTTTAAACAAGTTTTTCCTTCAACTAGGAATTGACCGATATCAAAATTTTGGCCGATACCAATATTTCAAAGGCCATTAAGCCAATATATCAGCCTTTTTTTCTCTTTCCATCAAGATTTGTACAGTTTTGGATGGAATGCCCTACTTATTGCTACATCTTCTTTATCTTCCTCCTTTGTGTCTTTCATTGTGGAAGTTCTTACTTATTTACTTCATCGGCACTACAGTCTAAGGTGGACTTTGTCCTCCCGTACAATTTGATTCCATGCCATCTGTTTCCACCCAGTGATTTGAATCCCTGCCAGATCCTCCAGATGATCCAGCCATCGTCTCCTAGAGCGTCCTCTTTTTCTTTTCCCAAACACATTCTCCCCATTATTATTTTTTTTTTCATTCTACATCTTCCATTCTCTGCACATGACCAAACCAGCTAATTCTTTGTGATTTTATAAAGCGTAATGTATTTTCATGCCTTATCAAGTCTTCTAGCTCCTTTTTATTTCTAATGTGCCACACACTCTGGATGCAAACTGGACCAAAAATATGCCTTAGTATCTTCCACACTCAGCATGTGTCGGACTGTAACTTTCAGCATCCAGGTTTCTGCGCCATACCAAACAACAGGTCTGACAAGCGATATGTAAAGCTTCATCTTGATAGCTCTAGAGTAGAAGTGGCGATTTGAAGAGGTTTACAAGACAGTAATACACTCTATTTCTTATCATGGCCCGTTTCCTGTTCTCTTCACTTACCTTGTTTTCGCAATTCATATTTATTCCAAGGTAAGAAAAGTGTTCAACTGCTTCAAATAAAAAATCATTAAACTGGAAATTGGCCAACATTCATCTCTAGGCCAACAGTTTTACATTCGGGCACTAGTTCAGTGAGGACTTCCCTTATTACTCATTCGCTTCTTCCAAGAACCACAAAGTCATCTGCATAACCAAGAATCTGTGAGGTACAGGTTGCCAAACTTCCTCTTCATTCAATTGTTTTTAGGGTTTTGTGGAGAGCTAGGTTAAATAGTATGGACGACAGATAATATATAGCTTTATTAGAAGTCGGTAAAAATGGTTTAGTAAATTAATGTTAAACAGTTAAAAGGCAAGCAAAACTAGTTCTGTTAATGTCAGGGGAAGTTTAAATTTGAAAAATAGTTTCACTAGTTCAGGGAAAAGCAAATGGATGCTCTGTTGTCGCCCAAAGAGAAAAATGACTGTTAGGGAAGAAGAATGTATTTACGGTAGTTTAATAACTCTAGATCTCATATTATATTTAAATAATTAGGTATACATCCTGACTTTGTTCCAAAAAATTCTCCTTTGTGAAATTAGTGTGACAACTTTTGATCTATCAATGTTGTATTTAAAAGCAAGTAACTGTATTTTGGTAAATTTTCCAAGGATAAAAAATAAGAATTTAAATACATGTAAAAAGTTATAGAGATTTAATAACTATAATTTTTTATATCTGGTACGATTCTTACTTATTCATAATTAAAGATGTGAGTGGCTTAATATCAAAAATGTCATTTTAAAAAATTTGAGAAAAAGCCAATATTCTGTAACACCGCTTCAATTTAAAACAACTGTAGTGATTTTTTTTAACTTGAACATTCTTAATGGAAATAATCAGAAACAGTTTGAGTTGAATCTATAAAACAAAAATTGACTTTGTCTCAGTTTTCTGAAAATGACAGATGTCCGTCTTTGATATGAAGCCACTCATATGTACTTTCAAGTCTCTCTTAGTCTATAGAGTTCAAAGGTTGGAGTTTATGTGATTCAAATAGACTGATGCAGTTTTAAGGTTTTTATTCTCTACAATTGATGTAATAAATAGGGTTCAAGTTATTTTGATGGTCTTTATGAGTTTTTGTTTTAATGAATATGGCCAAAATTAAATAATATGTTGTTTAAGGTTTAGCTGCATTAAAAATGTACTTTAAAAACTTCTTGTAATAGCACAATTTTGCCAGACAAGAATTGCTTTTCGAAGTAGAGAAGTAAGTGAAAGTTGTGTGATACGCGCAAGATTTTTTGTTTGTGTTCATTTAGTTACATTTTCTTTTTATTCGTATTGAACTGATATATCTGCCTTACGACTTTATTTTATCGAGATTCATAAAATTTTAATTTGGAATATTATTTTTATTGCGAATAAATGTGTCAAGGATAAATCGTCAAGGGATCGATATAACCATAAATTTTAGCCGAGACCGATATATATTGGCCTTACGGCCTTATTTTATTTAGATTCAAACTTGGAATATTAGTTTTATTGCTAAGCAGCAGATACCGATGTTCTAAAGATCAATATATCGGCCTTATGACTTTATTTTATCGAGAATCAAAGAATTTCATTTTAAATATTATTTTTATTGCTGATAAATGTGTCAAAATATAAAAGTTTGTGAGGCCAATATATACCGTTTAAAAAAGATGGTTAACAAGGTGGTCCTTAAATAAAGTAAGGATGTGAGGCCGATATATCTGCTCAAATTTGTTTATATCCATCCCTGGATGATTGATTGACACACTTATTAGAAACAATAATAATATTCTATCCATCCATGACCACATTTCTATACCACCAAATGCATAGCATTGTCTTCTTTTCAAAGAGGTTCGGTTTTACAGTCGATGTTGATGATTGTCCTCAATCAACCCACGATTTGGATTGCTTCTGAGTTTTGGGTTCTTGAAATATATCAATTTTTCGTCTCCAGTCACGATCCGATACAAAAAGTCTTTCTTCTGTTTAGCAAAGATATCCAGTATACATTGATTTATTATTGCGTGTGTGCAAAAATGTCACTATTCGGGAATTTTTAGAAAAAGTCATGGATTTGTATTACCAAAATTAATAGACTATATGTGTATAGTCACAGCTCGGAGCTGCATGTCTAACTTGACCAACATTATCATGGCAAAGGTGAAGAAAAAAAAATTGATCTTCAGTTTTAAATTTATTAACTGGTCATCAATAAAAGGTTTAGTTAATTAAAGAGATATAAGCATACATTTATTTGAATAGAATCAAAATTATATCATGAATATTTCGTTGTTTTTTATTTTTGTTTTTTTGTGATTAATTAAGTTGTTTGTATTTTTTTTCATAGGATTCTTCTTCAGAGAACGATGAAAATGAAATAAAACAGCTGAGCTATTTCTCATCAGTGAAGAAGGCAATTTCTAATTTTGGGCATTCATTAAACAAATATTGGTTTCCAATGTATATTAGAAGAAATGCTAATATGGATAAAAAACTCACTAATTAACTTTTTATTTAAAAATGAAAACTCAGTCATGCATTTGCAAATTTTTAGTATAAGTTTGTATAGAAGCACATTTACCTATAGATTAAGCTAGTTCACTATAGTAAAAAAAATTAGGAGTGGAGTTTGATGCATGTTTTACTGTTCTTATGATTTTTATTTATTTAAAAGAAAAATCAAACAAAATTTTCATTGCTATAATATTTATAAAAAAAAAAAATCTTTGATTTAAATTAACAGAATCATTTTTTAATTTCCAAAATTGAAGTCTGCCCTTTTTTTTTCTTATTTTAAATTGTAATTCAATAATATATAGTTTAATTCTCAATGGTATAAAAACATTCTGAATGATTAAGGATTTCTTTTATTTTTTTTTTTTTAATACATTGCAAATTTAAACTGTTAAAATTTGTATACAAAGGTATTCTTTGATAACAACTTTACTTTTGAGTATTGTGGTAATAGGAATTCTCTATTTCCCAGTGGAGCAAACGGCTGCCATAAATTGACTCCATTAAGCAGTCGGTCCACATCAGTCAATATAAGTGGTGTTTCTACTGCTTCCGTCTTCTAGTTTATTCCTCTCTGTCTTTACTTCACTCCATCAGGGGTGTTTTGCTACTTAAGAAGTTGGTCCTAGGGTGTATTATTTACAAATACGATGCTATATATTTTTTATATTGTTTTTGTTTTGTTTTTCCCCAGTGTACACTTCCCTTAAATTGGAGAACCAATGATTTAGTGCTGTCTAAGAGTGGGAGATAAAAGCACCATCCTATTTCGTTTAACCAGAATGTAACAGTATACATTTTTTATTATTGATTTCAAAACAATCTTATTTCACTTAATAAAGAAAAATTTGATTTAATTTTTCTACTATAATTAAGTACTTAAATGGTAGGTACTCTAAAATTCAAAGTTTAACAATTAACAAAAATTTATAACTACCTTTGTTTTCTTTTATTATTTAAAAAGAATATAATCAATCCTTGAAAGTTTGATTCTTTGGACTGGGTCATCCTTATTTTTATTTTCTACATTTTTAATCTATAATGGTGATCAAAGTCAAATGTAGTAGAAAGAAATTAATATTGAAACAGATTAAAACTGTATTATTAATTATTTTCCCTATCTTTGGAATATTTTGAAAAATAATGTAGGTAGGATATAAATTTTGTACAAATAATCAAAGCCTTTAACATAAATAATAAAGATTATTTTTCTAATTCTATAATACCACTTTATTTTTAAGGATTGTTTGATAAAATGTGTGTTATGTCAACCCTTTCCTTTTTTTTTATTTAACAAAGATCAGTAAATTTTATTAACACACAACATTGTGCTACGTTTCTGGTTGTCTAATTTTTTAAAGCCAGTGGGAATATCAGGCATTTATGAATATTAGTGTATTTCAATTTCTAGAAAGAAAATAATATATTTAAAAATATATTATTTATTTATGTAATATGATTAAGAATGGCTAAATATCACAGACTGCTGACACTACATTGAGTTATAACTCGAACCAGGTTTCCTTTCTTAAGGTATCAGATTACCGATTGGTTTATTAAATTTAAATGGTGCCATGCAGGAAGAAAGGTAAAAATCAAATTCTAAATGAAATATATTTATTCATAATTGGTAATTCGTTGACTGTCGTGGATAATGAAGAGAAGAATAGTTGGGGTGCTCAGTCAAAAAGGAAGGCAAAAAATAAATTATAATATTTATTTTTTACATATGCCGACGTTTCGACCTGAAGTTCAGGGCTTTCTCCTTAAGTGTCAAGGGGAGAATGGAATATATTGATAGAAATATATTTATTTGTGATTTAAACCTAATAAATGAGTGGGATAGCTTAGTGACAGGACACTAAGACTGAGCTTCCAATGCTCACAGTCTCAGGTTTGAGTCTGGTTGATGGAAGATAAATTTTTATTCTGTTTCATTGGCTGTATATTGACACATAGCCTCTATAAAGTGGATACCCTTAATTAAATAGAAAAATCTGGCAGTTGAGCGTGTTCTCAGTCAAATCACCTTCTTGAACAACTGTTGGTCAAGAAACAGTACCTTCCCTACATAATACTGAACCCAAAACCTTTCATGGGTTGTAATGGTACCGGTTTTTTAAGATTTTAAATATATATGGAAATGTATTGAGAATACTGATATGGGCATGACTAATAACTCTACAATTTTAATGATTACCAACACAGATGTACATGAGTAGATTTTGAATGAATATCATGACTCAACTGGTAATTGGAATATCATGGAATAATCAGCTACTTCCTCCTTGTCTATGGTACCACATATGTCTTCCTGACTGCTGCCAAAGGACTCTTCCTTGACTGAACACCCATCTCCAACGAAGTCTCCTAACAGACACAACCTCCTTCTCCAAGGAACTCTCTTAATCTATGTCGTGTTCTATCCTAAATATTTTTTCTAGGCTTTTCTATTGCTCAAATATTTGTTCAAGGGCAGGACACTTTTCCGTTAGGATTTAGATATATGTTTCGGCTCTTTTAGATTTTTGAAATAGGCAAATTTTTTATCTTTATGACACCCTAAGTGGCAAGTGTTATCTAGGCCCGCCATCAGCGAACAAGGTGTTGGTAGCCCATCCAAGTAAAATATTGCGTCCGACCCATATTTACCAACAATATTTAAATTTTCCTTTAATCGATTGACTATTTATTTTTATTTCAAATCACACATCAGCATCCACTATACATGGCAATTAAATCAACCTTATTTCTCTCCCTGTGTCACCACAGTTGTTTGCTTTTAGTTACATAAAAGTTTAATATCAAAGAAAGTACATTAGATATGTATATTATGTTTCAATTTATCTGTAGTCTCTAATTATCAGTTTGATATCTTATTTGTTATAACTATAAGTTAAATTAATTTTTAAAAACTTACAAAAAAATATATATATTTTTTTACTTATCGTTTATTTTGTGTACTTGACTGCCTTTCTTATTCATTATCAAACATACATTTTATTTATATCACTTTTTGAAAAAAATATATTCTAGGAGATTACAATCATCACATTTTTCTGTTTGGATCGAAGTTTTATTGGTACATTAAAATAAATGATTTTTCTGTTGGCCATATATCCTATTGTGAGATATTCTATTCATGCAACTTATTTATTCTTTTTTGTTATCACAACAGATTTGTAAATAGCCCATTTAAGTAAAAGTCATTCTATAAAAGATATTAACGATAAAGATGTATTAAAGGTAATTTATACTAGGAATTGATCACTGTTATTTAAAATCTATTTGTTCTAATTTGAATTGACTACTGGAATATTAACGAGGCTACATAACACAGAATTACAGGACATGCACTCAGTATATATAATTGAAGTAATAGGATTGTGATGGTTGAAATGTAAAGTTCTTAGGCTTAATAATGAATGAATCTCCAAAATGTTGGAGAGCTGTTGAGGAAAACGTAGTAGAATGGATTTGGTTCGGGACTAACAATTTAGGTTGAGTGAAGATGAAGTGTGTAAGAATCGAATGTTGGTCTTACCTCTATCAAACCTTCAGATTATCTTAGGCCGTTTTAGGCTAGAACAGTATTGCAAAGCTTTTTGTATCCCTCCTCCCCCCTCCCACATTTCTTCCTATATGAAAGGAAAATGGACACAAAATTAGAAAAAATAAACTAGTACATATCTATATATTTATTAATTGTTGAAAGAGGTTATTTACAATAAAGATAAAAGGATAAAAAGATGATATTTAAAAATAAGGTTTTTAACAGCAGATTGAGAAAAGATTAGAATTCCAATGATTCAAGAATTTGAATTAGTAAGGCTCTGTCAAATGATGAAGTATTCTGAGATGGACAGTCTAAATAGGATGGAGAGGAATCAAGGTTAGAATGTACAGTTTCACTCACTCAGTGATTGATGCTTTATTGTCTTATTTCTATGAAGTCAGACAAAAGGGTAATACCAGTTCTATGTTGGCTCAGAGAATATTGTTGGGAGAAATCAAGCTGGATGTAGAAATAAGCCTCTATATCATCTCTTACCCTTACTTCTGGACATTTTCAGATAATTATTTACTTAAATATGTTAAATAAATACTTCTCACACGTGTCATAATATATTAATTAAATAAAAAAGAATGAGAAGGATTCATTTACAATTTTGTTTATTCTTAAGCAATTAAAATGTAATTTAAAAAAATGATGTTATAGGTGAGGTTTTTAATTAATGCAAAATAATTCTTTACATTTTTAAAAAATATTTGAATAAACGTAATACAAATAAAATAATTTAAGACCAAAAAAAACTCAGTATGTTCTGTAGGAAAAGTAGTTAAAAATATTTATTATGATTTCAAACTTTTTCATCATTAAGAGATCCTAAAGAAAAACTTGGCTGAGATATCATTTTTTATATCAACTCATGTTTTTCAATATTCCTGAAAAGATTGTCTCTTTTTTATTATTTAAGAAAAATTTTCAAATTTGTTTGTATGTAGTTAACAAGTAACTGTTCTAGTTAATGACTATCCAAAAATTCCACACAACCACTTCTAGCCATTAATTTAATAATTTTACCAAAAAATATGGCTGAAGCTTCTTACAAAGACATTTAAAAAAAAAAAAAAAACCTGTACCACTACAATCCATGAAGGGTCTTGGGTTCAGTACTGTTCCAAGGCCAGCGGTTGTTCAGGGAGGGGATTGGGCCAGGATCACGCTCAACTGTCAGATTTTTCCCCTTAATCAATTACTTAATTAGGGGTACACACTTTGTAGAGGCTGGGTGTGCCCCAGGAGGATCTCCCTATACCAGGGTCGCCTCACGTAACAAGGTTGCTCATGAAACAAAATAAATAATTTTTTTGCCATGAGCTGGGCTATGAACCTGATACCTTGAGCATTGGAAGCTTAGTGCCCTACCACTGAGCTACCCCGCTTCCACAAAGACATTTTACATCTTTTGCTGGCATCATATTTCTATTGTTCCTTTTTAAGATCAACATCATCGAAGACCGAAAATTAGTTTAAAGTAAAAAAAAATATCATTAACATTGTTTTCAAATCTATAATCTTCTTATTGATTAATAAAATATGTTTGTGTTATTTATTATACCTTTCTAATAATGTGATCATTTTATATCACTTTCCTCCTTCCATCAGTACAAATTGTTTCAAGTCTTACTGATACTATAGCTATATATCAAATATATAGTTATTTTCAAATGAAATGGGCTGCAATAGAACTCTCCTATT